TTATATATTATATATTATATAGTAGTTTATCTATAGTATTATATACTTATAGATAAGAATTACTTTTAGATAGTATATTTAAGTAAGTATTATATACCTTTAGGCTACTTCGGAAAAACTATAATCTTAGGTAGGCTCTATTAGTATAAGAAAGTAACTAAATACTTAATATTTAGATTATACCTATATTATTATTACTTAATATAACTAGCTATTATAATACCCGCCTTTAGTAAGTAAGTCTAGGTATGGTTTTTTAAAATTTAAGCGGGATAAAGTAGTTTGTATACTAAAGCGGGCTATTTATAGAAAACTAAAGTTAGTAGTAATTGGTTTTTAGATTTAGTAAATACTAGTTATTATAATACCTACCTTTAGTAAGTAAGTCTAGGTAGGGTTTTTTAAGATTAAGTATAATAAAGTAGTTTATATACTAAAGTAAGCTATTTATAAAAAACCAAAGTTAGTAGTAATTAGTTTTTAGCTTTAGTAAATAGGTATAACGATTATTTCCCTTTTAGTCGCTCCCTTTAATTACTATATAGGTTCTACTTACTAGATCTAGATATTTTATTTTTATTTTCTTTATTATTACTCTCTTTTTTAGGTAGTAGGCTTCCCTTTATTCATTAATCCTTTATATTTATTTCTTTACTAAGTCCTTATATTCTTTTATAAAGTTAGAGAGTTATTGTTATCAAATTTACTACTAATATTCATAATTATAATATAAAGAGTAGAATAGTTATATATTTTAGAAAGAAAGATATAAAAGCTATATTATTTAAATTATTAAGGAAGACTTCTATAGTTATCTTATTATAATCTTACTTTTATAACCTAAACCCCTTATAATAAAAGCCTAAACTCCTTTTGTGACGGTTCTCACCGCCACCATGCCTCAAACCAGCCCCTGGCTGGCACCCGTCGGCCGCCGTGCTTCCCGAGCCCGGCTCGGTTAGCTATAACCCTTGGTACCCCTCCTGTATATAAGAGCTTCCAGCTCCTGGACTTCTGTCCTTTCTTCTCTTCTCTCTTTAGCTTAGAATCTTCGAATAGACAGTTCTACGATTCCATAACCTACACCTTGGACGCTCTCTGAGCAACATCTCGTACGTGTCGTCACACCTTTAAACCTAGAAATCTTACCTTATAATAGAAGCTTAAACTTCTTATAATAAAAGCCTAAATTCCTCTAAACCTAGAAATCTTATAATAAAAGCCTAAACTCTTATAATAGAAGCCTAAACGTTTTATAATAGAAGCCTAAACTCTTTATAATAGAAGCTTAAATACTAACACTAAACTAAACTAAACTAGCGAAATAAACTAAAATAAAATAAAAGATATTTTTTAATATAAGTTAGTTATATAAGTAACTAAGAATTAGTACTTTAATATATAAGATACTTTTATTCTAGAGGAACTTATTATAGGGAGCGCTATATAAAGATAGCCTCTTATACTTAGTACCTCAATTAAATACTAACCCTGTTCGTTCTATAATCCTAAACTACTAAGGTACTAGTAAAGAAAAAAATAATGTATTTATATAAAAAGAAATAGTAATATAAAGAGCTAGAGAGAACAAGATACTATAACGTCTTTATAAGCCTAGCTAGTAAAGTTATATTTCTACTAGCTTTAATAGTAGTAAGTATAAGTAGAGCTATACTAGTACTAGGCGAGTATAATACTATTAGTATAGATAATATAATTATAGTTACCTTTAACGTAGGAAGTGTAGGAATTATTACTATACTTTAGTTTACTCAAATCTATCTTATATATTAGGGTAATATAGTCCTAGACCTTATAACTATCTATTATTCTATTTAATATTAAATAGGAGTATAAGGAAGGATAGGGTTACTTATACTATAGTTTACTAATTCTTTTTTTTATATTACTACTTACTAGGTACTATAGCCTAGTATATAAAATCCTAGGCTATTTTCTCTCTAGCTAGAGGCTATAAGCTAGAGGGCTAAACAAAGTTATCTATCTAATAAGTAAGTAGGGGGAAGAGGGGCTAAAAGAGTAGAGTAGGTAAGAGGGTAAAGAAGTTAGTAGGGTAGCTAGGGAGTAGTTTAATAGAGGGAGAGGAGAAGGTAGACTATAGAAAGTTAGCTAAAAGTATAGTAATATTAGGATTTTAAAAGAAGTTATATTTAAAGCTTATATAAATACTACTAGCGAAACTACTAACGTTATTATTATTATTATCGTTGTTATTAAACCTAGCTAGTTAGCGCAAGGGGGAGGGTAGGGTAGGCGGGGTAGCGGGCAGGGTAGTAGGTAGGGTAGTAGGTAGGATTAGTAGTAGTAGTAGTAGTACTAGAGCTAGAGCTAGAGCTAGAGCTAGGGTAGGGGTAGTAGTAGCGGTAGTAGTAGCTATAGGAACTATACTATATAATATTAGTAAGGTATAGTAGTATTTAATTAGATTAAAAACTAATACTTAGTAATAGAGTTAAAATAGGAGAAGGGAAATAAAAACATAGCTACTTCTAGTAGTATAGTAGGTAAGAGCGGCGGTAGTAGCCTTATCGAATAGACCCCCGAAGGAAAAGATATAGCTATAAAACTATATAAAGAGACTATACTAAGAATATATCTTAGTTAGTAGTAGTAGTAAAAGTAGAAGTTAGTAGTAGTAGTTATGTTGTGCTGGGTCTACTTTCTCTTTTGCTCCACTTCCTTATTTGATCCACTTATAGTTCTGCTGCCTAAATGCTTCATGTCTGGCTAAACCTTACACTCTTTATATAGACACCTTAGATAGCTACCTTTTACAATGCAATCAATTCTCCATGACCTTCAGTACCCAATACCCTTTCAACCCAATAAGTTATTATTATTATTAGTATTATTATTATTATTATAAATAATAGGGAAAGATAAGGTTTTAAGAATATAAGGAATTAATATACTAGTCGAGATTGAAATTCCGTACTAGTATAGGTTGCTATAGCTATTTACTTACTATTATTAAGGGCTTAGTATACTAGGTAATTATAAAAGTAGATAGTAAGTTAGTATTCTTCTTCTTTAAAACTAAGAATAGGAAATAAAAGTAAAAAGAGATAGTATATATAGGCAAATATTATAGGCTCGCTTAAAAATAAGAGGGAGTATAAAGTTATACTATCTAACCTTAAGTTAGTAATATAATTAACTAGTAGTAATACTAAAAAAAAATATATATAATTTTTAAAATTAAGTATAAAATAGTAGGTAGTTAGGCTATATATACTGTATTATTAAAATAAGAGTTTTTTATATTAAAGAAGAAGAATAGAAGGGAAAGTAGAATTCGTAGGTTTTTAGAATCTAGTATAATATAGAGGATAGTAAAGTAGTACGCGCTAAATAATTAAAATAAGAGTCTTTATATAGTTAAAAAGGTTAGAGAGGGGAGAAGGAAGTCTATGGTTTTTAGAATTTAGTATAATATAGAAGATAGTAGGGTAATATATACTATATAGTTAAAATAAAGGTTTTTTATATAGGATTTAAAAGAAGGGAAGGAGAGAGGAAGTCTATAATTTTTAGAATTTAGCGCGAAATAAAGAGTAGTAAGGTAATATACGCTAGGTAGTTAAAATAAGAGTCTTTTATATAGGATAAGAAGGTTAGAGAAGAAGGAGGAAGTCTATAGTTTTTAGAATTTAGCGTAATATAGTAAATACTAGGGTAATATATACTATATAGTTAAAATACGTTTATTTAGAAAGTCGGTACCGTACTAACTCCGAAGTTAGTGCGAAGTTATTGCGGCACTAGTTAGTACAAGTGTACCACCGCTTTTCGTACTTTTACAGGGACCCTCGAACTCTTAGTACACTATTAAAGCAAGTTAGTTCCTGTCTATTATCTTGCTTCTAATAAGACATTCTATTTTGATACTTGGTACGGCCTAATTAGGTTTAGCGTTAGTGTTGTCGCTTGAGTTCCTACTAGTAGTATACTTGTTACGGAGTAAGGGATAGAGATAAAAAGATAATAGAAACAATCAATCTATTACTCTCGCTTAACAATACTACCTTCCTTATTAATTTCTACCTTAATCTCCTTGTTACTCTCTAGTACAACACCCTAACTTCGTAAGTATAATACGCATCGAACGTTCTTACTATAAATAGAGTCTGTACGAGGCAAGCGAGGTACAGAATTAAATGGTAGTATGTTGGTTAAATAAAGAGCTTTTATAATACTTAATTATAGTAATAATAGCAGTAGTAGTATTTGTTAAAGCCTAAGGAGCCTAGAGAGCTAGGGTAAACAAAGCATACTAATTAGTCCCGGGTCCAGATTTACAGATTTTCTATATCACGTGTGACGATAATCGATATTATATCAGATATCGGTAAAAAAACGATATCGTATCGTCAATATATTTACGATACGATATCGATCGTAGGACCTCCGATATAGAAACGTTTCCATCGTGCCTAGGTCTGGTTCAATATAATCACACTCGAAGTTAAGTATGGGAAAAGGTGTTAGAGAAAGAATGGTGGCAGCAGTGTTTCTTGTCAAGTAATTGTCTACGACCCTTCGGCTGATGGAGTCATCGTGGAGAAATCCGCGAATTATCTAGCTGACCCTAATGATTTTGGCTAGGTGAGAACCAAATTAGTAATTTAAAGCGCATAGGTTAAAATTTAGTCATTAACTCCGGCTTTTTTAGCTTCAATGTAACTTGGAAATATTATGACTCCGAATTAATACGAGCTACTCGCCTAGCGACTCACCCTTTTAGCTACAAGAACTCAAGGAATCGCTCGTAGAAAGTCTGAAAAATCAATAACAACCCAAATTTGAGCTGAAAAAAACCTTCATACGATCACTTTGACAGCACATCCAACCCTCAAACACCCATACAAACCTAACACCATCGATCTACTTGACAATTAGACAACTTGGCCCTCAATGCAGCATACGAGGAGCCCGAAGACGACGCAACTTCCCCAAATGAGTTCAAAGGAATGATCAAAATGTGGCAAGATCGATTTGGCTTCTCATACGAAAAAGCAGCAGAACTCGTTTCCATCACGAAATCCACAAAGAACCCAATTTCTTCTTCCGCCACACGTCAAGCAATGCTTTCACCTGCCCAAGCTAGCATCATATATGCACTGAAGCTAGAAAGACCATTCGCGACACCACAGGAAGTCCAGAAGGCTGCACGGCTTTCGAAACTGCCACAAATTTACCATGGAGCCGGCGAAGAAGGAGATGCGACTTTTTGCAAGATTGACGGCCAAACGAAACAGTGCCTCGAAAATTGGCTTTCAAAGGAGAAGAGCACTTTCCGACCACTTTTTGTTCCAGAGGGAAAAGCATACAAAGAATTGTCCGATGACTCTTTGTATCCAACACTTGGAAAGGACGCAACACTCCCGCAATACCGTCCCCAAGATCCACATCTCCTCGATAAATGCCCTTCATACCTACCCAGCCAACACACCTTTCCAGTCTGGTATTTTTTCTACGGCACGTTAGCTAGTGTCCCAAAGCTCCGAAGTCTTCTTGGACTTTCTGAGAATGAAACTCCCGTTTTGCATCCTGGAACTGTAACCGGAGGTCGGATGAAAACCTGGGGAAAGGGAAAATATAATGCGCTCGTTAATGGAAGGGAAACAGACTGTGTTCAAGGATCTGCTTTTCAAGTCCTGTCTGAAGAACATGAAGATTCGTTGAGAAAGTATGAGACAAGTGCGTATGAGGTTGTAAGGTGTTTGATTGAGATGGAGGGAAGTGTAGAAGGTTGTACATTTCGGTTTGTAGGGGAAACCGATTGAGTAATTATAAAACAAATCCTCTCTTAGAAATGTCTTTCTACTTATCAGAAAACATAGCTATGAGATTTCTCAGTATTAGAAATTATGGTACCTGCGACTCGATTCAAAGCTGAGCTAAACACCCAAAGCACTAAACAATCTCAATAACATAACTATCTTTTTTCCCATGCTCATTTCTGTATAATTCAATATAATCCTCTGTATTTAAGTTGGTCAAATGTCTCCTTCCTTCAAAAAGGATCCGTGGATCTTCTCGGGGCCTTTTTTGGCTATAATGTGCGCACCAGCCAACTCTTTCATACCTCCCCTTTGCTATTCTTTTCAGTATTATGCAGTGAGGAGTTCCGTAACCCAGGTAACCGCTATGACTTCCATCAAGCACAGGCAGAACATAAAAGGTACCAAATGCTAAATCGCGATAATCCCATATTTTGAACAATGAGGTATTCAACTTGGGAATAACAATATGCTCTTTCATATTCCCCTCATTTATATTCAAATACATAAGAATATCGCATTTTAATCTAAGATACCCAGCTGAAATTTCTCCGAAACGACTCAGTCCTTTTGGGGTTGTGGAAACCTCTAAAACCTGGATATGTGGACGACAAATAAACTGCCAATGAGGGTCCCTCACGTCATCAATCACTCCATCAACAGAAGCCCACGACCACGATGGAGCTCGGTATACCAGTGGTCTTGGATGGTTCGTCCTCTGAACGTGCCAAGCCAATTGATTTGCAAAGTTCTCTTTCCAAAGCCCCGCGTAATATTCATCGTGGGTCGCCTTGAATATTCGTTCAGCAATACCCGAAATTGCAACAAGCTTATCTTTTTGAAAGCTTAGATCACATTGCGAGTAGATATGAACGATTTCAGACCATTCTTCGTGAAGTGGAACTCCATTTGGCAGGGTATTGACGCCCAAACGCGCTCGCATCTTGTTGGAAAACCCTTCGGGAATTGTTTCGCAAGCATCTCGGTCGTTGCATTCCCAGTACATCTGATGACCGCCGAAATACAATGTCCTTGGTGAGAGAAGTCTTTCTTGGAGCACCCAACCACGTTTCGCTAAAGGTGTACCGGAAACACAGTCGGAATAAAGTTCATCGTAGCTACATTCGAACTTTTTTACCGTACCATGGATTTTTCTTCTGAATTGATGGCTCCGTAAATAGTAGGGTTGACCTGAGAAACATCCCTCAGTACCGTTCTCTGCACCGGCGGCTGCGATAGTGAGACTTGAGTTGCTGTAGATATCGCACATCTTGGGTGATTCCTCTTCCCAGTTGTTCTGATCGTTTTGAATAATGCAAAGAGAGTCAATCCAGAGGTAGTCTATATCAAGCCCCTTGGCTATATATATGGCTTGTTGAAAGGTTTTGCACAACTGGGTAAGTGGAATTTCTTTCTGGAACTCCTGTAGATTTTCCTTGGTCAATGTTAAAAATTTGATATGCCCCCAACAATGGCTCAAGGTTGCGTAATGGGTCGGTTCGTCCAAAGTATTTGTTTCGCAAAGGCGAATCCTGTCATTCTTGAGAGCAAGTAAGCGTGATGGAAAGCTGGTCTGCTGGGCTAACTCCACATTCCTACAAATTTGGTGTTCTTCGGTACATTGGCTGAGCCATATTCTTGCCAATTGGATTAAGCTATCTTGTCTTTGGTTTTCTGATGTTTCATTGAGTGAGAGGTGAAAAGGGGACGAAGTTGGCAACGCGTGATTGTTTTCCCACAGTACAGGTCCCCGAAATTGCAACTGAAATCCCGTTGGCAATTTAATGTCTGCCCAGTAATCTGATTCAAAAGGATCATATGTTAAACAAATATGCCAACCTCTTTGACTAACAGGCAAGTCATGTTGGTCGTCATCACGGGAACCGAACTCTAAGAGAAGTGGCCGTCTTGCAAGGGACGAGAAAATACAGGTCTCATGAAGATCCAACCCTGAACATGGGATCTTATCATAGCAATAGAATTTATCCCAAAGCAGTAGTTGACACATTCGGCAGCCTTTAATAGCCGCAGCTTTACAAGAGAGGAGGATGTTGCGGTGCTGGATTTCAAATTCAATCCAACCACGCTCATCGTATTCCAGGTCAACTTCAACTCTGGATACCCATTCGTCTAATACTTTCTGGCAAAATTGGCATTCGCCACTTGACGAGATGTGAATTTGCTGTTCAAGTTCTGCAACCTCGGGGGCAATGATGTTCGCGATGAGATCAAGATGTCGCGGGTCGAATTTCCATTTATTAGGCCTCGCATATTTTGCTTCTGAATGATCTTCTGGTTATTATTAGCCTAGATTTTCAGGCACAGAAAGAGCACTATAACCCCCGTCACTCTCGCTAAACATCTCTTCAGATTCTCTTGCGTGCTCTGGATGGACCGCTGACGATGGCATCTCCTGTGAGGTAGAGCTTTTATTGTCTACGTTTAATAAAGATTCATCTGCTGGTCTTCCTCCACTGGTCGCAAGGCTGTCGATGTTCATGCTGAAAGTTATAATTTGTGAACAAGCTTGCGGTTGGATCGGGATTTGGATGCCCAGTTCTTGGTGCCAAAATGGTTCGTTCGTAGAAGGAGAATGAAGTTCTTCGGTTCCTGATGGTGAAGAAGATTTACGATATCGTCATGAAGACAGCACTGCGCTCACGAGAGATGGCCCAATATTCTGCATGCGGGTCAGCGTCTCGGAGGGTTTCCCATCGGCACTCTGTCAGCACCGAGATATCCCGACATCCTGGCGAAGCGGATTGATAGAGCGGCTAGGCCGCATAACTCAATAACTAAAACTAATCATATCCAGAAGTTCTCTACTAGAAAGATCTAAAATAGAGAAGTTTTGGTGGCCATTGAAGCGAGTAGGATTTGGGACAATGGCAGGATCCATGAGAATAGGTGCGAGGGTATCATAATATGCACTCCTCTCGGGATTATCAATCCATCAGAGAGAGTTATAGGAGTTTTGACTGCTCGTTTGAATACGACTAGTAGAAAGTATGAACAAGCATTCAACCCGCCTGTAGTCTAAAAGAATACTTATGAAGGCTTGGAGGATTCATCCGTTACGACTCTCTCATGAAGCTATCTAGCTTGCGTAGTTTGGTCAAAGTTGGCTTTCTGAAGCAACCATTTTGCATGACAGCTTCAACAACCTCACCTTGAATGGGAACGATGTGGTCTGGTCTTATGCAGAGATCAAAAAGTACTTGGGTCGCTGCCATTGGAGTGTGTGAACGACAGCCAAGATTAGAATTAACAAGCAGTCGGCCAGCTTATGCACTTCTCCGTCGTTTTCGTTGGCTCCATCCACCATCCAATGGAAATGTCGTCTGGTTTCTTGTACGTGAAGTGTTCCTAAGCCTGCAGTTTTCTACTCTCCAGAACAATTGGAACGATAAGATTTTGAGCGTGTCTCAAAGCACTAGAGAACTTCCATCCGTATTGAATGAATTAACCAAGCGGCCAGGGGTTTCAGCCAGTCTGGAAGTATTCGTAGAAATATGATCGTCCTGAACGCATTTTCAGTGTATTTCAAAGCCGTGGAGATCCAGTCTCCGCTCTCACACAAGGAATAACCCACAAAGTGACGCGCAGAAATATTTGAAACCAGCTAAACGTTCCTTTTGGTAGCCCTCATCTGTCAATACCTTCCGATTCTTTAGAAAATCATTCCTGGCGTTTGCAATTCCGAATATCTGTGGGTTCTTTCCGATCCGAGGAGCTTTGGTCCCGGTTGGTGTAAAATGGTAGTAACAAAACCAAAGAATTGATCTCGTTATGGATGATAGTCCTTATAAACAAATAATTTTGACGAAAGACGCCACCGAAAGCGTCAAAGTCTTTCAAAAACACTGTTACCTCTATGGGAAAGTTTGATTAAAAAGCGGCTGTGGGAGGGAACAATTTATATGCAAACGACTTTGAGAGCCCGAAAAGGGAAGCATACAGTAAGGAGGGTACAGCAGGCAACGCAGTACACTAAAAAGCGGAGTGAAGGGCCCACTCCACTTCGTCTTCTTTTGGTAACAGGCACTGAAAGCTATTTACACGAGCAAATCACGGAGTTGCTTTCAAATCGGATCGCCTAGCTCCAGAAGAATTAAACTCTCAACTCGACGCAGTTATGAGAAATTCATCGGGTGCCCTCGAGGGAAATATCGGGCTCTGCACTAGGCTTCGTGTTGCTATATTGCGTGCTTCCAATTTGCTTAAAAGCCCAGCTGACACGATTGCAAGAGTACTACTCTCCCATACATTTTGCCCTTTTCAGGATACATGTCTATTTTTGATTGCTCCCAGAGTTCTTGCTGATAACTCATAGCAAGTAGAGAGTATCGCAATCAGAATTGCTGCTGATCTACAACTGTTTACAATTCTGTGCGATGAAAAGCACGCATTGGAATCTATTGCTCGGCAGACAAAAGAAGATGTAGTTCTCCTGGTTCAATTACTACTGAAGGAGTCGATTTCCAGATTTTCAGTTCCGAACATGCTACTAGGTCGTCTTCTCCGCAGTCTGGTTGCCTTCGGCGCTGTCAAGGAGGACAGCTCATGCTACATCATTGCACCATCATGCAAATTACTGACAGATCCAGGCTTTGCGAAATCCTTCGCTGACTGCCTACTAGAGCTCTATCGAGCTTTAAAAGATTGACTAGCCGACGACCTTTTGTCAAAGGGCGATTTACTTGGTCCTGCCTATCTGGCATTGCCAAAGTTCATATCCTCAAAGAAGTATCGAAATCCAACGAATACGAAAGACACAGCGGTTCAAGCCGCAGTTCAGGCAAAATAAAAGGATATATTTGGAATTTTCGCGGAGAATCAAACAGCTGCTCATGGATTTTCAACTTTGATAAGCACTTGGGGTCAGGGAAATTCAACAATCCAAACCTTCCTCCTTCCTTTTAATCGAACCCTGGCTGCAAGACCAGCCGAATCCAAGGACGATATTGCTTCTTGGGTAGATATTGGTGGCGGATATGAAACCGCCGATTCGAAGCTTGCTTTTCCAGAACTCGAAGGCCGTTTGATTGTGCAGGACTTGCCACACATAATACGGAGCGCACCTTCGATTCCCGAACACATAGCTCATGACTTCTTAACAGAACCACCAATCAAAGGTTATTTTAATTCACTCCACTGGAAATTGGTATAGATATGGCTAGAATTGAGATGAAATAGGTGCTAGAGCGTATTACCTTCGCCATATTCTCCACGACTTTCCCAATGGACCGTGAATCTGTGTTTTAAAGGAGCTTCGCAATAGTATGACTTCCGCATACTCCACGCTATTCATACACGAACAGATCATGCTTACTCATGGAGCCTAGTATGGGCAGCTACACACGACTTCAACATGATGGCACTCTTGACCTCTGGACGAGCAGTCGAAAGGAATCATTGAAGCTGTTGTTGCCGAATAGACCAGTTAAATCAGATCACACCAAGGTACATGTTCACAAAAACGTTCATTAGTAAGTAAATCAGAAAGAAATTTAACAAGACTTGATTTAACTATTAGCCCGTAGATCTTCCCTCTTCTAGAAAACTTATATAATAGTTACCTAAGACTAATACTCCTAAGGAAATTAATATCTTTTAGACTTTCGAGGATATAATTTTTAGTATTCTAGGCTTATACTTAGTAACAATAAGTTTTGTTTTTTATAACTAGAATTATCTTGCGCTTCTAGCTCCTAGCTTTCTAATAATACTATCTTATAGATACTTTCTTCGTCCCTAGCGGGCTCTTTTAGTAATTATTCTTAATTAGAGACGCCCGTCTTATTAGTTTCTACTATAAGTTTACCTAGTATTACCTTTACCGTAGCTAGTCTAGGACAGGATTTTACTACTATAGGATCTGTCTAGGAGGGTCTGTTCCTCTTACGAGAGTCGGGAATTTATAATATTAATACAGTAGTACGATATCCTCCTATATCGCCTAATTTATTAGATATATAACTCGGTGATACTTAGGCAGGAGTACAAGGGTCTTCAGTTAGTACCAAGATACTCATGGGAGCTGGTGATGGAAGCGGTGAACTTGAAGGTTCTGCTATATAGAAGTCTCTGTATGGAAGCTTGGAACGTCTTCAAGTGAATCATGTACGTACAGCGGATCGCAAGGCACTTACGTGCTCTACTGACTGGGTGAATATTTAGGTAGATATTTTGTACCTATATCGTCAGGATCCCAGACACCCTTGAACGACCAAAAAGCTGCATTAAATGAAGAGTTCACGAATAGCAAATTTAAGAGTGTAAGAATACTGATAGTTCACTCATGTACAACCTTTAACCAATGTAGCTTGGTTTCTTAAACTGTTCGCCCAAACTTTTTTTCAGAATTTCATCCAGATTTGTAAGGATAACGGTTATGTAAAGCCATCTGTTTACCAAAGCGATTATAAGGGGATAACCCGAGGTAGATTCTATAACTTATATTGTTATTCTACGATTGACTGTTACTTCTAGGCACGGAGAAGATACTCCTACCAGTATTACGCAAATATGGAATCTTTTATTACGCTTCTAGGTAAGCTGCTGCCCCCAGAAAAAACAGTTCCCCAATTCCGAAGCGCTACACCAATACTAGCTAAGACCCCTTGTTACTGGATTTCTCACTAGGAAGCTCACCAAGTGACAATTCAAGGACACAAGATTCAGCAACACACATCCACACGAGAAGTTCTTCCAAAAGCTTTACGGTGACGGGAAACTGCAACTACTAATGAAGTATTTCGAGAAAATGCTGCCGCCGCTCGATATTTTCGGCAGAGAAGCCAGCCCCAGATGGATCTATTATCATTCTAAGCTTGGCAGTTCAGATGGTATCATGCTCGGTGCCAATAACCTGTGTTGAGTGAAGGAAAGTATGCAGAGCATCTCAGCCGGCCCTCTCCCAGCGATACAGTGAAGAAGATTGGAGAGATTTGGGTAATATTAAATGAAAGCCTAGTAGAGATTCTATGAGAATCTTGTCATTTGCCTTCTGTATCTGTGGTATCACTAACAAGAATGCAAAAGCTCCACCAATTACTGGTAATAGCCAGTCCGTCTTTCTACGACGCTAACTACCTACTTATACTTAACTTAACTTAACTAGCACTCAAGTCGAATCAAGTATTTAGCTAAGTTTTTACCACGCTGTCCCTATCCAAAATACTCGACAAGTTCCTCTGACTCGGAACATCAATACTCGGATTCCCCCCAAAGAAATCCCCGGGCTTAAAATGCAACTGAAAGATCTCCACAGGCATAACCGGCCAATCCTCCACCCTAGGATTATGCGTAAGTCCAAACACACTCCAAAGCACCAAGTCAGTATTCTCAACACTATCACCTCTCTTCGCCGCATCAGTCACACCATTAGCCTCGTCCTGTGACTGGAGGGTGTATCGACCCGCAGCGTAGAGCTCGTGGTCTCTGTATTTGGTTACCCAGACGTGGTGGTTGGTGAACTGCGCACGTCGGCTTTGAATGGATCCTGGTTGAGCGAGGAGCTTTTGCGTGGGTGGGGGTTGGAACTTGTAGGAGACTGGTTTGCCGCTGATGGGATTGATTTTGTTGGGATTGATGATACGGACGATGCGGTTGTTGTGTGGAGCGGCGTCGAAGCCTTGGGATTTAGTGACTGGTGTTTGGATAATCTCGTAGAAGTTACCGGCTGGGTTACGTTCTGGTGAGAAGGGAACGGGATGGGATTCTTCGATCACAACCGTGTTGTTTGTCCCGTCGATGGCCAGATCGACTCGTACGGCGAAGATGTGTTGGTGGTTTTGAGCCAGAGCTCCTGGCGAGACGACGTTTCCGTAATGGGATGTCTTGCCTGGATCAATGTTGACTACACTGACAATTCCGGTTGCTCTCGTTTCGATCATAATACCTCCAGATTGATCGAATTTGTATGCAAAGACGTACTCGTAGTTTGCCAGAGTAATGATGAACTGAACCACCAGTTCTCTGTTTCTAGTGACAACAGCACGCCCAGTTCTCCAGTTGGTATGTTTCCATCCAATGCCATTGTCCTGCTCATGAAGGCAGATGACATTGGGACTGACTTTGATGGTTCCATCAGCCTTGGTATCTATGGCATTGAGATACTTGATATGCCCCAAACAATCACATCCAAGTTCCAAATTATTAGCACAACTCCCGGCACCGCCATCTCCAAAATCAAAAGCTTGCTTCCGATGAAATGGAGCCCGAGCGTCCGCATAAGGGACAGTCTACATCCAAGTTAGTAAATGCCAAAAAATCATCAATATATAGAACATACCATCTCAGAAAGAGCCAACCTATACATAATACTTCTTCTATCATACCTAACATCATGAATAGTAGCACCCTCTCGAGGATTGAAGCCTACTCTAAACCTCCACTTCTGCCACTCAACAAGCGACTCATCAGTAATAGTAAAAGAAGGGCCCTGCGGCTGCACAACATTCAAAGGCTTCAAGTCCTTCCTCGTTCCCCCTTCTAAAAGCTCAGGCACATACTCACTCCCCTTGCAATGCTCAATAATATCCTTAGCGTGCGTGCCTTTAGCGAGTAAATCATCTTTTCCACCCGTACCGAGACGATCAATCCTGATAATCTCCTTCGCCCTCGCATCAAGAACCGGAATCAACGGAAGAGGATAAGCATAAAAGTTCGAGTCAGGATTTCCATTCCGTTTATCCTGAGCGAAACATAGACCCTGAAAATATCGCTTATCTTCATCTTCGAGATCGCGACCTCCATAGGGCCACGGTTCAACGATGACTTCAAAGCCCTCAGGAATATTGAATTTCGCAATAGCATCTGTGAACAACTTCGACTCCCAGACTGCTTTAAGGAGGTGACCAAAATCGTCCCTTTTTCGCATTAGTCGCCATATTACAACAAACCGAAAAGAGCATACAAAACAAGTGGCGCCTGGAACTTCTCATCAATCAAATCCTGCGCCACAATCTTCCCCTCTTCAGCATCAACAACCGACTCATAAAACCCATACTTCTTATTCTCCCCGAGAACATCATAAGAAATCCTGGCCAGCCTCCTCGGTCTCGCCACACCACTCAACTTTCCCTCACTCTCTGCGTCGAGAAAAGGTAAAAGCTCGGCTTTCGCAGGTTCCTCAAGAGAAATAGTCCGGAAATCAATCACCGTCTTGGAATGTGCACCGAGAATCACATCTCGTGCTACGGTTGCCTCCGCCACGGAAAGCTGTTCGAGAGGGTGGGGTGTTCGGCTCGAGATCTTGAGGTTCTCCATGGCTTCTGTGCGGGCGGGGTTTCTGTATACTTTGTGTCGATTACCAGGATATGGTGGGAGAAGAGGGAATTGTAATTTGTTCTAGGGAAGAATAGGAATATGTAAGATGGGGGGGATCCTTATATATCTCACTTGGTACGACTAATTCTGATGGAAGCATTCACTCCCGGATGTCGGGTGTTTGTTGGGCTGTAGTTGGTAGATTCTGTGACGAAAGGGTGGGGCCGCGTCGGATATGGGTAACTTAGCCGTGTATCCCGGCAATCTAATCAGATCTCTTATATTTTCCATCCAGGTACTTCTCGAGCCCTCCTTTCTGCGTTTTCTTAACTTTACTACCGCTAACATGTGTACCTATTTATCCATAACATGTAATCCACGATATCCCGACTCTTTTTCATTAACCATGAATCACAGGCCTATAAAAAGATAGAGAACGATACATACATATCCGAATTCTACGCGAAGAAATCCGATGAATTGAATGTTTCTAATGCAGATTCAAAGTATGTACACCTCGTGCCCTACATCAACCTTCCTACACTTACGCCTATCTATATGACCAAATCACCAATGACAATACACCTGATCGCATGGTAAAATCTCGTCGCACCAGCCTGACTAGTGCCTACCATGTAACCATTGATCCACTTCTGCTTGCTTTTGAGTTTTCTGACGACTGATGACTTCTCAGATGATTAAACATTCTGTAATTGTCGGCACGTCGGTAAAACTGGACCTCTTGCACTTTTCCTTCTTTGGAAAATCGGCGTGGAGTCCTTTATATCGTTGTAATATACCCGTATACCACCCGGAGCGTAGATTCAATCCCCACTTGCATATGCGATTGTGAAAAGAGGTAAATACGAAGTACACGTACACCGCCAAGAAGGTCCCCGTCGTGATATTTTCGTTTGTGCTTTCGAGAAAATGAAGCCAATCAGGTAAAAGCGAAGGCATCCAGTTTATGCTCTGCATCAAGTAAATTTCGAAGCTCAATATCCCAGGAGTAAAATTGATCAGTGGAATCACCGAATTCCTTCAAAAATGACCAATTGGCTTGGCTACTGGCTCCCGCTACATTCGTTCCAGGAGGCTGAATTTGATTGCCTGGTGGCGGAATAAGTGTCAAGTGTCCAGCTGGTTGTTGCTGAGAAAAACCTTGCATAGCATTCATACTCTGCTGCATTGGAACGTCGTTGGAAGCATTTTGCTGCAATGACTGGGGTAGATCAAACACTAGATACGATACATCAGCAAAATCTCCGCGCCATCAATCGTTTGTTTGTACTTACAATCAGCAAGTAGCTGCTGCCTCGCTCCAGCGGTTTTCCAACTCTTTCCAAGAACTGATAGCCAATGGATACAGAGCTTTAAGCGACCTTTTGTTTCTACCGCTACCTCACCACTCGCCTGTTTCGAGTGATGCAAAAGAACAGTTGCCGCAACAAATATGCTGAAAACCATATCGCATGGCCACCATGACAAACGCTCCAAGTATTTCTCTAGAATGCTACACATATTCTGTGCAGCTTGAAGACATATATCGAATGGGCTTTCCTCGTGACCATTAAATGGCACATCCGATGTTCCTGGTCTCCAACTAAGAATGAATGGGCGGTTACACATTATGACTCCAGTCAGCATTCTATTGAGTCACTGTTAGCGTTTACGGATTGAAATGTGAACGAGTCTTCTCACATAACAATATTTGTGATTGCAGCAGGTACTGATGTCATTTCCTCGAGATCTAGTCTCAATGGCGAAGCTTCGAAATCACTTTCCCATTTTCGTAATTGCTGAAGTAACAGTAGTCTAGTTCTCTCACCCGCTACTTGGTCTTCCCGGATATTCTTTCGAGCTGCGAGTCCATATATTTCACGATGAACGCGCTCCAGAATTATAGAGAGAGATATTGTTGTATGCAACGCAGACATAGTTTGCATCTTGACAGAGTGGTTACTTCGACTCAAGCCATTGGTCTGATTATGCGACGCTTGTATGGGCATTAGTTCAAACTCGTCGGATTCTGATGTGGAAGGCCAAGGGCAGTCAGACTCTTCAACACGAAGAATAATCGGGCGACCCTGTTCGCTTGACATCATCTTTTCCAATATATACAAATTCCACCAAAGACGAGAACGAATTTCCCGTTCAACGGGCTCATTCGGCTCGTATACTCTGTGTAGTTGTAACTCGATAGCCATACCGCATGCAAGATTGCAAAGCAAAGCAGCACGAGTATATTCGGCCACGCCATGTTGCTGCAGAGCTAATATGGCGAGTACCTGACATGTTGAAATTGATGGTACAAAAGCGTTCAATAACCTTCGAGAGCGGTCTTCTCCTGGGGCTTGCTGGAGGAGGTTCAGAGCCTCCTCGAAGAAGACTTGAGGCTCAGGATAGTTGTCTGGGGATTTTTCAAGGTCTGGACCTTGATTATCTGCTCGATCTGCACAGCTCGCAATTGAGAATATCGCAAGCACTAAGCTTTCAGGTATGCCCGGAGAAGGGTAAGTGTAGTCTAGAGAGGTATGTAAAGGTTTATATAATAAAGGCCACATTGGATGTATGGTAGCAAAGTAGACCTGAAACAATCTTTTGGATATGTCGGGTGAGATATCAAAAGTTGGACTTAATAGACGATGGGCGAGGTGTGGTAATGGTGCGCCATTGGGGGATATGAAGTGGGAGGGGGAGGGGCCCGTAGGAGGGAGGGAGAGATTATTGAGCGTCCTGGACTGGGGATTTGGCGAGGTTGCGGAATTTGATGGGGGGGTATAAAACTGTCTCCTGTATGCGTCGTGGTCAGCCAATTGGCATTACTTTAACTGTGTTTCTGCTTCCGTAGAAGACCGACCTTCTCTTGGATATTCCATATTCGCATTCTTCACTTCGAATTACACATGGTCCACACTTGGGTAGAGCTCCATCGCATTTCACCTTCTTTATGGCACCTATAGATTGCAAGTGCGTCAGTCAATGGTTCTTCGCAGGGTAGGGGCACTCGGCAGAAGGGTATGAGTAGTCGCTGCACTCACAGAGCTTGCAAGCTTGCGACACGCGCTTTCGGGTGGACATTGAATTACTTTGGTAGACAACAAGCATGCGAAGTTCCCAAAAGTCGTGTCAGTTCGAGCTCGTGGATATGTTCCAGAATTCTAGAACCGAAGAGAATTGAGTGTCTTGCTTAGGAGGGATTGGAGATGATCGGGTTGTGGTTCTACAGCCAGCTGGAGCTCATAACACCAAGCCGACGCGGGGTCCGGCACGAGCTTCCGACTGCCGAATAAGGGGCCCGACTACAAGTGCCAAAGGAGATTAGGCTTTAGAGGAGCCTCCTTTGTATCCGAAATCCCGAGCCCTTTTCCCGTCCGAATTCGGTAACTGTTTTCCCTTAGAACTCTTGAAGTTTACAAAGATAAACAAGAAAAGTAGAGAGGATTAATTCGCGTAACTTACTTTAAAAAATTTAAAACTATAATAATTTTATACTTGGTTCTCTATTTAAATTATAGCATTTATCCAGAATAATAAATATCTAAAGTAATTTTACATAAAGAGAAAATTCTTTAATGGTTTTTCTACTTCTTATATATAAATTTAATAACGAATCTATAACTATATTTAACGAGCCGACGGCAAACTGACCACTGTTTTCGGGGGGTTTGGTCGCTGTTTTCGGGGGCCCACTTGCCAAAATCTCGCGCTGCCCTAACGCTCTCATGCCTGCTAGCCAAGGTCGCACGGCCGCCCTGGGTTAACTCCACGCCCAGGAACACCTAAGAAAGATGACCGATTTTCTACTTCTCGTTCTTATTCCAACTTCCTCAGAAGTCTTTTTAGGGAGCAGCAGAAAATGGATGCCCTTCATCCCCTGGTGACTCAGGATAGCGAAGCTTATAATGATCACTCCTCCCTTTCCCTTCTTCTTTCTCCATCCTTTCCATTCTCTATCATTCTCTATCATTCTCTATTCCCCCCTAGTTGTCATCGTCGCTGTCTTCTTTTCCCGGCCTATTCGATATGCGGCATTTCCAACCTACACCAAACGCTTCATTAGATGACAGCAATACGTCAGACACTGAGAGCTGCTTCGATACAGAGGGTGAACACAAGGAATCCGATGTCGATACTGAGCCGACTGATATTGATTCCGATATTGAAGGATACAACGACACAGATCTGGCATGGATTGCTGGAGAGGACAACGCCCACCCGCCAGAATACTACCTTGATCAAGAGAATAACTCAGATGAATCCAAGGATGAAGATGAGGACTACAGCGCTAATAGTATCCTCCTCCTTGATATGATTGAGTCACAATTCATTCGGTATATACCCTATTCTCTTTAACTGCTGTCTTCTACTATTGAATCGATAACCTAACTCTCTTTAAAGGTACTGTAAATATATACAAAAGGACCCGGTCCAGGTGATGCAGGCTATCTCTCTCAGTACTCTCAGGGCCTTCTTTGACTGGATGTTGAATCAACGCCGAGGAAAGGGTGGGAGGAGGCTTGCAGGTATCAAGTCGGCCAATACCCTCGGGACATACTGGAAAGTCTTCCGGCTTGTACACGAAAAGGCGGTTGGCGAGAAGATCGAGGGCAAAATAAATCGGAAAATGCATCGTGTAAGTAGGGCTTTTTTTCCACCCGCTGTATCCTGTCCAAAGTATCCTAGATCAGAGGCTGACAAACATTCACGTCTTTTTATAGGTCCTAAGGAAGCTGGTAAAGGAACACGGATTGACGACGGAGAAGCGTGAGAAGACGGCGATGTATATCGAGGATCTCGCAGGAGTCCTCCAGACCAACCTCACGACAACAAGGAAGAAGTACACGCACGGCCGACACCGTATACAACTCGCCCTCTTCCACCACCTGGCTGCCTTCTCTGGAAACCGACCTTCAGCACTCCTGAACCTCTGCTATCGTCATATTATCGTGACTCTGCTCCGGGACCCGAAGGGCGGACCCCATCGGATCCTAATTGAATTTACATGCGAGTTCACAAAGCAGTATCTCGGCATGAAAGATGCGTAAGTTTCACCTGTGCCTTTTTCACCTTCCCAAATCCCTTCTAGTTTTACTGCGCAATGCATTGCTTACAAAGAAACTAGGAATACGTTCCCACTCCCCGAGATTATCTTCGACCCGTCCCTTATCCTTAGTCCACACGTCGCCTTACTGGGCCTTATTCTTGCAGATAAAGCATTTTTGGCCCCGAATCTCACGTCTGCAGAGAAGATCAGTGGTTTGGATATTCGGCCTGGATATGAGCAGCTGCCCTTGCACTTAAAACCGGAAAAGGCCAACATCCCCGTCTTCCGCAAGTCTATCAAGACGGTCTATGGGTGGGAGATCTTACCAGATCAGCAATTGCCATACTCCACGCTCTTACCGTGGATGAAGAAGCTTGGCGTGCTCACGGGGTTTCCACAGATTACGCGCCCATATGGTCTCCGATATGGTGCAGGCAATGCATTCAACCAGAGTGGTTCGTTGCTTGGACCCGCTTAGCATCCCCTCTTCCCTGTAGCAAAACATGCTAACTGTAGACGAATAGGTGACGTGAGCGATGCGCTCCAGAATATGATGCTACAGCATGCTAAGATTGACACCTTCATCAAGCACTACCTCCCGCGGCGGGTTACTGCTGACACTAGAGCTATCGTCTCCGGCTATGAACCTCAGCACGACCTGATGCGGGCAGCCTGTCGGATGACTCGATGGATTGATCCTGACCGACCACAGGAACTCACACTCGAGCAATCCCTATCAGTCAATCAAGATCTCTATATCTCCCGCCTTGTTATACAGCGAGAGAAGTGGAAACGCCGCTTCAAGGGCACGGTGACACAACAGCCTGGGTATCGAATCCTAAGCTGCAAGATCTTCAATGCAAGGCAGCGGCAAAGGGTTGTAGCTCTGAAGCAAATTCAAGATCGGTGGGATCTGGAACACCCTGTTGATGAGATTGAACGGCAGCTCTCTGGGCTCAAGTTCAAACAGGAAGTGAAGACTACTCTGGACCTGGATGAGGATATGCCCCCGATCCAGAAGCGCTTAGTTGAGACGATAATGACTCTGCCAGGAGCGACTTTAGAGGAAGAGTTTCGCCGGCGCAACGCTGCCATCAATGCGGTCGCTGCCTACTGTAACTTCCAGGAGGGTGGAGCTGTTGCCCGACCCCGTGGAAAGCCGACCAACCCGGAGCAGGAAGCCGCCGAGGCCAAGAAGCGAGCGCTGAGCGCCGCTATGTTATCAGTGTATACAGAGAAGAGACCGACCATCTGCTTCGTATGCTTAGGGGAGGAAGGTTTGCTATTCGAGAAGCGTGTGTATTCATTTGCGAGTCCGGGAGACCTAACCAAGCATTTTAAGCGGAAACATTTGTCTAATATTACGCAAGGCAACATGGTTGGGTGCAAGGTCTGTCGGATGTCCTTAGATCACATGATGCACCTCCAGAATCACGCAGCGAGGATTCACGGGACAATTTCTTAACTATTACGTAGTGTTCTTAAGCGCCTAGTCTTTCCTTATCCTAGGATAGACTAAGCAAATTTGTATAAATAGATTAAAAAAGATAGGCTAAATATAATATTAAAGAATTAATATTCCTCGTTCTAGTGTGACGACACTAAGTGTATTTGAAACATAAACTATTATATACTTAAATGAAGAAAACGCGGACTTTACCTAGGCTGAAGGAAAACACTTATAATATGCTAAAAGGAAGGGCGATTGCTATTACATGGACGAAGGTACGAGAACACAACCTGGTGGTTGTCGTTGCAACGGAGTCGAGCAAGGCTAAGGCTTCTTTTTACCCTACAGCGCAAAGAGATCAAGAGTAAGAATTGAAAATTCAAAGCTACAGAAGGAAGAGAGTGTGAGGGACACGAGTCTATATACAGTACACAAGAGCAAGGGCTGCCACAAGCGAGCCCAACCCCTGACCATCTTGGCACGTGATTGAGGGCGCGCCCCCAACCACATGCGTTCCGTCACAGTTAGGGAACTAAATAGAAATCGGCATGTTTCCTATATCGACCCTCAAGGCTATTGCAATTAAACTCCTTTGATATCAACAATATCTAGTCTTTATTATATTCAAACCAAATTTTGGTCTAAATATCACTGCAGGTAAGAAATATTTATAGGGAAGTGGGAATTTTTATGGAGTATAAAGCGGTGAAAGAATTTGTGGAGGTACAAAGGCGGTGAGGATTTGTGGAGTACACAAGGCGGTGAGGAAATATTTGGGTTGGTTTAACATGCGCCTTCAGAGGCTCAGAGCACAGTAAAGAGACCCACATTACCACGTGCACGAGCTGGTGCTCGGGTATTTAATATCTTCTGTACATACCATCTTGGAACTTCTTCCTTTCTTCCTTATGTAAAATATAGACAGTATTTGGCCATAACTCTATTGACTTAGTAGATTATTCAAGCCTTTCACATTCTCTAAAATTATCTAACACCGACACTTCTATGAAAAAATCAACCAGCTGGTTGCTGGTCTACGTATTAGCAACGGTGCCTACCTGATCTGTTCGTATACCAGAAACAGTTGTGTTTAGAAGTCTAGCTAACTGTTTATCTTTTGTAAGATTTCTAAAGAGTGAACGCTATAGAACAGTGATAGAGCAAACTTGAATTATTTTCTAGTATATATCTGGATCGGTTATGTTTCATTAAGTGGATTTCTGCCAATTCGCTTATCAAACTTCAATGGAAAACTTGTGAGAATGTATATTAAGAACAGTACAGTTTATTGAAATGGGTTGTCTACAAAGAGAAAGAGATCCAAAGGGTTAAGGCTATTTACAAAGTGTGTGCGGCACCTTAGTACGCTAGTGCCAAATATCAACATTTCCATACTCACTAATCCAATGACACATTCCTTGCAGCTAACGACAGCGGCGTCTGACTATTATTGTCTTTTGAATCGGCCTCAACATTGCCAGTTTCCAGCAATAGCTTGACTACTGCCTCGTGCCCTCCCTTTGAAGCTGCTTGGATAGCATTGCCAAACCATCCATCTTGAGCGTTGACATCGGCATTCTTATCTAGCAATAGCTTGACTACTGCCTCGTGCCCTCCCTTTGAAGCTGCTTGGAGTGCATTGCCATACTCTCTACCTTGAGCATTGACATCGGCATTCTTGTCCAGCAATAGCTTGACTACTGCCTCGTGCCCTCCATCTGAAGCTGCGTGGATTGCATTGCCATACTCTCTACCTTGAGTGTTGACATCGGCATTCTTTTCCAGCAATAGCTTGACTACTGCCTCGTGCCCTCCCTTTGAAGCTGCTTGGATAGCATTGCCAAACCGTCCACCTTGAGCGTTGACATTGGCATTCTTATCCAGCAATAGCTTTACTACTACCTCGTGCCCTACATATGAAGCTGCTTGGAGTGCATTGCCATACCGTCCACCTTGAGCGTTGACATCGGTATTCTTTTCCAGCAATAGCTTTACTACTGCCTCGTGCCCTCCCTTTGAAGCTGCTTGGAGTGCATTGCCATACTCTCCACCTTGAGCGTTGACATTGGCATTCTTGTCCAGCAATAGCTTGACTACTGCCTCGTAACCCAATTCTGCCGCCCAAATCAACGCTGTTCGTTTTTTGGCATCGTAATATTCTAGTTCGCCAGTGTCATTATTTAAAATTTGACAAAGAATTTTATCATGACCGTTGAACGCTGCAAGTCTAATCCTGTTCATACGTGGTTCTTCATCATATTGCCCCCTCTGTGATCGCCAGAGCAGAGGAAACCATAAATTGAATGGACTATCTATTGTTTGATATAGGCGGGATAGATGAAGAAGAACTTCTTAATGCCTTAAACACGATCCCCGAGAGTCTTGAGGAAACCTACCAGGAAGCACTTGAAAAGATTCCAGCTAAGCAACAGCAACGAGTATGGAATATCCTTATATGGCTCACTTGCTCACTTCGACCTATGACAATAGAAGAAATTGCTGCAGTGGCTTCTATTAAGTTTCCTAGCGAAGTCCTAGTAGTTTGCACTAGTTTGCTAGTAACAATAATTGACGAAAAAACCGATAAGACTATCAAGCTCGCCCATTTCTCCGTTAAGGAATACCTTATTCTTAAGAGCGAAGAATCTAAAGGTTTATCACAGTATAGATTTCAAAGCGAACAAGCGCAAGCCTTTATTTCGAAAACTGCAGTTGAATATTTTCTTCATTCAGGCAACTCAAATATATCTAATAGAAAAGGGCTCCCAGCATCATTACTAAAGTATTATGCAGAATTCTGGCCACGGCATGCTATTAAGGCTTTTGATTCTGATTACCACGATACAAAAGAGTTACAAGACAAAATCAATTCATTGTTTAGTCCAGATCATTCCCAGGGATACATCACTTGGCTTCAGACATTTGACCATGACAGGGAGAGATATGATCAGTATATAAGAGCGGGATATCCTGAACCACTCTATTACGCTGCGTTGCTTGGACTCCGAATGACGGCGGAAAAGCTTCTGGTGCAAGGTTGTCGAATAAGAATGTACGAGGGGAGGAAAGGGAATGCATTGAATGCAGCAGCTATTGAGGGGAATTTTGAAATTATAAAATATTCAGAGAAGCATCACGAAAGGGTTTGGAGGATGGCGGACTTGGCTAAAATTGCGCGAGAAATAAGAAAAAATGTTGAAAATACTTTTGTGCTATTTTTAACAAAAGAGGCAGAGTTGGTGATCACAGAAAAGGTTGTCAAGGCAGCGGCGGAGAATGAAGAGTGTGGGAAAGAGGTGATGATGCTCTTGCTTGAGAAGCGAGGGGCAGACGTGGTGATCACAGAAGAGGTTGTCAAGGCAGCGGCGGGGAATAGACTTAATGGCAAAAAGGTGATGTTGCTCTTGCTTGAGAAGCGAGGGGCAGACGTGGTGATCACAGAAGAGGTTGTCAAGGCAGCGGCGGGGAATAGACTTAATGGGAAAGAGGTGATGATACTCTTGCTTGAGAAGCGAGGGGCAGACGTGGTGATCACAGAAGAGGTTGTTAAGACAATTGCAGGGAGATTTGGGAAAGGGGTGATGATGCTCTTGCTTGAGAAGCGAGGGGCAGACGTGGTGATCACAGAAGAGGTTGTCAAGGCAGCGGCGGGGAATTGGCATAATGGGAAAGAGGTGATGATGCTCTTGCTTGAGAAGCGAGGGGCAGACGTGGTGATCACAGAAGAGGTTGTCAAGGCAGCGGCGGGGAATGAAGAGAATGGGAAAGAGGTGATGATGCTCTTGCTTGAGAAGCGAGGGGTAGAGGTGGTGATCACAGAAGAGGTGGTCAAGGCTGCTGCTGTAAATGGCCAAGAACAGGTTCTACACATATTTGAAACAGATCTTGCTACCAAAGTTAGTAGCTGGGTGCCAGTTGCGCGACTTTACAACGCCTCAAAAGCTGGTAATAAGAATATGGTTCAAACACTGCTAGCTCAAGGGGTGTACCCTAATTCAAAAGACGAACAAGGCCGAACTCCATTGTGGTGGTCTGCATCGAACGGTCATTTATCTATCACAACATTGCTATTGGGAAAAGACGATATACCTCTGAATGAAGCGGATAGGGAGGGGTGTACGCCATTGCACGAAGCTGCTGGAAATGGACACCTATCAATAGTCAAAATCTTGCTATGCCAAGATGGCATCAACCCTGAGTTGATAGACATCAATGGAAAAACGGCTTTTGCATGGGCGATAGAGAATGGATATGCGGGTATTGCGGATATTTTAAAAACTTTTGTTAAATCAAAAGAGTAGTATATAGCTGGGATTCCTATTACCATTATGTTGTACAGAGCTTTCCCCCGTTCATATATATTAGTAGCTTCTGCAATTATTCCAACAGCTGTTAATATAGAATTTATCCATCAAATCCATTGTAACCAGTGACATGCTCATATAATTTATGATGGTTCATAAAAAGTGTCGGAACGTAGCCATCGGGACAATGGCGGCACATATACGCGGTCATGTGTGCACGTGTAATGTGCCAAGGGCTCAGGGGCTTAACCTCTGCGCCCTCTCCAACAACAAGAACAATCAAGAAGAGTCAGACCAAAGAAACCAGGAACCAGAAACCAGGACCGAGTTCTTATTCATTTGTGTGCATACCCGTTGTTCCAACAAAGAGTACTCTCGATTATACATTTAAACTGTTTCACCTGTTCAGAAGTGTCACATTCAAGGATGAGTCGTGCTCCAGTCTATACTTAAATCTTTCAACGAGAATTAATTAGACTAAGTACGTAGATTAAAACTATGGCTGTTGAGAAATAGATTTAACCGGAACAGTCAAATTATTCATTGTATATTGCGTCTTAAGTGATTATATTCTACAAAACCTAATACTAAGTGTTGGAACAACGGGGTGTGCACATAAATAAAGGGAATAGTTGGTTCTGGTTTCTTATACTTGTTGATTGTTCTTGTTGTTGGAAGGGACGCAGAGGTTAAGCCCTTGAGCCCTTGGCATATTACACGTGCACACATGACCGCGTGTATGTGCCGCCATTTATCCCGACACTAAGAACTTCGTTTAACGACTTGTAATAATGGGTAGAACATGCGAAGATAAGATTTCCTGCTCTGACAACAGGTTTTCCCTAAAGTGGCCTCAACGTGGTGCTTTGTTGAATTGGGAGAGAATCGTTTCCATGTGCTGACCGACCTAGCCAATCACATGGTCTAGTTAGGCGCTTGAACTTGCACTTGCACTTTCCTATTCCGGTGAGGCAGAACAAACGGCGAGTTCGACTTTCCTTTTCCAGGAGGAGGTGATTTAGGGATGGGTAATACTATTTCCAGAGTACAGAAAATATAAGCCTCGCATATCCCCCAACCTGTATCTCAGTTCTTGACTCTCGAAAGTCAGTAAAGCAGTCATAGCTTGAAGATACAAGATGATATAACAAACTGTCTACATGACCATTAGACCATTAAGGATGCTAAATTCTTGTTGTAGGAAACAGGGTGTTATCTATCGGTATAAATGGTACTTAGTTGATCAAATTGTCACGTGTGCGGGGGTGGGACGATATGACGTCACCACTTTAGCTAGTTATAGAGTTCTCGCTCACGGCACACACCTACATGAAGTACAACACATATCTCGAATGAAAATCTAAAATGGTATATACATGTACGGGATAACAACTCAATGGCTGTTTCCGGTCATTGAGCCCCATTTACTAATGGAATGCAAGCAGCCAATGCTGAAAAGTCGGGAATTTCGTAGTGCCAAATTTAAATCAACTCCTGTAAAGTAAGAAGATGGGATTTTACAACATGCTCAGCAATATGGTCCGATTCCTCCCCACATGGGCAACGGAGAGAGTGTCCCTTTCCTAAACCAAACTCTAAAAGGCAGTCATCTACAGTCTGCAGAAGCTTCCGAAGCTGCTGGAAGTGATTGACATCTTGATGCCTTTGGGATTTCTTTTGTGACTTTAGAGTCTTTTTTATTGCCGGTTGACCATTTAACAGCTTTTGTAATGTTGGAATCAATTCGATCCAGCTTGTGAGGGCATCCTTGATGAGGCCATGCTTATCCATCTTAATAGTTGTTATAAAAGCTTCTACATATGTTCGAACATCTTCGTAGACGGCTTCTGGTGAAATATGAAATATTTGTAGCAGGGCTTTAAGAACACGACTCATAGTTGGAAGACTTTCTGCTGTGGAGTAATTGATACCGCACAAGAAGCCGCCACTATTAGTAAAGACAGCATGTATGGTGCCTGCAGGGAACTCTAGTACATGTTCTGAGTTTGTTACGGCGATGATGCCACCCTTGAGTTGAGATCCGATACGAGCGAGGCGGTTAGGAAATCCAATCGACTCAGTATAGATTTCCAAATTTTCTTGGAGGGGTGGAAACAATAACCATGTCTTGATACACCCAGCGATCGTCTTAGCTAGACTACGGTTACATTGATCTGAATTAAATTAGTTATATATTCCAATCTGTGCTGTTTTATAAGATTCACATACCATGATGTAAATCGACGAAAGTTCCCTCCGGAGTTACATTGAACCCTACTTTAAACTCTACCTGGCAGAGGTGTTGGCTTGATTGTAGTTGTTGGGGTGGCTGCATCGATAGAGCTGGGTCAGACAGCCATATATTTAAGATAGAGTGCACTGGGCCAGTTGGACAGCCGTTTGTGGCTTGGTAGACTGCATCAGCTGCCAATTTAAAGCGTTCCGCGGAAGCCTGCAAAACTAGATCACCATCTCGATAGACTTGATAATTTTGAGATTGATGCATCGCATTGAAAACAGAGGTGAATACGGCTTGTTCTGTAGGTCGAAATTGCGTCTCGGTGATAGTTGGTGGCTGGCTCTCCCATAGTAGGATTGTTTCATTGTCTAGCGAGTTGATGTCTACGATGCCATATTTAAAGCTTTCTGGACATTTGAATTCCCAGCCGTATTGGTTCAGGTCAAGATGTGGCTGTAGATCTCCATGCTTATCTTCTGGCCCTCTCTTACGCTTCTCCCCTCTTGGTACTATTGAGAGTTATTAGCTTCTAACTCAAGTAGTACTAGAGGGTAGTCTGGAAAAGGTCTTGCTATATCGAACCTGAGCTTTGATAAGTGGCTAGCTGCCTACCCCCATCTATCTCAAGGCCAGTGCTTTGTGGTTTAGGATCTAAGAAGTGAGTTATTGGTTAATGTGATTCTTTAGCTTTAGGATAAGACATACCTTGGCTTGGAAGAAGACAATGATGTTCAGTAAGCACTGGAGGCACATCCCCCCCCAATTCCTTCGCCCAGACTTCAAATAACACTGTAACTTTATCTATATCCCACTTATTTATCTCTTTCGCCGAGTAGGCTACAGCAACTGCCAAGAATAACATTTTCTGGTTTTCAAATACGACCGACCATATATTCTGGAAGAATCTCCGGGTATGTGGCGTTTTCTTCTCTCGATCAAATTTGTTTGTTAGTTTAGAGGCAGATTCCACGCGAGTACGGGCCTGTCTGCTACCAAGGAAGGCTATGGATTGGCGAGTATTTACTAGTTTTGAATACTCATTTTGAATATGAGAAATAATATCCTCTGGGGACTGTGAGGACTCCGGTGAGGGCATTGGGTAAGGAAAGCGATGGGTGGTTGGAAACTGTCTGGCTGGAGGTGTCGCAGGCGGTGGCAGGTGGTGGCAGGTGGAGGCAGATGGTGGCAGGTGGAGGCAGGTGGTGGCAGGTGGTGGCAGGTGGTGGCAGGTGGAGGCAGATGGTGGCAGGTGGAGGCAGGTGGTGGCAGGTGGAGGCAAGTGGTTGCAGGTGGTTGCAGGTGGTGGCAGGTGGAGGCAAGTGGTAGTAGGTAGTGTGGTTGTTTTCCGACAAAGTTAAATGCGCTAATGCACTTGCTCACGTGATTTAGGAAAGCAAGCTAAACTTACGGTATTTGTCCTGCCTTCCTGCCATCAATGAAATATATCATATAAGTGACGGTCTACGAGATTTCGGAGGCGAAGTTCTGAGGCATTCTGCAATATACCGTAGTTTTTTTTTACTGCGTTTGCTGTGTTTGCTGCGTTTGCTGTGTTTGCTGAGTTTGCTAAAGGAAGGCCGTCAGTATGCAAGACATGGATCAACTTCCTGATTGGTGATTTTGTCATCTGGCTAACCTTCACAGATGCATTCATGGAGCACTGGATATTCACCTTCAGAAGGCACTCGAAGGTGACTGGTAGCTTTGTTTCCTGGCTGACGTAGTTCTGGCGGCTTCCTGCAGATATACTAACACCTTCACGCATTTCGCCAAGTCATCTTCTTTCCTTTCACACACAACACCATCTCGATTGTCATAAATGTTTTACCAGTGGAAAGCTTCTGGTCTGCCACTCTTTTTCAACCGCACTGCGCATCTTATTTGCCAGGATATCAACATATAACTCTTCCCAACAGCAATTGCGCAACCTGGGCAGGCTTATTACAGCATCTGCTATTCTCAGAGATCGTGGTTCTTCATTCTCAAAGGTTAAACCTACTCCGCACTCCACCCGGAGACTCGCAACTTAAAAACATATTCCCGATAGGTCGCCTGGCAATCTGCCAATGCCTCACCAATCAACTAATATTCTCATAGGCATCATGTCTAGCGAAACCCAAAAGATCCTCGCAACAGTGGTCAAGATTCGAGATCCGAATGGCGAAGTGAGAAACCATATAGTTCTTAGTCTAAACATGGGGCTAGGCTTTGATATGGGAATTCCGTTCCCGGTCGAAGACTTGAAGGAGTTAACTAACCCACACCGCTGCACAATTACCATGAACATAGGCTGCCGCAAGGTGAGTTTGTTTTGCCTTTTTAATATAGATAATGATTGTATGCTTAAGTGGAATCATCTGGACTCACTGCAAACGCTAATCTAGTATTCGCAGAACGATACTCCCGCAGTCAAGCTCATGTTGGACACCATCTGCAAGGCACTCATTGCAAATGCTCGAACCGCCCACCTTGTTACGCACACGGACATGAAGAAGCATATCGAGTCGGCGGCCAATAATCCTCTCTTCAAACTTAGCGCCGTTGTTCCAGGTCATCAAAAATACGCTGAGGCAGTCGAGAAGTTTTACGCGGTCTACCGCAACGACCTAAATGGTACGGTTGGAGAGGACACGGCCGGGGGTATCATGGAAGGACTCAATAATGCCATGATTGAGTTGCAGTTCATTTGAAAGGTGGATGGATTGCACAAAGTGGAATTCAATTAGGTTGGGTCATAAGTATGGAGGTCAAGTTGCGATCGAGTTTCGAGGGTCGTTGGTAGATATTCATAGAAGAAAATTCGAAGGCATCAAGAGGTTGATCACTGCCAGCAGCTTCAGGGGCTTTGTAGATGACTGCCTTGAGTGATTCAGTCTGAGAGAATTATACTCTCCCAGTGCTCATGATTATATTGCTGAGCACGTTACAAAATTCACAAAGGTCAGTTTAAGTTTAGCACTATTAACTTCCCAATTCATCTTCAAACTTCCGACTTATTCAAATACATTCACTACCCCAGGGTTTACTTTTATATTATATCGGCCCTCCTCTTTTTTATTTTTTTATTGCTATTTAATGTTAGGCGGATTCTAGCTCGCGTGGGCTAGGTCTGAAAAGAGTCCCAAAATAGGGCAAATGACGCTAGGGGAGTGCCCTAGGTTACAGGAGGCGTAAAGAAAGAACGTTATTCACAAGAGACAGTTTAAAGAGAAGCACAATATAAAACTAAAGCAACCCCTTTCCCATTTTCGGCATATATGAGGAGGTCGTTCGCCCAGTTTCGGCCAATATCGAACCCTATTGGGTACCAACTACAAAGAGAGTAGGGTGAGGAAACCCGTGATTCGTTCACCAAATCCTGGCATCACCTATTAATTTCGACAGTTGTAAAAATACCCCCCTTCCAATTTTCTCAGAGGCAGTTAACATCACCACCCATCCTCTCCCTCTACTTCTTTCAACTACGCCAACGTAAAATGTCTTTCAATTGGTACACACAAGCTTCTACTCTCCAATCTGAAGGCTCGATCCTTCAATCAATCACATACACCCTTCAATTTATCAAGAACCTCAACCCCCCTCGAGCGATCTAAATTATTCAATCGATCAACCAGTGTATTTACACCCGAATAAACCGGAGAAACCACTAACCGATAGCTCTCCTGTGCCGGAGAGAGACTCCCGATACTTCACCTCTCCAGCTCCCGAGAACTACTCTTCTGAGCCTAAAAGAAACTCCTCATACTCCACCTTTCAAACTTCTATTAAGCCCAGCTCAAGATACTGTAAACAATACAAGAAACGTTTCCAACCTCGATAGTGGGCAAAGTACCATGAAGACTTTTGCCCTGGGAAATCTATTCGTCAATTTCATCCTTTTAGTTACAGAGAAAATATTGTTATCGTCCACCAAAGAGAGGGCTTGGATATGGACTGGAACGAGATGAGTGAATACTTTGTGAATTGATCGCCCAAATCTCTGCTTTATCAGTGGAAGAATCATCTGGAACGCAATTACAACTATAGACCTCTCACTGAGGTAGACCGAATCATAACTCGTATGGTAGAAACGAAAGATAACACTTGGGAAGAAATCAACGCTGCTGCTAAATATCAGTTAACCTCTGCACACTGCTTCCGAAACTTGAGAGGAGATCTTCAACTTCAAGAGGTACATCATACTGAGAGGCAAACTCGTCTTAATACAATAAAACCTCTTTTGGCATGTTAGCCGTGGTAAAAGTTTTGATCTTTACTTCCTCCAATAATGATGAGATAATTTTGTTAAAAGAACGCCATAATAGGGATTGGGAAGCGATTGGGGAGGCTCTGGGCAACCGGACAGATAGAACAGCATTGGGATCGGGCCAGGGAATACCAAACATTCACTGAGGATGGACTTATAATTCGACTAAGAGAAGAAGTAAAAGCAGACTGGTATTATATTGCATGTAATCTGAAGTTTCTGAGCACTACTATCGCAATTTGCGGGGTTAATAAAAATCCCACGCTTATTTGAAGATCTCAGTATATTGTGTTTTGTAGGGCCGGTTGTAGCTTGCGAGACTTGGAAGTGGTAGGGTGGGGCTCGATACGATGTGAATGGCTAGGTAACCTGGTTTCAATATTTTTGGATGCACCTTCTACTGCATTGGTCCTAGAGCACCATTTTTATTGAGCAGTGATACCAATGACTCACCCTCGTTCATGGTTCCCTTTAGCTATAAATGGAAGGTCTAGCTACGCTTTGTTGATAGCAAAAAAAAGCAAGCGAAATAAAGGTGGGTACCTCTATCTTGTATATGAAGAAACAAGATTTTAATTGGAAGATAGACTACAGCAATTCCACATGATGAGTACCAGTTCTAGGAAGAGTGGCTGGTGCAATGTATTCGAATGCTCTCACCAGAACAACGAGCATAAATACGAGACCTGCGGGGCAGCGGGCTGTCGAAAGCAGTGGAAACGATGTCAGGTACGACCTGATTGTAATGGTGTACACTACAGGATTTGCAAAAGATGTAGTGATCATCCAGGCGGCAAACCTGATTATTGGTAGAGTTCCCTCGCCAACCGTCTACGGAAGAAGACAGTCGCTAGCATATATCATTCAATTGAAATTTATCTGGGGCGGCTTCAATGACCCCGCCAAGCCACGCTTCCAGCCCATTCTGCTGTTCCTTTATCATAACACGGCTGTCCTCGTTTGCAACATCTGACTCCTCGCCACTGTCACTTTCGACTTGTACCCATTTGTCCTTATATACTTCCTCGGGAGGAACTCCTTCGCCGTTGACCATAACCCAGCGAAATATGTCCAAGGATGCCTCCTGGGATGCCTCCTGATCAATCTCGATGGTAGGAAACTCTGTAGTTGTTCTCTGTTCAATCTTTAAACTGTCTGAGCATTGCATAGTAGCTTTGTCGAATCCTTGGTCTTCAAAGATTGAACCATCCACTAGCTCCCAATTCCAGTGCTGATATTGCAGATGATGCCTTGAACAATATAAATGGGAGGTAACCCGAAACACACAATTTTGCACACTGCTATTCCCAAATGGCGCCCAAGGTGTAAACGGACGACTGTTGTAATAGAGGTCATCTTCGACAACAGGAGGGAGGTAAAGAAGGCGCCACACATCCTCTCTTCGAACTTTGTCATTCGATCCCTCACAAATATACGGACCTGAACCTGGAACATCCATAAAAGATTGTGGACACCCTGTCCATGGAAAGGCATTGGCGTCAAGGGGCGGTCTGCCTCTTCTGATTCTACCAAAAATGATCGGCATCAGGCCACTAGCCGCAGCCCCGAGGAAAAGAGCAGTCATTCGTGGTCTACGAAGACCGGATATAATAGCAAGAATTTCATGGTAAAGGCCGGGAGTCTCGATGATCCCTTTACCCTCTGGTACTTCATTCAAAATGGGATGCAACCAAGGGCTAACCAGGTTGCATGTAACACCAGCCTCCCAAAACATCCCACAAAGGCTTGATATAACAACTTCGGGATTGCAACTCAAAGCCATGTAGAACGGGAGCTCTTCATACACTGTAACCCATTCCGGTATGATCGATTTGAGAATGGCGCTCTTCTCTTCCCCTCTGGTTTCCGTGGGGAACGGTATTCGAACAACGGTTCCGTGATAATTGTGTGTCGGAAATGTCATGGCTGTCGCCAGTGCTACAAGAAATTGGCTACCCAAGTTATGGAGCAGAGAAAATTTAGCGAGGAGATTGAAGGCCTCTCTGGACGATGGAGGGGTAGAACGGTTAGACTCCCCAGTAACTGAAACCTTTTCCCGCCAGTTAATGCCACCACAGTACGTGTCTTCACGAGATATAGACCAAGGTGCCAAATACTCTCCATCGTCTCTCGTGGAGACGATGGCCTTCCAACCTTCGCCGGGGGCTAGAATAGCCGCCCACCACCGGGCAACATCCTCCTTGACCTCGCCAATAGCAACAGTCGCCATGGGAGTACGTACATGGCTGGCTTCTTGTTGATAAAGCATAGCTTTTGAGGTTGTATACATCATTTTGGCGCCCTCTCCCTGTCCCTCTACCAAGTGAGCAGATAGGATATAGCACCAGCCCAAAGCCAGAATTCCAAGATAACTTGGTATGTCTCTCTCTTCATCTGTAGTCCCAACCCACCGACGGAAACTTTCTCCGCCAAATGCACACGGGATCGGAACACGAGTGCCTATCTGTAGTAACCCAGGGACCCTCTTCTCCTCTTTATCAAGGCCGCAACTTGTATTATCCGTGACACGCCAAGTGGAGGATGCTTGAATACAAAGTGCTTTGCTTGGAGAAGAGCCGAGGTGACCTATGTAAGTGCTTCTCAAGCCCTTACGGATCGCAGGGACGCGCCAGAGTATATTTCGAGGGTTCGCAAATGCAGGCAAGATTCCATTGCGATGTTGCGACATTGCTATTAATGTGAGGCTGTACCAATAGTGGCGGCATTTCTCTGTGGCAATCCATAATTGATGGGGATTAGGTTGAAGTTGATTATCGTTGTTGATGATCTAATACAATGTTATGTTAATATAAATGACAAATGTATCGAGGAGAGATATACTAGAGATAGTTGTGGTGGACCTGCGACACTGTAAGGATGTGCTTTATCAGACACCGAACTTGATGTACTAGGCAGCGTGCTTAATTTGGGCATGAGGGCCAATGGAATAGAATCGTCCATGGTGGATTGTTTTGCCTCAAATAAACAAACAGATCATGAAGTCACTTCTAAAATAATTAACATGCAATTGTGGACCCCTGTCATTCTTGTCATGAGCGGAGCTAAATCATGTGATTTACCTCCGAGCAACATCCCACCACGGGTATAAATCCACCATTCAATATAAACACTATAGTTTGAATTTCTGAATGGTGGAAATCTGTGTATTAGGAGGAAGGTCTCTAGGCACTTGAAGCTCTTGCTAAGTAACAAAAGGGGCTTAAATAGCCTTTTCAAGGGTCCACTTGTCTGCTCAGGAGAAATGCAATCCAATGTACTGCTACGGTTGCCAACATGTATACTCGGAAGCGAGGACGCAGGCTCCACAATATGATGCTAGGATCAATGTCTCTTTGGATTTTATTGGCTCTCGTGTACACATCCTGCCGCCCCGCCTTGGTAGCGCGCTAAAAAACAAGGCTTCTGGTCGTAACTATTATTGAGTCACTATTTTGTCTTTCTCTTAGGGGGAGTGTTTCTGGTTCGTACCATCTTGAAGGTAAAGGGGGAGTCTGAATAAATTCAAATAGAGAGGATGAAAGCTCTGGCTGGAGTCGAAAAATTATTGTTTTTGGAATGAAGCTTAGGTGCAGACTTTTCTTTGCTGAAGTCCGCAGGGAAAGCTGATGATTATGTAAGCTTATTGGTAGCTGTGAGGATGTCATAAACTTCGGTTGAGGCTTTTACAGTTCGCTGTAGAGCTTGCATTTCCTGTGCGTGCTTATGCGAGCAGAAGTGCTTAGCGTATTCAGTGTGAGCACTCTCGCTTTCTGATCTTTCAATCAGGCCTTCTTTGTACAATGCTGCCTTTGTTCTATCTTGGCGGATATCCAGCGACGGATATCGATTATGGTCTCTACGATTCAAGTGAGCTTGATTACACGCGACAAACACTGTTACTGATAATCAAAAAGGTGGAAGAAGGTAGGAGGGCAAAGAGAATCTGTGGAACTTCTTCGACAAAAGATCACCGATAACCACCGTCCAAGAATTACCGAAGAAAAAGAATTCTACAATTTAACTTCTATACTACGCTATGGATACTCGGTTGGTAACAGAGCTGACGCAAAGATTGATCTAAGCTGGACTTCAATACCAGCATTCCTTGGACTGGTTGAATATCTCTCTTCACAACCTCTGATGGCGCTCAGCCTATCTAAGAAAGCCACCCATGAGGCCTTTACCTGTATCTGGAGTCGGCCATTGAATCATACCCTTCAAAAGAGATACTACCTGCCTTTGTGTCAAGAGAACCCTTCTTGGGCTCAAAAGTTCCACGGTGGTATGACTCTCTTTCCAGGTATTAGGTTAAACTAATAGATATCACAGAGCTCCAAGTCATACCTGTGCCTGTGACCATCCCATTATTGGTATCATGCGACACCCATGCATCATCTACACCAAACGACTACGCTGCTACCTTTCAAACATATACAAAGCACAACCGCGGATATGAGAGCAACAGTATGCTGTCCAACGACCTCAACCAACTAGGTGGAACTCATGGAACACGTTACAGTTTCCCTCAAATGGTGACAGGTCCCAGCACATTTTATCGTTCAGCTTCCTCCTTCGTTGGCGATCGCTTATAGAGCCTCTGCAAACCTAGAGAAAGGTTTCAGCGCGTGATGAATGATTTCCCGTTCACAGCGACATTGTTGGAAATATCAACCATATGGGGTGGGAAGGTTTTACCTCGCATGATGTATGCTCGTGCCGCCTCCCCACGGAAATGTTGGAATGCTTAAGGCGAAATTGAGGAAGTATATTTAGAACCTAAGATACGATTCCAGGTTGAGGAGACTGACGCAGCAATCGAATACTTATGTTCTTTAAACCTACTTGCCTGGAATTCGAATGAAGATGGATATGAGAAGCTCTCTGTTGATCCAAGCCTGCAGCAGTACTTGGAACGAGAACCTCAGGATTCGGAGCAATTGCAAGCTCGAGCATTGATGCTTATATGTCATTTGTTTCCAGGAGATAAGGAGTTAGAACCCTTGTATGTTATGCTTATCATTCGGTATTTACAATCTACTAAAACTTAAACCAGCCAGCATAAAGACCTAGGCAGATTACAACTTCGACCCTTTCAGTGTGCAGTAACATGCGTTCCAGAGCTGCTTAGAAAGAAGATGCTTTCTACTCCGCAGCAACACAATGTTATTACTACATTTTTAGAGTCATCTAACTTCTCTGACTCACACTGGAAGTTTCAAGCGCTGAGCATTGCCGACGGCATGTTAGTTACTAGTCCAGATGAATCTTGAGGCGTATGCAGCAATACGGAGAAAGGCTGTGTCTCGCTTGGTGCTGGGAACAATTTTCAAAGAACCAAGCTCTCTCCTCGAACGCCAGGCAGAAATGCCAGAAACTCCAAAAATCAATGTTCTTCGTTGGAAACAGCGCCTATCTAGGGCACAGGACTGTATCCACCGCGACGATTTCACCAGTGCTATGCGCGAGGTATCTCAGTATGCGGCTGTTAATCCTTCCAAACCATCAACTCTCGAAGGGCGATTTGGCAAGGAAGTACGGTTTGAGCATGCAAGATTTGTGTACCTCGCAGGTAATTTTTTCCCAGAAGCTAAGCGTCTCTTGGAACAAGAATTGCAAGCGATTCACTACGATCGTGGTGAGAAGCTGTATGATAGTCTAATCAGTTACCTTGCTGGTGTTCACTACGAACTTGGCAATCAAGAAGAAGCGGTGAGGTTAACAAAGTCTGCGCTAACAGATACCCAAGATCGAAAGGGACATAGCCGTCTTCATGTTTTGTTGGCGGAGGCACTTCTCCATCTTGGGATAAGCACTTGCACCTTTGATCCTAGTCCATCTATGGACGAAAGCGCACGAACGAGATTCATAGAAGCGAAAGATATTTGCAAGAAGGTTTTACATAGATACTGTCAGGAATCACTTAGCCAGGTGAATTCCGTTTTCCGGTATGTCGATACAAAAGAATCAATCCGTGGTAATTCTGTCAATTGGTTTCTGTATGATTTCTAACTACTTGGGAATGCTCTTATGATATATCCTGAAGCTCATGTGGGTCGTACGAGATGAGCATTCATCTCGTACCCACATTCCAACCAGGTATACGAACTGAGTGGGGACACGGGCCCCTGAAGGGGCGGTTCCCACTTCGGACATACCAGCATTCCGGTTACATTCCGACAGATACCAAAGGTTTCGAAAGTGGAAAGGGTTAGCTATCTGCGTGTTTCGACTATTGTGGCACGAATATCGCTCGTCGAGGCTATTTTCGGCAATAGGGGATATCTTTCAGGCCCTTTGCGAATAGGTCGCTGTTTCTGAAACCATTCCAAAATGTGGATGGGGAAAACCTGGGTTCATGGAAGCAATCAGCCATCTCACCATCGGCACTATTGAGATCTGTCGTGGAGAGACTACAGCATCAGAACATGATGTCAAAGTCGCCTTCACCTTGCTTAATAAAGTAGGCCGTCGGCACTTGATCGTTGGTCTTGGTGTTATATGGCCTGAGTTTACTGAGCGTTTGAGAGTTAGGAATGGTGGCCGTCCAGCTGTAGATTTGAATACAGAACTTAGTATCTAAGTATATACCTTCAACAGAGTGTAACACCAAGTTTATAAGTCGGTCCCTCAGTGATTGACAATTTCAAACCACGGTTGTATTGTATTGCAACTAGACGTCAAAGTATCAATAGATATTTATTCGATACCCTCTGTAAGAGAAGGGATTGTTGATCTATACATATGACAGGTGAGCGGCCAAATAGACCAAGATCGACCAAATTCTTTCATGAGCAAATCGCAGATACTTGTTTTTCATCCGGGAAATGGATTCGTTTATTTCGGGCAGGGACACCATTTTGAACGAGTCATCTGACATTGGCAGCTGAAGCTCGTCGGGGTTTGGCGTTGCGTGCAAATATGACATTTCAATATCAACAGGAACGCTATGTCTTTCATATTGACTATCGCTCACTTTCATGCTGGGTTGCAAGGTTGATAAATCCTAGATACTGCTTTGGATAAAAGATATGGCTGAAACTAAGAAGGTGTTTTCAATCTTTGGCGGCTCCAACTCGAAAATCAGCAAACCAGCCGTATCTATCCACCTACCTACCTGATATACATGTTTCGGCACATACTTGTGGGAAGGCTAGGAATGGAGGAAAGTCGCACATATGGGAATGGCCGGTTAATGGTATATGGGTAACATATCTATTAAAAAGAAAACTGCAATATCAATATTACCGTAAGATCCATGGTCAAAAAAATACTCGGAAACAGAACTTGATAAGTACAGATTGGAGGGCGAGCCAAGCTACCATCCTAAACGCTGAGAGAGAAGTAGCAAGAGCTAAGCGGCGGCATCTCGCTTACGTCCATGTCTAGCTTAGATGTTAGAAATGATATACTGTATCTAATAATTGTCACTTTTTACCTTAAAGTGATAACAGTTTTGCTATCAAAGACCACATTTAATGTTTTACTTAATGAGAATATCTCTGTATCATCAAGAGGTATGATATCTCCATCAAGTACCCAAAGTTCTGTTCGTTGGAGCAAGAGTCTTGCGAGACCCAATCGCCTTAACTCTTGCTTAGTGAGAGCCGTTATATATGTTGAATAGTTGCTAGAGAAACTTTGAATCTTCTTATCAATGTTAACCTTAATGCACGCGGCGCGAATTTCGTCCTCGTTATAATCAAAGCCATTGAGGAGGAAGGTATGGCAGGTGTCGTTTCCGGTCGTTGGAAATTTGCTGGGAAGAATTCCAATGCTCTCTCGAAGAGCCTGTGAGGAATAAGTGGTGATATCTTGATGGTCTAAGCGGATCGTACCCCAAGTTAATTTTTCAATACCACGAAGCACCTTGATCAAATGCCAACGAGAGTCAGAATCCAATCCGTCTATTTTTGTATGTGATATTGGGTTGCATTGGCGATTCAATAGGTTAACTGATCCAATCACAGTATCAAATGCCACAGTTGGCCTGATATAAACAATGTTCTGTTGATTGGGTGTTTCGCCCTCAATATTGATGATGCGTTCGCAGTCTATCCACCCCTTTTGGAATGTTCCAACAGAGTCATACAGTTTAAGAAGTTGCTGTAGTAGTCGTTGAGTCTCCAATAGAACTGTAATTGCCATGTAACGGTCATGGATATAGACGACACGAAGCAGGACCAAACTGCATATTAGGAGACCGGAACATCCATAAAGTTTCCGCATGCCCAATCTCCATATATTCAACTTTTGCTGCTGCTGGTGTTCTTTCTGGCTCATTTCGAACTTTCTTTGCTCGGCCTTCCAACTATTGTTAATATGGACAATTGGTAAGTTCATACAGGTTGATTGCCTAACACTTATTAGTGGTATAACTCGGGTTGTAATGAGAAACTCACACCATCGCACTTTTCTTTCTTTTCTTTCTGTTCTCCTCTCTGTTCCAAGGTGTAGCACTCCTAGCACTCTCTACCACGATGTAGATACAAGTCATACTCGTTAATGCTACCGCAATTCCAGTGAATGTTCCAAAAGAACGCCAGAGAGCGACTGTAATCAAAACCAGCTCCAATCCACATGGAGACCATACAAACAAAACCTCGCGGAGACAAGTAGCGAGGGATCCCCCTTTATTAAACTCGGATTGGAATTCGCTTTTTTGAAAGTTTCTTGTATACTTCGGGGAGTTCAAGACTATTCCCAAGCCTCGATCCTTTGTAACACTTTCTGACCAACATTCCACATCTCGCCATAGAATTGAAATACTGCAATCGCATAGTCTCTTAACAACATCGAAAGAGATCCACAAAACCAGAAACTCAAACTCTATTTCCTTTCTGCCAAGAAGAAGCGATTGAAAAAAGTTCGATAGACTTCCAATAACACTGAGCAATATACAGATATATGGTTTCCAGTCCAGAAATCCATATCCTCTTGGCCAGATCAATGGCCAAATCTGTATGAAGTACTCAAAACCTGAGTACTTGGAAGGGATTACTGAATTAATAAGAGGCGAAGCTTCAGTAACCATGTTGCGCAGAAGGATCTTGAGTTCTTTGGAACAGAACAAAGTCAAAGAAGTTACAAAGTTCCATAACGAACAATCGTTCTAATATGTACAACCTATCAAGTCACAAATCATTCCACCGCATAGAACTTTGCATGCATAGATATTAAGTGATTGATAACATTGAGTGGATATTGGACGGAAAGTTAAGCCGGCGAGAATGAGTAAATGGGAGGAAAGAGAGATTAAGATCCCAGAAGTGGTGTCTCTGCTACCTAGAAGCAGTGCTGGGTTTCATATGGAACGCGTTTTCACTTACCCGTTCCTGACCGCTTCCACCCCCCCCACCCCTTATATCATGCCGCCATCCTTGATCAGCGCCCGTCCGTTTGGTGTATCGGGAAAACCATGTTCCTTCTCACTGTCTTGCTGTCTGTCTTGCCGAAAGCAGTAATATGTTGGGTGGCGCCAGCGATGATTTTTGATTTAAGCGGACTAGAGCAGAAAGTTTTGGTTCCGAGACGTCACTTAGGAATCATCATCAGATTTTGGATTGCAGTTACTTGGCCGAGAGCCGGGGTTTAGAACAGCAAATTGAATTGAAGTTATAAAAATACGAGGAGAAATGAATTAGTATATCTAGTATTTGCAGCTATGATACAAAGTTTTGTAATTCAAACTTAACAAATCGTTGAAAATAAAAATATCCTCCAAAAGATACCAGATACGACGACTGCAAGAGCTACAAAAGAAAAGAAATGAAAATCCATCAGCTAATCAATACAAAAGAGACAATGAAGCAATTTTTATCTACATCCCCATCACAGACTCATTCGCCTCCAGAACAACGTCCCATTTGCTATTTGATTTCGCCATTACTGGACATCGCAGCGATACCTGAGCGCGACCATTATTGGGGAGGAGATATGGTTGAAATTGACCTTCAAGGACCAGCTTTCCACGAAAGTCCTCATTTTCAGACCGTAGAATTACATTCTCTTGATTGAGAAGGAGGAGTTCCTTGTTGAACTTCTTCCACAAATCTTGACCTTGGGTATAAAAAATCTTATTTCCATCGGGATAGGCCATCTTCCCTAGCATTTTTGCTTGCCGGACAGTGTCTAACCACTTTCCCAATTCGATGTTATAGTTGCGATTTTGTCTCCATACATCGAATATTAAAAGATGGTGCCATTTCCAAAAGAAATCGCCTGGATATGCTTGAAGTCCTACTGCAATTGCCAATTTACCATCCACCAGTAGCAAATTTCGTGGAGTGTGAGAGCGGTGGGACGATAATATGGTTGAAAATACAGGAGGTTTTGGAATGCGTTGCATTATATTGTCCTCGGTATAAAATTGAGTAAGTCCATCTTCAGTCATCGATATACCTTCGATGATTCGGGCATCGCCGTTCGCTAGCTCATATATAGATGTTTTTGGCCAGTAGGTTTCACCATCGTCAGCTAGGAGTGATGGAGAGCGGCCATTCCAGCTCAGAACACCTGTTAAATGATCTTGCCATCCCCCATTCATTCTTTTTTGAAAAGTAGCAGGCTTTCCAACCAAGAGCCATATTCTGTCATCAGTGACTTGTATAGTATTTGCCTCGCTAAACCTCTGTTGTTGATGATATTTGATGGCATCGTTCCCCAAGTCTCTCGCAATGTCTGTAAGCCATTTCCAAATCGACTTCAGATCACCATTTTCCTTTTCCCTTTCCATTAGGGAATAAATAACTGCTTGCACCTCCTGGAAACGAAAAAGAATCTCCTGCCAACTGTACCATCGATCTTCTCTTTTCGACCCAAGCTTAACAAGCCCAGCTTTCAGTTGAATATTCCAGCGCAACCATATATCGAAAGTGGGAGCACCGCGACGGGGAGATGTTCCAAGTGCGGCAGGAACTGGTTGGTTGAAGAGGGGGAAAATGGGTATTACTGTGTCGGTTGAACCATCAAGTAGGCAGTTTTGAGATGAAGCTGGAGGACATGTTGCCACAGAGCCGCTGGGGAAAGAATCGAGACTGATAGTGTCTCTATCAGTACCCTGCGCTCTCTTTTTGGCATCTCTTCGATACCAAGCCTTATTCCGACGTCGGGTATACACAGGAGAAGTATTCGAAATCGAAGTGAAATTAGAGCAAGAGCTGAGGTTGTCGCTATTTTCAGGTTGGAGAGCATCCTGATCCTGCGTTTTGGCATGCTTTGCCGCCGCCTGTCGGGTACGCATAATAAGAGGTTATTGTGAGATTGTACAAGATGTATCGCGGGGAATGAAAAGAGGAGAGGATGTTATTTGCACATTCGATGGAATTTCAGTATACAAAGAAATTGTTGGTTGAGGAAGATTGGAGGTGTGGCTAACAAGCACTATAAAACACTTCCACCATTATGTGGCTTGGTCCACACCCTAAATTATCTCTTCTTCACCTTTCGATCCTTTGCATAATTCTTCTTACCTAAATGGGCATGGGTGTGCCGCACAACAGGCATTGAGCGTGTCGAGAATCCATAAGCCTATCGAATGATTCGTTCCACAACACTTCATGCTGCTTATCACAAATATAAAGGCCGAGAAGACGTCCCAATTCCAGATAATTCTCTACAAGCTACACAAGATGGCTTCTCTACAAAGCAACACTACCGTTACATATTACCTTGTTAAACCACCATTTCCAACTCCGAATTCGAATACACCCACCCTCACTTTCAATCGAACCACCAATGAGATTCAACTTCCAAACGAGTTTGAGAAATATCGTGAACGTATTAAAACTGTGCTGGGGAATAGTTCAGATGGCTGGGAGACCATTAAAATAGATTCCAATCTGTTAGAAGCCTTTTCCCCTTCTGAATCACGGTATACTTATATCTCAAGATTTTTATATAGTCAGAAATACAGTACTGTACGAAGGGTAGAACAAGAAGCAGGAATTTGTGGGATGGATGGTAACTTAGAAGATTCAGTTTGGTGGTAGCATTATCGTGCTTGGGGGGTTGGAATAGTAGTTTGGGAAAGGTTGTCTTTGCAAACAAGTCCAAATATCGAATTCTCCCTTTCTACGTTCGAAACACCTACTACAAATTCTCCAAGACACTCAAAAACCAGAAAACTCGTCAAAACACTCGCTCACCAACCCTGCTTCAATCGCGACACAACCATGTTTTGGGCATATTACCCAACCAGAGAAGGGATAAAGGAAAGGAAACCAGTAGGAGCCAAAGCACCTTTGATAGAAATGCCTGTTACTTTGGAAACCAGGTGCTATAAGATGGTTTGATGGTTTGATGGTTTGGGAATACGGCGATAATATAGGTCACTCGTGTCATCATGCACTCACTATTCTGATGTTGTATCATGCTCTTCTCTAGCTTGTAACTTCCCCCTTCTAAGTGTGAAATATAGTAACCCAGAATGCAATTCAAGAGACACACAGCATAGCACGGATTGTAGCATAATTTTCATGTATAACACGCTAAAGGCAAGTAGAACTCTGGTTCAATTTCTGCAGACTATCAGAAGCAGTGTGTGATGATGGCTTTCGCGATTGGATCGGTCACCGATTGTGTCCCCTTCAATTGCTCCTTCAATTGCCCATCGGCAAGGAGCATTCCAGTTTCATTCCTGGCCATATTCGTCTCTTCATTATATGTATCATCGACGTACATACTGCCAACCGACTCAATGTACTCCTCACCTTCATGTCCTGAGATCACAGTAGGTCTTTTCAACTGTGCCATTCCTTCTTTGCACTTTGTATGTTGACCATCAACGTCTATCTCAGTATAACCCCCACTGATTTTCATACGCTTGTTTTCCAACTCTATAATTTCTAGAGTAACGTTGCCCCTCTCTTCCTTGATCATTATCACCCTATCGCGTTCTTCGTTGCTTGGCTGTGCAAGGGGTGGATTGGCAGATTTGGTTCTGGGATTGCGCGGAGCAGTGACTTGCGTAAATGGTTCCCAATCGTCTTTGAGGAGTTCGGTTGAAAGATGGTATATATGAATCACTGAACAGTTGTTAGTTTGCTCTCCTCTTGAAATAGTGGTAGTGCTACTTTGCCAATCTGCAGTGTTCCAATTCTTTTCTCGTGTAGCAGCGCGAACGCTGTGGACTTTTAATTCAAGTTGCATGGCTGTTAATGGTTTGGTTTTGTGTTTTGGCGTAGGTGATTGGGGTTGAGACGGGGTTTCAACAAGTTCAGTTGAGCAAACAAATTGGTGCAGATTATGACTAACATAATACAGTACATATTTATCTGCTTAGCGAGGTTCAGTCAAAAGAAAACCAAGAGCGTAGATATTTCCGAAAAGAACCTATTGACTCAGAAAATATACTTAAACAAGTTTTTTTTACCCAAAAATAAGTCATTCGAGATTTGGGGTAGGGTATACAAACGTCTCATATAACCATATGTGTGTTCCCTATCTTGGTTCAAATACAGCTTTCTATCATAGTATCGGAAGCTGATTTGTTGCACGAGAAGACATAAGGATCGATCTGTTAATATTTCAATTTAACTTAGGGACTCTGGACTCTTCTAAGAGGGTCATCTGGCTTAATCTAATCTCCCTTTAGGTCTCCGTGTCTTGTTTTGGCCTACTCCCGCCACTCTATATATCTAAATTAATATTTACAAACTAAATATAACATGGGAACATACCATCAATTTGTGGATAGGGTGTTTGATATTCTGGTATACTCGAATTATACTGCAGTAAGGTTGAGGGGTTATGAATGCTCTCCAGTCCCTTGGGGTCTGATCCACGTTTCCGCTTAAGTCTCCGTTTCTCATTCTGTGCAACCTTTTTATTATTCTTATCGTCCTTCAGATCATCTGGTAGTATATCTTGAAGTTGTTAGTTAAGTAATAATATTAACATAAGATAAGCGTACCTGAACAGGCATTCACAGATTGCATAGAAAGCCATAGGTAGATTCCCACAATACCAGGGTTTTGTTGTTCTCTTTTTGCTTCTAAGAAATTGCCTATGCTTTCAATAAGAAGGTTGATGTCCTCGTCATCTAGTTCGAGAACTTGTGCCTCAAGACCATCCGTATGATGTATGTACCCATACACGACCATTCCTTTTTCCTGTAGTCTGTGGAATAGCTTGGTTGCCAATTCACAGCTCGGAAGTGACTGCAATTGTAACTCCGCATTAAAGTTACGCTTGTACTCTATATACTGTCTCTGGAGGAGACATTCTAATTCCAGCCGTAACTTTGCTCTTTTTACAGACTTGGTTGCTTGAACCAATGCCTTCGTAACCTGAGTCAAGCTATCAGAGTTGGGCGATTCGTCAAGAAATTGCTGAAGAGGCTGATGAGCCCAAGAAAGATTTTCCATTGGAGATAGCGATCGTAGTGGATGAGACTATGCGGTGGAGGCTTGGTGGGGTCGTCAACATTTTAATTCCCCACGTTCACTAGACCACAACCCTTGATTGCGCCACGCAGCACACTATTAGCAAAAGCAAGTCTTTCGATTGACCACGCTCCATGCTACAGCATGCAGTACCCTGTTGGCACAAGCCATGGTCTTTCGCTTAACCATGGTCTTGCTACAGCACGCTGTACCCTGTTGGCACAAGTCACGGTCTTTCGCTTGACCATGGTCCTTGCTGCAGTACGCGGTACCCTGTTGGCACAAACCACAGTCTTTCGCTTGACCATGGTCCTTGCTGCAGTACGCGGTACCTTGTTGGCACAAACCACAGTCTTTCGCTTGACCATGGTCCTTGCTGCAGTACATAGTACACTTGACCACATTCCTAAGCTGATGCCATGTGATCAGCGTTTTAATTTTACCAAACATAATTGTACTTGGCGATAAAGCGAGATTTGCAATCGCATGATAATAGAAATTCAAAAATGATTGAGAAGACCATTGTCATTGTTGGCGCGGGTGTAGCAGGCGCATCAACAGCGCTGGCAGCTCTCGACGTGTATGACAAAGTCCATTTGATTGATTTCCCATCTCCTCCTCTTACTCACGCGTCACAAGGCCTAGAGAGAATCGTCCGGGCATCCTATCCTGAGAATAAAGCATACGAACTTCTTGCCTCCGAAAGCTTGCGACAGATCAAAAGCGGACCTCTTTCCAAATATTTTCACGAATCTAAGCGACATGTGCTACAGCCTGGTGGGACGGGTTCTGAACGGAAGACCTTTCGTGAGATTCACTTTGATGATTTAGACGGCGAATATGACGAACAGCCTGCTGGACGGATTGATGCAGCAGATGCTTTGGAGTGCATAAAGCAGATGGCACAAGATCGTGGAGTGATTCTCATATCCGAGAGAGTAACGTCTCTTGTGTGGGACGGTGATGTCTGTAGCGGAGTTCGCACAAAGGAGGGGTCTACATACCTCGCTACGTTCGTCCTTTTGGCTATGGGCTATCGGGTCCCAGCCTTTCTGGCAAGTCAAGGCAAGGCAATGGAGGATGGCCTTTGCAAGACTGCAATAGTTCCGTGGGGGGAGGTCAAACTCGATGATCAGCAGCACGAAGAGCTCAAAGGGAAGGCGATCACAATTGTCCCTGGCGTAGGTGCGTTATTTTCTTCACTTCACCGAAGCCAAGCTCACAATTCATAGGCGAATATCTTCAAGGAACCGAGAAAAGGATATTGGTAAACAATGCAAGGACAGTTGAGGTCACAAATCTGGAGCAAGTTATGCAGGCATATCCTCTTCAAGAGACGTCGATTTACTACAAGGAGACGCATGATCTTTTGTGCTGGTTTCTGCCACAGCTGAAGGATGCACCGTTCGAGTTGCATTACTGCCCGTGTGTATCCCACTATATACCTTAAATAACCTTGCTAACGAGTTAGCGATCTTATTACGGCAAACCAACACTTCTTGATTCGTCCTGTTCCGGACTGCCATGGATTATACATGGCTTGCGGATTTAGTTTTCATGGATTCAAATTTATATCGGTCATCGGTAAGCATATAGTAGCGATGATGGAAGGGAAATTGGATCCTGAACTTCTAAAGCTGTGGTCTGGGTCCATTAAGGGAAATGAAATACATGAAGAAGTGATGCCTCTCCGTGAATTCGGAAAAGGGGAGCTATAGCCATAGATGACAGCAATAATTATAACTCAAAATCCCTCAACCAAGACTGAGGTCGTGTTCCAACATAATATCCTGTTTCATTTTCCAGAACCAGCCATGCTCGATAATATTTTGTTGACTACCTATGTGCCATCGAAGAATTTTCTCAGCAACAACTATCGGCAGGCCTGTATTCTATAGAGCCATTAGTTAGAGCATTCACAACTCATCCACGATATCTTACCGTCCTTGTTGATCTATCATATATCCCTTTCAGTCGGTCAAGACATTGGATGCCGTAATTGAGACTACAGAAGATCGCCCAAAAATGTGGCTGCAGAGGATGTTGCATAGTGTAGAAATCCATCTCATAACTTTCACTACCATCAGGGATTTTCAGTATCAGAAGTGCAAGCTCATCACCCAGCATCTGTAGCTGAGAATGCTTTCGAGTATAACTACAAAGGCAATTAGATTGGTTTATGAGGTTGATCTCGTTACCTACCCAAGTAATTGAACCATGATATTCATTTGAGCAGTTAAATGAAACGAGCGAGCGATTTTCATAGCAACGTCGGCGTTCTTCTTATAAGGTTCCTTAGTCCAATGTTTAATGGCTTTGATCCTTTCCATCAATACCCTCCCTTGTCTAACTCTCTCGTTGACGAGGTTACGCGTCTTAACTTCGATATCATTGATCAGGCCCATTGCCACTAATAGTTCCTTCGAACATCCTAAGTCGCGAATCATCGAATATTCCTTTTGACAATTTGAGTCATGACAAGGTGATAGGTGGCTGCACATCTCAAATTCCCTTCCAAACTTGCTACGGGCAAGGAGAAGTTACTTCATCTTCCATCTTTCTTATAGCCGAACCAGCATCTATACCCCAGCTTCACATTGTAAATCTTTTGAAACCCCTGGACTCGCTTGCATCCACTATGCCCCTTCAAATCTGATTTTATACGATGTTTAGGACCCGTATACAGAAGGGGAGGTGGAAAGTGTCAGTCTATCAATCTTCAGGTAGTGCAGATTCAAGATACCTACTTGCATATATTGGTTGGTGGCTTTCCTATCTTCCAAACTGTATTTCAAGGCCTGTCAATCTTCTCACAGTCCTGCCTATGATAGGGGAAATGAAAAAGGTGGGGGCAGATAAGTCCTTGGAAGTGTGTGAGACCCTTGGCGTAGACTTATTAGAAATATAAAATAAGCTTCCTGATCAGGTATGAGTGATAGTCTATTCGACTGAAGGCAGCAATGTTTACATTGGATAACTAACACCCAACACGAAATATTTGTCAAATCAAACGCTGAGGGGTTGTCCATTTGGTGTTATGCTGAGGGACTTCGCTTATACAATCCCTACGATTTGAAGGTCAATTACCCCTATGCAGTGCTTGGCTTTATATGCATGCAAGCCTAAGATGATAAATTACCTCTATAGGCGGGTCGAGCCCCCGAGTTCAGGGTCCTCATAGCGAATACAGGTAGGCTTTCAGGGGGAGGTAAGAGAGAGCGTAAAGCACCAACCTCGTCCCTGACACCAACCTCTTCTATGTGTACCGTCTTCGAAGGAGAATGAGACTCGGGCTCGCGGTAGTGTAGGACGAGTTGGGATGATTCTTGTGGATTACTGAGAGCTTCGTGTCCGAGGTTCCCTTGAAAAATTGTTACCTCAGATTAAGTATGCTGTAGATTCCTGACACATTTATCGAGAATCTTAGTTGTTGATTCCATACATATAAACTTGGCTGTCAAAAGAGAACATCGGACATTTCGACGGAAGTCTTCCCAGTAAGTAGAGAACGAGACGAGAGCACCGGTTGCTTTGCATTACAGCGGGGCGCCTTACAGGGTGTTCAATTGTCAGAGGAGAGCCATTATTAAAGTTGAGACTTGACTTACACTTGACTTACAAGTCAAAGTCTAGCGTTTTCTCAGTTATCTTGGATTCCAATCTTTGATGTGTCATTTATTCCCTATTCCCTATTCACTGCATTTTGAAATCAACATGAACAGCCTTAACTCAGTATTCTGCCCTAGACAAATTGCTTTCCTTCCCGCAGACCTCTACCACTCAACTTAAGAACATTGCCGCATAATCAGACTTGAAATTCTCCACCTTTGTCTTTGGTCTTTGGCATCCAGGTTGGCTTGATAGCAGGTGGCCTACAATCACCTAGATAGATGCATTAATATCTATCTTCTCTTTCAAAAGGACATTAACAAACCACATTGTTTATCTAATCTGTACTAATCATTAGAAGCAAGCTTAATTTTCAAGTTGTAAAGAAACTTACTTAAACTCAATCGCCACGACGAAGGGAGCGCAACGTATGTGAGTTGTCTCATAGTTGATACACCATGCACAAACCGTCCAGCGGACATGCCCGCACCAGAAATTGACTTCTGTATAGCTACACATAGGGCACCGTGCAGTTGACGAATGGAATGAAGACAGAAGTGAGGCGGGCAAAGTCCTTTTGCCTTGTTTTGATAGCGGAGGACCAAGAGGGTTGGTTGCCTTGTACAATCGGTAAAGCAGGTTACCTCGTCCTGCAGCTTCTTATACATTATAATGGAACCTCCACATTTTGGCAATGAAAGAATATACGTAAACGTGGCATTCGAAACCACATGCTTTCATTCACATGGGCCATGTTAACCTTCTCGGGGTGGAAGAGACGGTTCACGCTAAATTCCGTGGGTAGCCTAGAAGCCTGTGATTGAAGAAGTGGCATTAACTTGTTCCTACTAATAAAACCTTTATCGACCGACAAATGAGGCGCTAGGACTGGGAACTTTCGCTCAGTCAATACTCAATACTCTACTTCCGGCAAGAAATGGCTGAATTTTGAGAAAGAGCGTTTCTAGTGCTACCCTTCCATGATCTGCATTCTGCAGCTGGATCCAACTTCGCTTGTTCAATCTGCGCTATTTTTGTCGTTGGTAGGAAAGTAAGCTGCATTCAGAAATTCCAATTAACCAGCATCACCGAATGAATCGGGTGCCGGATCCCGACCCGGAGCACGTTCTGTGGTGACCTCCAAGAAAGATACCAGAGGTGGGGTTGTGTAACGTCGATCTTCAAAGCAGGATTATCGTAAAGAGTAGACAGGCTACAGACTAACATATGATGTCTCTAGCTGCAAAATGAAGGCGTTCTGCAGGAATAATTGACCTTCAAATCTCAGGGGTGGCCTGCTAATCCGCGTGACTTCGATTTGAAGGTCAATTATTCCTGCAGGAATAAGCTGCAGGAATCCTTCAAATCGCAGGGGACTCGATTCTGCGTTTCCCCCGCGTTTCTCCCTAACAATGCGGCACTAAATAGACAGCTCCTTAATATTTGATTCGGCAGAAGAGGCCGCCAGTGAGTCGAATAATATTCTTCCGTCAAAGGTAGGTTGATGCTCTCCGAACTGTTATCTTACTAGTCATCGTCCAGGTTTTGCGTCCATGCCTGCTTGTATCACAACAGTTCAACTCGTCTCTAGCCTCGCCCTCTCCAGATGGTGAACTCTAAATGGAGAGCCTCGTCTCTAAACGTTTCTGCATTGCCTCTATCATCTTCTAGTCTACCCCATGGTAGGTTGGTGTCAAACGTACTGCCGGGTTCTCAGCTACTTAGTGTTTCGGCCGGTCTACCTTCAGCCACCGATACCACATATGGTTTATTGGGGCAGATCCATCATCCATCGATTATAGCTTCAACCGATTTCCTTTCATCAAGCCAAATCAACATTGAGCCCAGAACAGAAAGCCCTGAAGCATTCTTTATAGCCGCACTCGGGAGCTCCGAAGAGAAGAGGGTAAAGCGGTTAGTCAGCGTGGTTCGTGGCTTTTCTAAAGCTGATGAATTTTCTGTTGGATTGCATCAGAATTTGTCTGGGTGGTTATACATCTTCAAGTCTGAACCGGAAGTTGGATTTGAAGATGGATCCGCACCGGAGACGGCATTTGAGGCCGGTGTTGCTCAAAGGCTTCGTCAACTAAAGCAGGCCCGCTGTAAAATGAAGGAGAAATGGGCAGATACTCGCCTCTGGCTGGTTTTCCTTGCTCACGAAGTGGAATATATATCTCAGTGGGAGCACATCAGCCTTTATACCTCTCGTGGGGTTGACTCAATGTCCGCTGCTATAAAGATGGCCACGAAGTACTTGGACAAGGCCAATGGTGATTACAAGAGAGGCAGAAACATCATACAGGTCATGAAAGAAGGAGGCCCGGCTTCATTGCTAGAGAGTGGGTGCTTCCCGCAATCCAGGTAAGCTACATTCCTGTGCTTTGCCAACGATGACTAATGATGTATTCCAAGGTGGGAAAGATTCCTGGCCCTAGATGATATCACTCACATCTTTGCGTACAGAAGAAATAAACTCCTAGATTTAGAGGCACGGACTGACTCGCACAACTTTGAGGTCTCACAGGCAATTTTAGATGGTTTTATGAAGTATGGGTGGTCCTTCTCGGAACTTCTAGACACCAATACCAGGGTGATGGCAGTACTGAAGCCCTACGTTCAACACCAAAGACAGCATACCGATGGCGGGCTGGGAGACTCGGGGTTTCGAAGTAAGTTGGTTTTAGGACAACTGCCTCTCGAACACCCCGACCGAAAACGGCGAAATGTCAATCTGATCAAGTTCGAAGATCCTGTATCTCACGAACAGCAGAAGTCCTCCGAGCCTCCTCCTGCTCATGTTCCTCTGAAACGGACACACCTATGGAGTCATGACTCGGAAAGCAGGGCAGATAAAAGAAAGCGATCGAGTTCATCGACTTCGGTAAGGCATCTCTGGATACCTGCAGCCCCATTCGCTGACAATGGATTTGTTTTCCAGTTCAATCGTTCCAAAGTTTCAAATTCACCATCTTCACCTCAGGCTCTGTTGGTTCTTGAGAGTCTGTTCTATAATATCAAGATATATTTCGAAACCTCTTGTCGAAATATGATTTTAGACGACCATGGAACCCTCCTCACTTTAAATGGCTCCAAGTTACATAATGGCCTATGCAACGATTTCGATTCGTACTGCTTTACCGCTACCATGCTCAAAGAAAAGGGGTTTTACGTCGAGTTTCGACGCGCACTTTCCAAAGCTTTTGCTCTTGTCGAACAAATCCTTCGAACCGAGCATCCTCGAACCCTAGCCTGCTTTCTCGAAGTGTTCATCCACCTCATACAAACCAAACTCCCTGAAGTAGTTTCCTCTCTCCGTGATTTCATCAAAAGAATGTCCGCAAAGGTCACTATGAATGGGCATCCCTGGAGTCAAATATGTCGGCTTCTCGGTGAACTTGACTCGGAATCTCTTGATCAGGCGATGGCACAATGTTGGAAATGCATTACTTATACTTTTGATAGCGAACTTGGAACGCTCAGTCCACTTGCTGTGTCTGTCCGTCTCGATTATATAAAGCGCGTGTACGGGATTACGAATTATCTTGAAGAAGAACGGCTTCTACGAGATCTCCTTGCTCAATTTGGGGGCATTCCTAGACTCCCGACCCCACGGGTGATGCTCAACCTGGCGCATAATTTGAACAGACAGGGACGATATGACGAAGCACAGGAGATGACGCTGAATGTCCTTTCGCTGCTTCAAGAATATGAGATATATGCTAAGAGAATTGTCGAGAGAATAGAATCTCTGAAAATCGTTTCTTGCAGTCAATTTAACCAAGGGAAGACCCTGGCAGCAGAGCAGACTATGCGAGAGGCGATACAAATGATTGTGCATCACTGGGGAAGACAACATTCTTGGGTCTCTGAATTTATGAATGTTCTGGAGGGTTGGCTTCGAGGCTGGGGCCAGGAAGATGCCGCTAACACACTACGGGGAGAAATAGAAGAGTTGATGGGGAAGGATGAAATTGATGAGCAGCGTGATAGGGTACAAGGCTCGAAGCCTAAAGTACATACACTCCACTAGAAGGAACTGATTCAATAACAAATGGTCCTCATAGGTTATTATATATTTGCATTTATGTTCAGTGGTTTTATTCACGTAACTGAGAGAGCTGTGCTGTTGAGATGAAGAGTACTATAGTTGCATAGTAGTCTCCCTATTCTTTTTGCTATATCACGTAGCAATATCAGCTTCAATTCACTACACAGCTCCTGCCTTCATCTTCTTCTCCAGGAGGATCAACCACCGCTCCGCTTTCCACAAGCACCAGCTCATCAACTCTGTGCACGGCATATTCGACCCGCATCCAAGTCTTCAAGCTCCCGGTACTGGTGTTGAGTTCCCAAACCCGCATTCGTCGGTGAAATCGCTCTCTGCCGTACGAACAATATCCCCCGAACCCACTGCCACCTCCATAGCATAGCCAAGGGCCAGGCTGGGGGGGTTCGTCGCCGTCCTGCTGCGTTTGTTGTGGCAACAGAGCGCAAAAATCATTCACATGATCGTGCCCGCAGCCTAATGCTGATATGCCTCCTTTGATCAAAGCGTCGTAGAAATGGGAATTGAAGCTGGGGCCTTCAGTCGGTTCCCTCCGGTGGCCATTGCGTATCCTAAGATGGCGGTCTCCAAACTCGGGAAGGGGGATGTGTAGGAAAGCTAGAGACAGATGAAAGCGGTTGTCATTGTTGTCCTTCTCACGTGATCTTTGTTGTGCTTGGGAAGTGTTTGTGAACCAGTCAATTTGGCTTTGCTTGATAGGATCATAGTCGGGATTGTGTATCTTGCTCGGTATTTGACCGTGCGAATCCAGGAAATATAAAGTTGATAGCGGGAGCTGTGATGGGGCGGGAGCCAGGACCTGAAGGTAGAAGTTGCCTATGCCGTCGACCTGCTCTGGGCCTGGTTCGCAGAGGCTAAAAGGCAGATCCTGAAGTATCAACATCTGTGACCTGCCTGCAATCTAGTTAGCAAGAATGGACAGCTATTATTCCCAAGACATAGGTTGTTGATCGCCAGCTCTGTGTATGAGCCACCTTATAAAGAATTTACTCACGTGATAATGCATGGATGCCCTCACTATCATGATTGCCAAAGACGGCTGCGAATGGGATTGAACGCTTGATGATAGGAGCAACCACCTTGAAGAGCGCAGATTGGCTGTCGGAGGTGTCGTGGTGCAACTGATCGCCGGTGAGAATCACAAGGTCTGGTTTCTCGATATCCAAGATCTTTCCAATGAAGTCCACCGTAAGTGGATCAGCCTCGCTCTCTGGCAGATTCTTGCCATGGGCATCAATAGCATCTTTGCATACCCCGACACCAGTGACCATATGCGTGTCAGAGATCTGGACAATCTTGAATTTGCCATCCTCCCTAATTCTCAAAGCCGCCCGGGCATCTGGTCTCGGCTTGGCCCTACCATGGAGTACGCTTAGTCTTGCAACCGGTACCTTTGGCTGAGCGTTAAGTTGAAGCGACGATCGTATCAGAGCCCATTGTGGTCGTGGGTCAACGGCATCCACACCAAAGAGAACGTCTACCTCTGTCACAGCCTGGTCAACCCTTCCAGAGAACTTGCTTCTCAGCACCCAGATTCCACCAGGTCGACTTTCCCATGAATGACCTGAGCCAGGGCTAGGAGGCGGTTCGCCTACTCTGATATCCATAACCAGCAGGTCCTCATCTGCAAGCTCTTCTTCATTCGCTAGCGCTACATACAGCCATGCACTCTGCTGAGATGTATATAGGTAGAGATCCTTCTCTATGCGGTGCCATATTCGCGGGTCCAGTTCGCAGATGGAAGGAGAAATTGTCGGAGAGAAGATGCATACGGTCAGATCCGTGACTACTGGGTGAGTAACAATGGTCGTAGTGTGTGAGGACGTAGCATATGGAGTGGACGACGTCGCCGTTTTGGAGGGGAAGACTCCAAGAAACTCAAGAGCACGAAGCATTATAGCTAGTAAGACAACTGCTACAACCTCGAAGAAACAGGTGAGGTGTTGGCTGCGATGCACGTGACTGTCAGACTAATCCCATCTGTACTTAGCTGATCTGTATTATATTATATCATCCTTCCCAATGCTCAAACTGCCGTAAAGCCTTCATTTAATAGACAAATCTCAGTCGTTTATGGTTAACCATATTATATGTCGGTTCTGTAGCCAGTTAATGATTTGTAGAATCCTAAATGGGCCATTGCATCTTCAAAGCCTGCTTACTCTGCAGTACCAATAATTCGCATGACTTCGAATATAGCAGCATCGCTTCCTCCACTCCTTCATCGACGAAAGCAGCTTCCACGCCTGTCGGATCGGCTCTTCATCCATTTACACCGAAAAGTTTCACACCAAAAATTCCATAATGGTAGTCAAGTATCGACAATACCGGTCGTAAAGATAAAAGCACCAAGGGAACTCCAAGTCATTGTTAGAGAAGCTCCGGATACAAGTGAAGGCAAGGGATGATAAAGCAATAGGTAGCAGTTTCAAAAGACAAATTGCACCCTGCTGCTGGACAAAGTATAAGTGACAAAATAAGATATCCAACAACAGTTGAATAAACAATTATACCCTTTATCCCTTCGCTAGAACGAATCTTCGTTTACCTCTTCTCGGAAACCGCTTACCAGTATTAAACCAATCATAGTCTCAGAATAAGCGACCACCAATTCTCATATTTTTGATCCTGATGACTTTTTTAAAAAGAAAGTACTTGTAGGTTTGTATAAATTAAAGGTATTATCATGAGCCCTTTATACAGACCTTTTGATCTCATCACAGACGAGATTTTACAATCAATCCTCCAGGAAATCCTTACTCGCCAACTTCCGATAAACATTGGAATCCACCGTATTTCGCCTCTATTCAATATTTCAGTCTCAGGCCTCAAAGTCTCTCGTCGTTTCCACAGAGTAGCTGAATACACCATTTTTCAGCAAAATCAATTCGAATTTGGGGAGTCTGATTTATTGCTCGCAGACTTTTTATTAAAGTTACGTTCGACTTAACATAGGATGCTATTAAGTATACACATTGTTAAGCCACGACCATACTTTGGAGACTCACAAAGCACACTTGAAGCTCTTTCAGGTTGTGAGGGACTCAGAGTGCTCGAATTTCTTGGACTCCCAGACACGGTCCGGAAGTCAAGGCTTCGAATTTTAAACAAACTTCGAGTTAAAGAGCTCTAGTTTCATAAAGATTCGTGCTATGTTCATGATTTGACCAAGATCAAACCATTCATCTGCACTGGATCAAATATCCAAGCTATAAAGCCAAGATATCATAGGGTAAGAGTGCATTGCTATTAACAGCTCATTTGTCTAATATTATTTCCAGGTGAAGCTTGGAATGGAGGGTTTCATTCTCGAGGAATAAATGTGTATAGTAGATAAGGAGACAAGTATTTCAAATATAATATAAGTAACAAGATCAAACGAAAATAACTATACGTCCAAGAGCCAAATATTCAAAAAAACAAATCATCTAAATTTCCAAATCAACTAACATATAGAAATGCCCTGGTTGTTTTTGGAAATGACTTCCTTTAAAATTGCCTCTGCCCTTCATAGTAAGACTCGTTGACACAGAGGGTGTATTCTCTTGCGTCTTCAGTAGTTCCACATGAATCTCCTGTGTTTTCAGAACCATCCTAAGCTTGAATACTTCCCTGAGATCAAATACAAGCTTCTCATTAGTTTATTGCATAATTAATATTGCACTAGAATAGAGAACTCGAAACTGCAGTATTTAAATAACGATGAGCTGAATATAGCATCGCTTAATTAAGCTTACGCTTAAATAAGACCAGTAGTCACCAGACCAGACTGTTTTCTTTGGTACACTCGATGAGAGACATCTGTATCTGAGCGACTTGATTAAGGACTTTATTCCGAACAGACCTCGGTGGGTAGTTTGCAGCCCAGAGAAGTGGTGAGCCTCCAACCCACGACAACAGTATAAACGGGTATCCGACCAAGTTTTTGAATGTGAGGCTGGATGCATGGTTTTTGGGGGCCCAGCGAAAGTCCGTCCTGCCAATCTCTTGAAGGACATCTTGTTCGCCTTGCAGAAGGCGTATAACAGCGTCCTGAAAATCGCTCTGTAGTGAATTGGAATGCGTACTACCAGTGGACCACAAACCCTAGCAGCGGCTTTTTGGGGGGTAAAAGTGGGTTCTTGCGGCGAGAAAGGAATTGAAATGCTGGTCGATACTTGGACAACCAATCATTTCTAACCCTAAGATCACAACATCATCCCTGGAGTGAGTCAGATCGGATTGGTGGATTGCTTACAAATTTGGCCTTGCATATCAGGCCGAGAATGTGCACACTAATCTTTACTCAGCATAGTGCCAAATGACGTCCTTACCTTCAAGTCAGTATCAACACTGCTGACCCTATGCAACTCGACATCTGCTCTTTCTTGATAGGCTAGTTTCTCAGATTTGAGTGGTCCAGATAGGGATGCTACGTTAACGACATAAACAAATGGTAATGATTGCTGCTGGGATATTCATCCTGAAATCTGGCCTACGCATTCATCACCTACCATCCTCGTGGTCTTGCATCCACCTTCGACCGTCAGCGGCAATATGAACTCACATCTTACCCCTCCTCCTTCCAGTCGTTATGGCCCCTCGTCAAGCAAAGCCAAACAGGCGACAACCCTCACTATCAAAAGATCAAGGTAATTATTCCTCCTTATTACTGTGTACTTTCGCTGATCAATGATAGGGAAGGGGCCTCGAGGTATCAAGAAGGAACAAGCACAGTTATCTTCTCGTAAGAACACACACTTAGAAGAGACAAACCGCCCCCAACGAACTTCCAAAATCAGGAATGCCAAACCCAAGCATGCACTTCCCTCCCTAAGTAGCAACACTTCCAGCAAAGAGGCATGGCACTCTCCTCCTGCTATGCTATAAAGCTAACTCCAATCAAGTTTCAACAGAATCTATCGGCCCCTCTACAAGATAAGGATCGAAAACGAAAACGGGCGCAAGGACCTAAAGAGCCACCCATTGGTGCGCCATCCAAGCCCCTTCTAAAGCGACCACGAACATCTGTTGCATACTTGGCTTTTGGGGATACATCTGGCCAGTCGACGACTGATGATGTCGCAGATACCAAGATCAATCCAATCATTCATTGGATTGAGAAGCAAAGGTGGCCGAAGGAATACTTCGAACAAGACTATCAGACCAGGAGGGATTTCGAAAAGGACAGCTGGTTTGAGAAATACTGGGAGCCAGAGAACAAAATGAATCACATACTTGCAAGGAAGAAGTCGGCATCCTCCCTTCGCGGCAAACAGTCCGAAGCCAGCTCTGCTGGCTCTAGTGATCAAAAGCCAAGGGATATCAAAAGTGCTCCATACCAAGATGCCCGTTATGAAACTATACTTGCGACCAAAGGCAGCTTCATGGGAAAATCCCAATTAGGAGTTACAGCCACGAGCAAGGACCTTTGCCGAACCCTCCTCGAGATCGAGCAAACATTCCCTGACAATTCCTTATTTCATGATGATCTATTCGAAGACACCTGCGAGATGGTACGGAACAAAAATGAGGCCAGAGTTGTCCGGGATATTTCTCCATTAATAGTCCCTCCTGCAGAAGTCCTAGCCATACGCGGCGCCAAACATCTCAAAATTCTAATCGAAAGTGTAAATGAAGGCTGGAACAATTCCATCCCCATCACCAAAACCCGTCCGCAACCCGACTACTCCGTAGCATTCAGGCGGGAGGCGTTCACGGAAGCTCAGCTTAAAAGGATTGAACCTTTCGTGGGCGAGCTCACAGAAACATCTTTCTTTATGGCGACGTACTCCATGTACTTCCCATTCTTCACCTGCGAAGCAAAGTGTGGTGCTGCAGCGCTTGATGTCGCAGACAGACAAAATGCTCATAGCATGACGATGGCGATGAGGGGTATAGTCGAACTCTTCAGACTTGTTAAGCGCGAAAAAGAGCTTCATCGACAAATTCTTGCATTCTCGATTTCGCATGATCACAGTTCGGTGAGAATCTACGGTCACTATCCTCTGGTTGAAGAAGACAAGACCACCTTCTACCGCCACCCGATCCATAAATTCGATTTCACGGCAATGGAAGGCAAGGAGAAGTGGACGGCGTACAAGTTTACTAAGAACGTTTACGACATATGGATGCCGGATCACTTTAAAAGAATCTGTTCGGTAATCGATACATTGCCACCCGATATAAATTTTGAGGTCTCGCGGCAGTCCGAGCCAGGGGAATCCAGACTTTCTCAGGGGTCAGAGAGCCACCATCTCTCTAACTATTCAAGTCAGCTGCAGGAGGAAGCTGACAGACAATCAATCCGCATTTCTTCACAAAATATCACCCCGCAAACTTCTGTCTCTGAGCGGATCGAGAGTAGTATTAAAAAAGGCACGAACAAGAGGCCCGCCTGTGGAATTACATCGGGAGGGGAAGACTAATTGATTTTGACTTGGCGAACAAGAAAAAAGAGCCAATGAGAAGAAACGAGTTCCCACAAACTTTTGAAAGCTAAGATGGTAGAATCATTCGATGCTCCTGCTAAATGAAGAGCCCTAACCCTTAAGAGGCTGGTTGATAGAGACTAGAATGATCACTGTATAACATGTGAGCACGAACAGTATCCTGAATGTCTCCCCTAAGCAGCGAAGAAATTTAGTTCTTGGGTCATTTAAAGGATGATTGCTATGTACATTAGCGCACTTACCATACTGAATTTGGACATTGTTGAGAAACCAGACGGGATGCGACTTCGATCATTCGATGTAAGCGAATAGACATCAAACAGTAGACAAAGTACCGTAGATTGACATCCTCTCGCGAGATCGTGTTGCAGTCCTTCTCACCGTTTTCGAGGCCCACTATCATTTCTATTTGGATTTTAGCATTTTGGTTTCATTGGGATTGTGTTTCGAGACATTTCGAGAACCCTCGAAGCTTCTACAGTATCATTTGATTCATATTAGAATACCTACTTCCTCCGCTGCCCCCGAGCATTCTTCATCGCTGTCTCATCCTCAGAAGCATCAAGTTCCTCTAATTCCTTACCTGCAGCTGCTCTAAGCAGACGCTCCGAGAGCTGCCCAATCACGTCATTCAACTCGAGAATTTGTTCTTGGATTCCTTTGGAACTCCCAAGATCAGCATCATCACCAAAGTGAAGACGACGATGGACCCCGCTTTGGAACAAGTTTCCCTTTTGACGACGTCTTCGAGGATGAGCTTGGGGAGGAGACGAATGAGGACCAGAGGGGCTTTCGAAGACATGGGTATAAGTGTTAGCCATTTGGCCAGGCACAGGACGATTGGGACGTTGAGGACGAGTGTTAGTTCTTGTTTGCTCAACACCTGAACCTTCCACAACAGAACCCCGCCTTCTAGAAGTTCTTGATTTCGAAACTTCCTCTTCATCCTCAGTCTCGCCATCACCAGGAAGACTTTGGGTGTGCCGACACTCCGCACTGCCCGCATTCCTCCACAAACAATTAGTGCATTTTGAATTATGAGGAGGGTTTGTACCGACAAGATCATCTCGAAGCCCGTAGTTGCAACCTCTGAAAGGAGTTTTTGGTTTGCAACAACGTCTCTTGGTGCACTCAGCTTCTTCATGATGAACCCCGAGGAGCTCCATCGCCAGAGCTATCAAGTTGTGATCAGTTGGCTCAGTTCCATGGATGATATTCTGAGCACCAGGAATAACTCTAGGAGTTACATTCTTTAATAGATGCCAATTTCGAAGCACACACTCAAGAAGTGGGCGAAGTTGCTCTCCTTGACCTAATGTCTGGAGACGACGAAAGAAAGCATTACAAACCCAAGTATTGGTGACGGACTCAAGAAAGAAGTGCTCAGGACGCCTACTTGGTACTTGAAACTGTCTAGCACCATCCCTCGCTTGCCCTGGACCATCCGCCAAATGCCATGTTGGAGAACCTCGAACAAGCAGGCCACCACCTTGTTGTTGTTGTTGTTGTGGGGGAATTTGAGGAGCCGCGTTTAAAGATGGGGCGAAGGAATTGATGAAGGGAGAATTTGGATTGAAGCCAGGTCTCGGATTTCCAAAGGCAGGGTTCCAAGAACCAGCTGCAGGAGGTTGGGGCATGGCATGCTTCGATGTTTGCATTGGGCTGCTTTGAATCGGCATTTCAGAAGTCATCCTCGAATGATTGACTGCCGGGCGGTACGGTGGAGAAGGCGACTGGAGCTGCTGACCTGAAGGTCCTGAGTATCTCGACATCATATCACTCTCCAGAGGCATAGGAGATGGACTCTCGATGAATTGACGGGGAGCATCAGAATCGTTAGGATGTTGTAGGGACATCGCTCGCTGATCTCGCCGATCAGAATTCTCAGAGTTCCCTACCGACGAGATTTGAGAGATATTGCGCTATTATCATGTCAGCTTCGAAGCAACAAACCAACTCGCAAATGAACTTACCTTGTAGCCACCTCCACCTTGGTTCCGGTCTAGCTTACGACGGCCATCACCACCATCACCACCAGAGGACATGTTATTTGGGGGGTTGATTGGATTAAAGCCTGAGGACATGATGTAAAGGATAATGTTGTTATTGATGTTGTATCTGGGATGGAAGAAGGTCGGGTCCAAAGGACTCCAGGTCGAGCAAACAGTCGTTATTCACAGTTCTCTCTGTTTGCTCCCACTCGAATACTTCTGATTGGTCAACGACGTCACTTCCAGCAAAGCCAGTATTCAACAGCATTCATATTACGAACTTCACATTTAGGATCAATTTCTGAGACATTAGAAGGCGATGAAGCTACACGATTCAAATCCAGAAGTGTTTTTCGGTCTCAGTAGGAAGGATGTGATCTCACCGATTATGATGTGCATCCGCATCATCTTGATATAATTCCTTGAAAGCTCTGATGGCTCTATCATACGCCGAAAACATGCGTGTGCGGCTATCAGAGCGGTTCTCAAATTTAAAATCGCAACCACCATTAATGTTTCCCCTTCAACTTAAATCGTTGAAAAGCATAGTAGCTGCTTGAGAAATTCCGTTATTTGGGGAAGATGGCCAAGCTTCAAACAAGGATGCCCTGGTATCGAGGTATTTGTCTGTGCCCCACCCTCTGTCGTGAGTTCAGTGCAGAGTTGCTGCTTCTTGGAGAATGGAGGTAACTTGCATATCATAAGTTGCTGATTTTCAGAGAACACGGCGACCGAATTACGGTTATTTTTATGCGCTGTATACTCCCTAACCTGCATCTCAGTTATTGGACTGTCAACAAGACCAGAATCTGCGTGACAGTGGACGTATTAAGAAAACAGAGCCCCACCACCCCACTGAAGAAGGCCGAAAATGACCTAGCTTAGGCTTATTAATTAATTAGTCAGCAAAACAGCTGCAGCGCTGGCCATCAGAGCCCGCAGTCGAAAGCTTCAATCAACCACAACCACCCTCAAAATAACAACATCGTTTACGAAGCAGAATGTTGACAAAGTCGAGAATTCACACCATACCCACTCAATGGCAACGTGAAGTCCCAGATGACAATGACTACGACCACTTGCCAGCCTTCGCTGATGCTAGCAGCAATAGTAGCACCATACCACATCCAAACAGCAAAACTCGTGAAGTGGCGAACGAGGCACCTACCCAAATTTCCAACAATCATGAAGCACTTCCTCCAAGAGTTATCCAGATCGATACCCCTGCGAATACCCTTATTGCACTCGATAGCTACAAAGCCCAGCGTAAAGACAAAGAAAGACGCGAAGAGAATATTGGAGATTTTTCGGAGGCTGAGGTTTCCATGACCATGGAACTTTACGTAGGTGGGAAGGGAATTGCCGTCACAGCTCAACCTGTAAATCTGCATGGGAATAATCGCATGTTTGTTTGCACACAGCTGCCAATACAAGAGCACAAACTGGACTTTCCCGATACATTTATTGTGAAGCAAGTTGATAATCAGGATGAGCATAATACTTATGAGCAAATCCAAGGTTTGCAAGGCTCTTACATTCCAAGATGTTATGGAGAGACCACATGGCATGATAAAGAGGTTCAATATACCGGAATTGCATTGGAGTTCTTGGAAGGATACGGTACGTTGGAGCCTGGTATGGATGACCAAGAGAAGGCGTTGATTCAAAAGAAGTGCGAGGCTGCGATAGAGGCCATTGGTATGGGAGGAGTATATCATGGTGACATCGCATTTAGGAACTTGATGTGGCATCCATTCAAGAAGGAAATCAGGGTCATCGATTTCGAATGCTCAAAATCGAAAATGGAGGAGTGGGTAAGAGATAATGAGTGTAGACGAGCACTTGGTAGGAGAAGCCCATCATTTCAAGAGCAAAACTTCATTGACCTACGGAGTATATTTAGAAAGAAATATTCAAGAGATTGCGGGAGTATCTAGTTTCTGAGCGATATTATCCAAATACCACCACCATTCCTTGTCGACAAAACGTCTCTTATATCCATGTGGATGGCCCCAATATGTCACCCCTTGTCTAAACCAATATGGTTTTCCATCATAGTATCGAAAAACTCGGTCATATCCTCCAAGTAGAATAGGTCCTGCCACTTCTGCTCGGAGCCGTTCCAGTCCTTCAGCAATCAACCGGTCAATCCAATAGGGCATATCAAGAGCTTGCTTTCCAACAATAAAACAATCAGCAACACAATCTGCCCTGCGAATATCGTTTCTCGAACTAGCTTGAAAGCGTATGACAAGTAGATTGTTCCCATCAAAATAAAATGTTTGTGGGCATTTATATTGGTACGCATACCTATTCCTTTTAGTTGTGATTAGGCAATATTCTGTTTGTACTTACATTCGGATTTCTTTACCTAACTGGATAGTATCAGCACTCGCGTCTACTATGCCCCATTCCTCCGTATCGATGACACCAGGCCTTTTTAACTCACCTATGACAGCACAGCTTTGGTATTGCCCCATATAAACTCCCCACCAAGTGTCGATTGTCTCAGACGTAGTAACACCAAGGCCAGGCGGTCCAGCTTCCCAACGATGCCAAAGCTTTGGTGAACTGCTAAATGCTTGCTCGACAAAGCTGGCGAAATAAGCAAATATACGGCGGACGTCTCCTTCATTGTATACTTCGCTTGGCTCCGGGGAAGGCAATGCTGGTAGGCTTCGATTATATCGACTGGTGTCATTTGCATGATCCACGGAGAGCATATCACGACCCATGGGATGAAGTCGGATAGCTAATGGAGGGAGAGTAACCGCATTTGGCTTTTTTGATACAGTGGTACTAGAGATATAGGTGTAGTGAGGTGAGGGTTTGAACAACTAATCAGGCAAGATAAAACGGTTGGCATTGTTATCTATAGATTTCTAGGAGTACTGATTTAAATCTAGGTATTTAAGAGCGTGAGAAGGTGCAGTAGAATTGGAATTGGCACTCTGTGATTTTATTTTGGACCCATATTTAGCCGGCACTAGCTCTATATGGCTAGTGTTTCGGAGTCGCTTACTTCCCCGCGTTTGGATACTGCATTCGATGCCCGGGATCTGCGATGTCGGACATGTCTCCGGCGCCGGCGCATGCTCCTGACAACGGGGCCGACCTACGAGCAACAAGCTGGCCTCATTCAACCACCGATCACCGCTATTACAACCACCCAGTAAGAAAAACATCGCAAAACTTTGCTTCTACAATCGTCTGGACTACTTTTCCATTTGCAATGTCGGGAGAAGCCTCTCCGGTTCACAACTCAATACAGGAGATCAACGACGATTCCTGGGTTATCGGGAACCAGTTGCTCCTCTCTCGGAGAAGCTCGCCTCTGTCCGCCGGCCCCTATTGGAGTGATGGCAAAGGCTCATTTTACGTTATTTCTAATCCCTCGTATCCGCTACCTCCTTTACGACCATTGACAGCCACGAGCAACATCCAGATAGTCCATGATGCTGGTGGGGTTTCAGCGGTGTGGAGCATTGGTGATGCCTTTTGTAAAGTCAAGATCCTAGATCAGTATGCAACTCGAGAGCATATCACACTGAACTACCTCCGCGAGAAAAGCCCGTTAGGTTTTGCTATTCCAGAAGTCCACCACCATGCAGAGTACGATGGGCGATACTACGTCTTTCTGAGCAGACTGAGAGGTCAGACTCTTAGTAAAACATGGCCTAATATGCACGAGATAATGAAGCAACACTACGTTTCTCAAGTCGCAAATATATGCAAGGAACTTGCAGCCTGGCAGGCCGAAAGTATTTGTGGTGTTGATGGCCAGCACTTATCGGACCACTTCCTAACTCGGCTTGGGTTTCCTGATGACTGTAGTCCTCAAAATCTTCTCAAAAATTGTAAGGAGCTGGGACTGGATTGCTCAAAGTTCTACTTCTACCACTGTGACTTGGGACCAGGAAACCTCATTGTGGATACTACGACACGGTCTCTAGGTATCATTGACTGGGAAACGGCGGGATTTGTTCCAAAGGAATGGATAAGGACCAAGTTTTGTGTTTCAAGTGGAATGGACCTACCTGGAAACGACCCAATTTTGAAAGTAGATTGGAGGAAAAGGCTCTCAAAACAACTAGAGAATGATGGCTTTGCCGAGGTTGCTGATCAATGGATAGACTGGTGGAGTAAGAAAGACTGACTTCTCTTTATTTTTGAAGGTGGTCCTTGTCAAAAGGTTCAAGCAAATATATTTCTATCAAACCCTATCATTCCACCTGGCCTTAGACAATCAGTCGCGATACCGATACTAGATAAGATAACGAATGAACGATACCATTCTCCTCCCTTCCGCTGGAGATCCGATGGAAAATATGGGGATTGATCGATAACCCAATTACAATAGACCTATATGCCAGCGATGAGATGATTCAAAAACTCCATAATGCAAATTATTCCCGTGCCAGATTCCTGCAGAATGATCAGATCATTAATCCAAGGATCATGATTTCGCGACAGCCCACCCCTATTGCCCTTCAAATATGCCAAGAATCTCGATGGCAAAGTTTGAAGAGGTACCAAGCTCTGAATTTTGGGGGCAAGTTTTCGGGATATTTTGATTTCTCTCGAGATACTTTATTCATTCAACCTTCACTATTCCCCTGCCTTGGTTATTTTTTACCGCGAACAACCTTTTCATTCTCAACTTTTTCCGAGGTACAAAATATCGCTATTTATTTCCCAATATCACCAAATTACCCTATTACAATGCCTCGTGGAATACAGATGCCAGAAAGCGCATATAAAATTCGCAGAATAACACACACACTTCGCCAATTACGGACAATTAGCTACATTTCCGCCAATCCCGTGATGACTCAATTTCAGACTCAGTTTTTAGAGTTTTGGAACGATTTTTTACTGTCAAAGTAGGTGAAAGTCGACTTTACTGAAGGGGATCAGTCGAAGTATGATCATTCGGTGGAGAGATCCACACATGCATAACATATATTTGTGTAAATCTTGTTTTCTTCCACTTGGGAATACACATTTAGATCTACTGGGTTTCTATAAATTTGGGTAACATCCCTTCCTGCAAAGCGAGAAACCCACTCGACACGCTACCTGATCTCGTTAATTGAATTTGTCGCTAGCACATTCCATAAGTGAGCGGGATATTACTGGTGGAGTACACGTGACTAGCACGTGATTGTGGGGCTCGTTTGCTTCTACGAGAGAGCAGACACACCACCTCCTCCTTCCTCTACTACGCACGAATGAATATATTATTGAACCTCACTTTTGCGTCACGATAGCCTACCAGTTATCACTCCTAGTGATACCGACAGAATTGTTAACAAGAGAGGCCTCTCCCGACATTGCGAATGAAACGGAGTAATTTAGTCTAGACGATGGTAGAAGCAAAGCTATACGATATTTTTCTTACTTGGTGGTTGTTATTCTCTGTATACGAATATGTTTTCGTGTCGAAAGAATTTGCAGTCGATGGTTATTTCGAATCCGTTCTTGAGAATCATCAAGTTGGCCTCCGGAACTGCAGGAATATAAAAAATCTCGCTTGTATCTCGGACTTGCGTGATATCTTTGAATTTCAACGCCCCGATAGAAAACTTCTTCTCTAGCAGGATACTTGGCATGCAGTTGAATATATATTGAAGCGACCGAATTACTGCAGAAACAATATCTTCGAGGTAGAGGTAAGTCAAGCCAAATTTGATAATATCCTGCGACATACCATTGAGAACTGAGTGATAGTGCTTGACAAGCATAACAGTTAACCGAAGCAGCTCGATTCTTGTCAGACGAAGGTCACATGGTGCCCAGATTAGGCCTAGCTTCCTATAAAGCATGTATAACTACTGAGGGACATCGTCCTCATTACACTCTCTTAGATAGACAAAATTCAATCAATCATTTAGAACACTATATTTGAACCCCAATCCAACAATTCTAGTATAATTGGCACCCGACTTTTTTGAATCATCATTTGGATCGCCCAGAGTAACTTTCCAAATCTTTGTATGGATCGACTCGATGACAGCCTTGTCCATTAGGCGAGGACTCTTGTTGCTTGTCTGCTTGGAAGGTCGCATGACGTCCATTGCAATGATAGGATTAACAATGTAGTACAGCAGGAAAGTTTGAATTTTCTGCGATGCGTCCTTGCTTGCATAAACCTCCAAACTCTGTAGCACAATCGTTTTGCAGTATTCGGTTAGGTATCTTCGCAATAGATTCGGCCATTTTGATTAGAAGCTGTGTGCTCGTTGTTTGAAAGCCGATACCAGGACAGTTGTCCTGCAGATTTTTGGTGTAGACTTCTACTGTCTTCCGAATTTGATTATATTAAACCTCGATATCAACGCAAAATAGGTTGGATATTTTGGGGTTATGTATCTGGAAAATACGGTTGATATAAAGGGTTATTCTGGGAGGACTAAGAGATAATACATGAAGCGTCGTATTATAGTATTATTGTACCCTTAGTCCAAGAAGTTTTGCAAGAACACCCAGAGCTTCTCTTTTAGTAAGACAACGCTAAAGGATATTCTTCGGCTTTTGAAAAGGCAGTATTTGACTGGCTAACTCTCCTAACCTGAACCCAATTGAGACAATTTGGCATGAGATAAAAGATTATATTCAGAAGAACCACCCTGAAGTTCATAGGTCGTTTAAAAAACTAAGAGAAGTTATATAGGAAGCGTGGGAATCAATTTGTTGGATTGGGGTTCAAATATAGTATTCTAAATGATTGATTGAATTTAGTATAAGTAAGAGAGTGTATTCAACAAAAGGTCCTTCAGTAGTTATACATGCTTTGTAGGAAGCTAGGCCTAATACAGACATCATGTGACCTTCGTCTGACACAATTACACATTTTATGCCACTTGATCGTCACTTAAAAGGGGTCAGGATTTGAGTTGCAATAAGTGTATTGCGTGTGCCCTGAGCCAGCGCCCGCAGGGCTCTGGCTAGCTTTGAGCAATATGCTAGCCCTCAAATAGCCTAGAACGGTAGGCAGATCTGGGGGCATGCTACTGCTCAGTGGTGCGAGAGAACCTGAGGCGCTAAGCGCTCCCTACGTAAGGTAGGAGCAAGATAATAGAACTGAGTTTGTACAAATATGAAGTTACTATTCTGAAATAGGTACGGTGGGTGGGTAAAAAAGAGTGCTTTTAATCGTCGATCGAGTGATTGATGATGTCAAGAATATTGATAAAAGTGATCAATTCTGTGATGTTGTTGATGATCTTGTTGCTCTTGTCTCTAGTACAAAGCAGGGTAGATATTCACCCAATTGGCTTACTAATCACCATTTCCTGACAGATGAAGAAGGAAGATTGTTCCAGCTTACAGGCTTTCTAGCCAGGCAAAAGCACCGGTAATTGCTGCTCGCTTGCACAAGTAGTGCTTGGACTACATCTGTATAAAGCCATCCATATTTTGGGGTGCTTCGCAATCAACTCCATTCAGCTCTATATGCTAGAATCGACCATATAGAAGACCATGCTCACATAGTAGTTAATAGCCAGACGTTGCATGTCTCCACCTTCGACAATTTCAGCAGAACAATTACACTGTCGCAAGCAATAAATGTAACTTGATTACAGTTTAAGGTGCTACGGACCACTCCGGGAGCTTTTGCGAAATGTGCGGAGCGTATTAAGTGTGGTGAAGATGTCGCGTACTTGAAGGGTTCTTCCGATGAGGATGGCGAGTTTGACGGTTTTTCATGAGTGAATGAATGTGCAGTCCTCTTAACCTTTTACAGGTGAATTTTACAGGTGAATTACATTGGCTGAGGCTTAACCATATTACAAATTTTTCAGTACATAGGCAGAAACTGCAGATATTTCTGCTTTCCAGCGGATAAGGTCTATAGAACATTTGGCGACGGGAGGCACTCGGCCGGTTCCTGGATCTCTTGTCTAGTGTTCCTTAGAGCGGGCACTTTGATTACGGTAATATGATTTGTTGATATGCAACACTTCAGTAGACCAAAAGCAAGAGTAAAAGGCTTGAATTCATTGTTCTTCTACAGGAACATAACACACACATATATAGACCCCAGAATGTACAACTTCACCACTGTCCTTGCCACATCCATTGCCGTACCCATATACCGACAGAAAAGCTCCTTATCAGCATACCCGACAGGTACACTATCAGCTTATATATCATGTCGGCTTATCCATCAGATATCACCGTACCAATCAACATGATTCAAGCGGTAGATGGTGGTAGAAACCCTATAGAATTTAAACAAGCTCATGATGTAAGACGCGATGTTTTAGAGCCAGAGGGCTTTATTTAGTATGACGATGTAGAGGATAATAAGCAAGGTAGCGGGAAAAAAGATGTCCACGGGGAAGCAAACCTGAAACTATTCGAGTCGGATTCGTATTGATAGTGATGGTGTTGAGATTGAAAAATGGCAGCCACGCTCGTAAGAAAGTGCAAAAAGTGGTGGTATTGAACCACCCAGTCCGGAGATATTTCAAACACTGCCCACGGTCCGACCGGGTCCTTTTCATTCTCCACCTCTCCGCATTTTGGGCTGCAAGGTCCCTTCTTGGCATGAAAACGGCTATGGGCTGCAGGTTACACAGGATGGTTGCTCCGCCTCCTGATAAAGCATCCTGCATATCCCGTGTAACTTAAGGGTACCTATAATTTGGCGTTCGTGTTCTTTAAAATCAAAAAAAGCTTACTGCTCAAACATATCACACATCATCAGCAGCCATATCCCAAGACAGAAATATGTCACAAATACTCACTTCAGATCATTATATATGGTCTTCAGATGGCGACTCTGACAACCAACTTATTAAAATCCACGTACGCTGTTTTGGCGCATATTTCGAGATTCAATACCTACGTCATAACCTGGCTGCTTCGCCGTATCTTTTGGCGCAACATGAGAAATCTCTCTGCATTATGAGGGCTGGTGATGAAGGGAACAGCTCGGACGTTGAAAATGGGATCAAGGAGATCTGTCGTCTCCAAAAACCATTCGAGGCGTTGATGACGGAACTAGCCCCTAACCCACCGCCTCCGGCTACACACCTGTTCGACTATCTATATCCACCACATATGATCCTCGAGGCAACGGCGGCCACGCAGGACAGCACGGTCATCCAGCCGCGTTTCAGAGGGTCCCTTCCGCGCCAGGTGCTCTGGCCTCCAGGTCAATATCTAGCCACATGGGGCGACTGGTTGGAATCAGTCAAATGCTTTACATCACGTCAAGTACGACTCGTCCATACGTCGACGGACCCGGAACAGCACCCATGCCTTCGAGGCCCCTCCAAGGTTACCGCTGGGGATGGCGTGGGCTGGGATGCGGTATGCTACTTCAAGGCACTTGTGCGGAGAGTGCCGGGCGAGTTGTGGGCGTACAAGCAGATTGCGGCCGCCCTCGAGGCGAAGAAGCTTCGACCTGAGATGCGAATCTCCCGCCTGCATGGCGTGGTCGTCGACGAGGATCGCGATGTCTTGCAGCATTACGACCACGTCCCTAAGGAGGAGCTCGCCAAGTGGGATGACTTCGGGTCCGAGTCCAAGTCCGAGGACGAGTCTCCCGCACGTATGGTGGGTATCCTGATTACTTATATCGAAAACAAGGGCACACTCTATGAGGTGGCTCCCTGGTCCGACTGCCTGGATGAGCACAGACGCTCTTGGGCTGACGAGCTCTTGGGTCTCGTCGTGGAGTTACACAAGGCGGGCTTGGTATGGGGTGACGCTAAGCCGCATAATGTGTTGGTCGATCGGCAGGACCGGTTATGGCTCATTGATTTTGATGGCGGTTATACCCACGGCTGGGTTGACGAGGTTAAGAAGGAAACTAAGGAAGGAGATTTGCAGGGGGTCGAGAGGATTAAAGAGTGGCTAGCAAAATATTATGAGAAGCCTCTTGATCGTAGTGTCCCTCGGAGTAGCTAGTATACCAGGAAAGCTAATGCTTATGAAAGCTTCTTCCACTCCACAAAATCCACTCAGTTGTGCTGGATGTCACCTGACTCTTTCTTATTTCATCTCTCATATAGGTGTATTTAATATTCTTCCAACCCTTTAGTTAGAAGGTGTGCGCATTTTGAGTTCTGTTTTTTCTACAGAGGATGAAGATTTGTTATTTGTCATTTGTTGTATTATTTGCTTTATTTGTTTTATTCCTTGTTTCGTGCCCAGCGCTATCGGGACGCGCTATACTCGCTTTCTGCCCCTCCACAATATAGACAGTACAAACATTAGGTAGACATGAAAAACTAGGCAGAAGTACTAGGCAGACATGATGTTACGGGCTGCGCCTTCAGAGCTCGGTAAAGAGATCCACAATACCACGTGCACAAGCTGGTACTTGGGTATTTAATATCTCCTGTACATACTATCTTGGAACTTCTTCCTTTCTTCCTCATGTAGAATATAGACAGTATTTGGCCATAACTCTATTGACTTAGTAGATTATGGAAGCCTTTCACACATGAAGTATTTAGGCAGTCAGGAAGTATTAGGTAGACAAGCTATATGAGGCGACATAAGAGATAAAAGTGGGTAAAGTTGACCCCCTTTTCCATCACATGATTGAAGATCACATGACAGGGGGCATGCCCTCTGTCACATGTCAGACAACATCGACAAAACAAAAATAAAAGACCAGAATCCCCGCCACAATATAAGCATTTTAGGTAGTTACTTCAAAATACAATCAATTCTCCGTGACCGACAAGACACCCAGATTTCCAGCCCAATACAATTATATACTGTTATCTTTGAATACTTAGTAACGAGTTCACTTCCAAGTGAACACCCAATAGTTTGTCTTCTTTCCCGTATCCCAACTGACGATACCACCACCTAAGTTAGTTAGTTGTTAGAATCGTTACAGTCTCCTAGCTAGGACTATATAAAAAGGAATGAAAGTTAACAAACGAATGGGTTACGCTATAATAGTACATTGCATACGCGATACAAAACGAGTGGTGATATAGTAGATCAAGCAGTATATTAAACAGGTAAACAAAGTTAAACATAGTAGCTATATGAATAAGGAGACGAGTTGGTCCCAGCTTCTGAAACTCAATTCCTACCCATTCTATGGCCCTTGGTCAATCCTTTAACCTCACGCCAAGACAGCAAACAAAAAACAAAAAACAAAAAACAGCAAAAAGCAAATAGCAAATAGCAAATAGCAAATAGCAAATAGCAAATAGCAAATAGCAAATAGCAAATAGCAAATAGCAAACAAGCTCCTAGCCCCAGGCTGTTACTAAAAGAAGCCAAAGCTCTCCAGTTTACACTAATCCACTTTGATTACACGAATTACAAACACTTCATTAGTTAGTCAATTTTACTGTATAGAACAGACAGGAAAAGCTCACGGTACCCAAAAACAATTTCCATTATTTTAGAACGAACATTTATAACAAAGCCCGTGGCCACAAGCACATGATATGTTACCAGAAGAAACTGGCAGACTACACTCATGGCATTTCCACCCGCACTTTTTGAATGCCTTCGCGCGGCATTGACTGTTGTTACAATAGCTATGCTCATAGAAAGTGGTTGTCGAATAGTTGCCGCCGGTACATCGCATTAGTTGACCGTTCATATCCTGGGCATTGGCTTGCCTGGCATCTTCACAGTCATTCACGTTTTCGGGACGCCATTGTGAACCAGCAGAATGGTCGCACATGTACCTGCTTCTGATCAATTGGCACATGGTGTGTCGAGTGTATCGAGTGTATCAAGTGCGCGTGTGCGTATGTGAGTGTGTGAGTGTGTTGGTGCGTGAGTGTATGAGTGTGTGAGTGTGTTGGTGTGTTGATATAATGAGTTGTAGGTAGGGGATGGAGTGATATGGAGACGAGGAAAAATATATTGATATGGAGCCCAGTTTTGGGTCGTATCTGGTTTTATATATACTGATGCAAAATCAATTCTGGACCACTCTACCACATCCCATGTAATAGAAACACTGCTCCACTTTACACAGGTTAGCTTATCTCTCAACAAGTGCATCCCCGCACAAATGCAGGGTACACTAGCAGAGAATCCGCAATATAGATTTTTCGATGTAATCGTACTCCATTGTCCTTAGCTGAAGTGTTTCGGGTAATAGTTGAATATAAGTTCAAATCCCAAATTAGACATATATACGGTAAGGCAACCAAATTAATTCTACCACTGCCGATGAAACGGTAGACCCCGCATCCATTATCCGACCGGCACATCTATTAGGGCATTAATTAATAAGTCATAATGCAGGAAACATGAATTCAGCTAATATAATAGGAAAGAAGTGGGATCTAATGCAGAAAAGGAGGAATGATAGTAATATACTAAAAAGATGAACTGATATTTATGTACAGGAAAGGCGAAAAGAGGGAAAGAGGGACTTAATGCAGGAAAGTAATGTATAGGAAAGGCAGACTTGATGCAGGTAATTAATGTGCAGGAAAGGCGAACTAATTTTATGTACAGGAAAGGCGAAAAGAAGGACCAGGTGCAGGATAGGCGAACTGATGTTGATGGGCGAAAAGAGGGGCAGGATGCAGGGTAACCATTGTTACTAAGCTTTTTCGAACCATCACCCGTTTTCTGTTGGCGGGCTTCCACGGCCACCTAGTACCATCATTCTTCTAACTCCTTTATAACTATTCTATGTAACAAATTATGCTGGTGGCGCTCATTATGCCTAACTTCAAGATCCTCGCTTCCTTGCCGAAAGAAGATGGCCTACAAGCTGTACTGGAGAAGATGGAAGCTACGGATGCGCTTTCTATCACTATTCTTCGGAAACGCACCCAGTATGAGCCACTGCGTAATATCATTTCAGGACTGTGGTTTGCAATTCTCTATCGAGCAGTTGAAACCCACACTGGCCGCGATAAACCACCGCGAAAGAAGTTGCGACGTCATGCTATTCACCAACTTGCCGATTGCCTACGTGCCGGAAATGAGATTTCTAACCACAACAATAATATCAGCAAGATGATCTCAAAGCGTATGAGGTCGGGACTAGCTTCGTGGAGTGTGATTTCACACGAACCTGGCCTCCTGGCCATTGTTAATTTCTCGAGCCCTCCTTCAAAAGATTTCCTTCACAGCCTGGGGTTCTTTTTACAAGATGCTGATTTGCACCACTCCACAAAACGCTATCGTTCCGTTGTACTGAGGATCCTAATCTTCATGGAAAAAACCTTACGAAAAACGAGAAGCTTATATTATTACCTAGAAACTGCGTTACGGGACGTCATCAACCTGGCCAGCTGCGGAAGTGACCGTTGGAAAGAGAACGACAACGCTCCTATAAACCTGTTTTTCGAAAGTGCTCAAAGTCAAGATCATTTAGCAAGCGTTAATACTTGTGCAGAATCTGATCTGTCTTATAGTATATCGCTAGAAACAACCTTCAACAAAAGCACATTTCCGCGGTACATGATACAGTACGATTCGCCAATTTTCATCTGCGTACAGTCCGGGGATATCCACGCTGCTCGAGTATTGTTTCAAGATGGCATGGCATCGATTTATGATGTTGATCCGTATAACCTTGGACTTCTTTATGTAAGGAAGAGCATTCAAAAAATCTGAGTTACAACTAATATATCGATAGTATGCAAGTTATTATTGCTGGAGATGTTATGGAATGGTGAAGGCAATGCCAATGTGTAGAATGTTAATACAGATGGGGGCGGATTTGAACATAACGGATGAGATTGGGAAGTAAGATTTTCAAACCCTAAATTGATATCTTGATAGATGCTGATCTCATCTATTAGTGCTCCTATTCATACAATGACCGACTCTGCTTTAGTGGAGAGATGCGCAGAGCCAAAATCAGTTGCTCTGATAGACGTGGGAGTTCTCTGTAGTATGAGCACCCAAGAACTTATCGAAGAGCATCGATCCACCTACAAGCTTACACCGCTACATGAGGCTCTTCTTGGCATCAATCCACAACATGATACCTTGCAAGAACACCTTAGCTCCCTACAGATACTCGGATTACTTAGTGAGTTGATCGACGAACCGGATTCCCGTTGCCGGAGTGCTCTCGCGTGGGCCGTCGAATACGGCATGGCTAATGCCGTCCAAACCTTGCTACGCTTTGGTGCCAACGCCTGTCAATATAGGACGTGTTACCAGAGTCAATTACCAATGCTTCATCTTGTCATTGCAGGGCCACCGCCTCTCTTGGGATCAGGATTCTTTGAGGTGGTGAAGATCTTACTAAACGCAGGGATTGATATCAATGCAAAGGATGATGAGGGCTGGACAGCTTTGCATGTTGCAGCCTCGTGGAGGTCCTATGATATCCTACATGAGATTATGCGCACGCATGGTATGTATGTGGAATTGAATGCACGGACAAACGCGGGAGAACTAGCACATAACCTGTCGCAAGACGCGGATTTTTATATGAAGCTTATGCCAGATTGGTGGCGGTAAGTACCGGCCTTGTACTTCAATTACTATCCTGTAGCAATTTATAAATACCACAGTGAATATTTCCATGTGTAAAAGACTCAATGATCCGCTCCATCTGTTGAGACTCATTCAAAATGTAGCCCAAATTCGAACAAGAACCTATTATCAAAGGACTTGATCGCTCGCCGTCCAATTCATATAACTTGGAATCCTGGCACCCAACAAGAGCCACGTAATGATATTTAACATCATCAGGTATATCTGTCTCTCCCGATTCCACTGCTGATTGATACGCAATTTCGAGCTCCTTGGACTTCTCAAGGAACGTTGTAATGCCCTCACTTGATCGAATAGCATTATAAAGAATAGAGTTGTGCCCTTGTATGCGTTCGTTAATATATTTGAAACTACTACGGATATCTAAGCTTACTGATCGTTTGAGCTGCAGCTGTATTAAGAACGCAATGAAGAATTGCAATTAGGCCGCAAGAATTGTCAATCGTCTGCCTCAGGAATTTGATGTCATCGGTGATAATAGGTGACCTCTTTGTCTCAACTATCGCTTTTCCTTGTTCATCTTTTTCTGATTCTGGAAATATCACAATCAGAGCTAGAGCGGGTTGTTGTGATTCCTCCTTGTAATTCAAGACGTCATTGAAACAGAAATTCTCCTGAACACCCAGGCGATGCATTAATTTGGTGAGGATTTGGGGGTCGGACTCGACCGGTTTGAAGCGCTTGACGTATTTCATTGTAAGGTAATAGGCATATAGAGCTTTATGCTATCGCCCAAAGGTTGCAAGTGGAATTCTTCTACTCGAGCTCGAAGCGGGGTTCGGATGACGATAGCATTACCCTCATGCTGTGACTCATCCGTAGTGCGCGCTTACTAGAGTGGCTGGACTCGTAGACGCGACCCTGAAACCCCGGCCTTGCTCGCCATCTGCCATCTTCTTATATCAACCTGACTGGCTTCAACCTTAAGCTACATTTGATAAAGCATTAAGAATGCCTCTCTCAGCATGTTGCAGACAGTATGCGCGACGTGCTGCAAATTCTGATGGTGACATGGCCTGGGAGGAATAGTTTCCTAGATCACACTGCTATGTGAAAGCTTCGGCTAGCATGGTAATCGACTGGAATCTACCGTGCACAGTTTGAGTCAGTGTTTCCAGTAGTGTACACGCGCTACAACTATTATTGAGAGCGGGTCCAAAATAAAAAATACGTACTATTGACACTGCAATAGTTTATATAAGATATCGTGGTATTATTTCCATATTGCCAAACCTACCCCTTCACAAAACGCGAATTAACTTGCCGAAAAATGATGTCTTCGGCTACTCTATGGAAACGATAAAAGACTTCAAGAACTAAGACTAAAATGTTGAATTAGCAGATACGATCGGCTTGACAGTTCTCCGCGACCCACTCGCACAACAGATGGATCCCCAAGCACAGGTCATTGAGCACGTCCTCCTCAAACTTATCTTCTTAGTCATCTCTAACAAGATGTATAGTATTGTCGCAATCCATGGCATTGGTGCCCACCCCGACGATACCTGGACCAAGAATGTCGGCACCTTAGACGCGCCATGCTATGTTAACTGGCTTACCAATGAGGATATGTTACCACAAGCGGCCCCAAATGCACGGATACTTCGATATGGGTACGAATCTGAGTGGTTTGGAGATAATGCCATTTCCCAGAAGACGACAACTGTTGCAAAACGGTTCCTTCTTGCCTTGAAACGTGCAAGAAAGGTAGATAAGCTGCTTAGCTTGGGATTGCCAATCGCTGATATACTATACTATAGGAGTTCCCCCTCCGTCCATTGATAATTATCGCTCATTGTTTTGGCGGGCTAGTCGTCTTAAAGGTTGGTCCTGCAAACCCTCTTCTTGCCTTGAGCTAAGATTGCTAGACACTCATCGACGCACAATATCATAAGGACGAGTGGCCGGGTATATTTGATTCTACAACCGGGCTAGTGTTCTTTGGCACACCGTTTAGAGGGTATGAAGCAGAGTGAAATGCTTGAAGCCGCACGAAGGGAATGCGACGAGGATCAAATCCAGACAGAAGTGCTAAGGGTACTTGAACCAGGGAACGAGTTCCTTCAAAATCTCGTTGATAGTTTCTGCAAGACACGATCACAAGCAAACAAGGCACGGGTTACTTGTTTCTACGAGCTTAAGACAAGCAATGTCGGAGATATTGTTGGCAAACAAGAACGAATAGTATGTGAAGTTGATATTTACTATACTATTGCTAATAATCTCTTATAGATTTGTGGTAAATGAGAGCTCAGGTTGTCTTGACCTCTCGGAATCAACTCAAAAGTTCTCCCTCTCTCGATCTCATTTTGATATAAACAAATTTGGCAAGCCTACAGAAGAAGACTTCTTAACAGTATTCGATTTAATTGAAGAGATGGTTGAGATAGCTCCTCAACTAGTTACAGCACGGTCTCAATGTAAATAAACCCCTAATTCCAATATATAGCAAAGAATGGTATTTTAATTATTTCAATTTTAGTAGCCAAAGAAAAACACAAGGTTCCTTTTTCTCTCAAAGGCGTCCCGTCAGTAAATCAATTTGTTGGACGTGAAAGTGATATAAAGCTGCTCGAGGACTCTGTTCTTCCTAGCCCTTCAAGGCCTCGGCGCAAAGTTTACGTGGTTCACGGCTTGGGTGGAATAGGAAAGACACAACTCGCGATTGAATTTGCTAGGAAGCATCACCAGATGTATAGCGCTGTGTTCTGGCTTAATGGATCATCGAAGGATAGCATGTGCCAGTCACTAGTTGATATACCACTTAAATTTTGGCAAGTATATACAAAGATCCACTAAATACCTTTGAAAAGGTTTCTTGCGAAAGTTGCTTTTCTTTTATAAGCTTAGTTCCATTTTTTAATTTCTTATTCGTGTTCTGGTGCTCGCTGCTATTATTCAGGCTACGGCTATCCTCTCAGCTAGTACACTAGAGAGGCGTCTTGAATATTTGGTGGTGACGCATGCCGAGAGTATTCTTTCGCATGGTACTTGAAAGTATCAATCAATTGATGATTTTTATCGATTGAATCTTGGCAATTTCAGTCGATAATTTTTGGTACTATCTACTTATGTTAATCTAAAATCCATAAATCCAGTAGAATGGCCAAATCCGTCAAGACTGGCAGAAAATCAGCTGCCAACCAAATCCATAAATCCGGCAGAATCGCTAAATTAGCTGGTTTTCTGCCATCCTTGACGGATTTGGCGATTCTGCCGAATTTATGGGTTTTTTTTAGCAGCAGGCAGAATCGTCAAACCTATCAAGGCTGGCAGAAAAACCATCCGATTGCTAACTGAATCAATCAAACCTGGCAGAATTGCCAAATCCGTCGAGGCAGCCAGAAAAACATTCGTTAACTTTGATGGTACTAAACAATTTGAAGAATAAAAGGTCTCTTCACTTAAAATGTTAAGGTGCGGAAGCCAGATGGCCTGAGTCATGAACACGTGAAAAACAATCCGTCACACTACTTGTGACGAAGTAGGAAACTGAGGAATAAAAGTCGGTTCATTCAAATAAGTCAATTATCTACGTATCGTATACTAAGATTCTAAACTAAAGAAAGAAGAGGTTTAAGACCTCGAGAAGTTTAAATAGCCAACTGAGGCTTGCCAAGGCGCCAACCGAGTCTTGCTAAGGCTCGGGGAAAGATTATTCCGTGAGGCTCTGCGGCGGAGCCTCCATCCGTACTCTGGCGTACTGTACCTTACGTACAGGCCGTCACACTACTAAACCTAACATATTATATGGCTGGTAACATGTCAAAAGCATATAACAGAACGACTTAATACAAGAGGGAATAAATAGTAAAGTAGCATATATACATAGAAAACTTCCTAGCTAGAAAATCCTCTTTCCTTACCAATACCAGATAGTCTACGCCTTGTTTCTGCTTCTTAAGTCTCTCCTCGGGGGCGAATTAAATTCCAGCGCATGCGTACGGCGGCCTGGGTCCTTTTTGAGAATTTTCGGAAGATCCAAGGCCAAGACTTTTCTTCTTGCATATATGCCAGCAAGCGCTGGTCGTCTAAGGGCACCCATCGAATATTCTTCCTCATGCTTGAACGATCTCCAATAGAATATCTATCAGCAGCCTTGCTATTAGAGTCATGATTATTGTCGCTCAAACTATCGTTTTCATCGCTGCTGGAAGACTCAACTTCTCCTGACGCAACCACCTTGTCATACCAGAATTTGGATCGCGTCTCATCGTCGTGGATGCGGATTACATTCCTGGGAGTCAGCACAGTTGTACCATTGGGCATGAGCCGGGGGGGCGTATGTCGGCTGAAGCCAGTCAAGAGGAACGAGTCTTGCAGTGGCTTGATAGTGAAGTCGTCAATTTTCCCAATATAGCCAGTGTTCTTGATAAGTTGGGCAAGTTGGTTAAATGAAACCCCTTGTCCATTATGACCCTCCTGGACTATTGCTGTGAAGGAGAAACAGTATGAAGATTGCGGACGGAATGTAATTTCAGTTAGCGTTGGCAGGGTATCTTTTGAAGGCCCGCCACTGTATACAGATGGCAATTCTGTACTTATGGTTTCTAATGTAGAAGGCATGGGCGAAGGCAGTTGACCCTGGGTATTAGGGGCGGCAGTGACTCTTGAGCCCTGACCAAGAGGCGAGTATACCTTTGACGACCGGCGAGATACTCTATTTTTGCGGGTAGATCTCTGCTGAAGAGGGTCCTGGCGCTTCTTGGAGGCTTGGCTATCGTATAACGAAGCCCGCTTCCGTCTCTTAGGACATAGCTCTCTCATATCGTTGCCCAAGTTGAACTCATCGTCGCTGTCATTATCACTACTCTCTGTCTCATGGTAATTCGGCTCTGATACTGAAATGGTGGATTGGATGAGCCGTTGTCTTTTGGATGCGCGGGTACTACCTGTATTGGCATTGTCTTCCCTCTGCTCTGGCTCCTGCCACTGCCCCTGATCAAGGCAATCAATATCAAATGCAGAGCCTGCCCGCCCGTATCCATTTATGCTTTGAACCCCATCGTCTCTTAGGTTCTCTAGTAGCAATTCGAGCTGGCGTGGAGGTGGGCTCAGATTAAGAGAGGAATAGGAGGATGTCGTGGTCTCGAATCCAGCATGGTGTGAAGAAGGGCATGCTGTACTAACATGCAATGACTCACCGAAGAGACACGAAACAGGACTTGTCAATGCTCCTGGTTCAACTAGCTGTGGAGATTGATCTGTCTCGGAAGAGTCATATTGCTCAATACAGGGACCTTTATCAGGATTGGAAGAGACTGGGATTGTCGAGTTCATAGCATTCTCTAGGTTATTGAAAAAACCCGTATCCTGTACTACACTTTCGACAAGAATATCATCGACTGCGATACCAGAACTTGAATCGTCGTCTCCTAGCATGTAAATCGTGCTATCTACACTATGTCAGAAAAATGGTCATCTACACTAAGTAGAGGGAGTTGGGCGTACTACCTGGACTCCCGCTTGAGTTATAGCCTAATGCTAATCCGCTATAGTCCACAGAGCCGGTCCTCCCTTCTAAAGCTACCTCCTCAACTCCGCCTGTATTATCCAGGCCTCGATTCTCCTTTGTGAAACCCTGCTCTTGTGGCTTGGTAAGCAGCAACTCTTCGATAGTGGAAAAGTCGCTATCGTTATCGTCTTCGGCTTCGGCTTCATTATTGTTCTTGTTATGGCTATCTCTGTGAATAGTATCGGTCCCTGGCAGAATACTACAAGTCAGTGAATGTTGATATAGGTCGAACGCTTTAATCTTGGGACATACCTTGAATTCCAGGCTTGTTACACCCATTATCAGCTACTAGTCGCGGCGTGCTAGGCAATGTACTGTTTGACCTAACATGCTGGAACTTGTTCAAAATACCAGATAGCTTTGGAGCAGGTTCGCAGCGGGGACTCGTTCTTTTGGAGCGCCGCCGTGCAGTGGGCACATAACTGTATAGGATTGGGGCAAAAATGGCCATCTCGAGTGGGTAGAGATAATTTGAAGTATTTAAGAAATGATCAGCTTATTATTAGCTGCACAACTGGAATAAAAAAGATGGCAGAAACGGAGAATCAAAGGTTTTATATACATGTCTCACAAAACCTGGATATCCTATGCAACCTGCTATACACTCCTACCATGCTCTTTAATATCTCTTCTATCGCAATCTCCGTCAAAAACACCTCGGCGTCAATGCTGTCTATCTCATGCTGAGAAATTCACGCCGATTACAAGGCTTCCATACCATTCAATCCTGCACTCTTATGATAGAAGATGTTCGTCCTCGGCCATCTCTACTGTGCTGTCCACCTCGATCGGCCGATCTTGATATATATTTTCGATCGTCGGCAACGCCGTGAATAAGTGAGAAAGGAGGGGGTCGAAGGATCGAGGATGCCGTCGTATCCAGCTGTCCAAGCACTTCAGGCAGACTTATCTCGCCCGTCGTTGGCGTCTTAGCATGAAGCTGGCACAATCCAATCATGAGATCTGATTCAAGACCAGAGTAGTATCATAGGATCCTGCCACATTAAATCAGCTCATATCTAAGTAATTTAGGACAAATGCGAAATGCGTCTCGACAAGAAGGGAAACTCACTGTGAAGCCGCCGCCGTGTCATCTATCTCCATTAGGCAGCGTCGTCATGAGGCATTTCTGCGACTGGCTACATGATGTCCACAAGTGCAGCACAACCTCATAGCATCCCAGCACCTCCGGAGAGGCTACTAAAGGGGATGGTGATGCCGCGGCGGCGAGGTAGGTTGCAAAATGATTTGGATGCTACTTCGCTCATAGCTCAGCCAACACAAGGTGAGTTAAGCATCGAGATTAGAAGGGCGATCGCGAATTCTGGTAATGGTTGAAACTGGCCTGCACCGTGCTAGCGCTCCCTTCTCGGCTACGGTGTGGCCGATCAGGGGAGCCTGGTGAGATGAGGGAGGTATCTAGGCAGAAGGGCCGAATGTGCATGAGGGGCGGGCACCGAGCGTTGCAGTTGGAGGGTGTTGAGGTTGTTGGAAGAGGAAGAAGTCCTCGAGCAGCGAGCGATGGAGGGGACGCAGTTCTTATACCCCGCGAAAGCGGCGATGGGCCCGTGCACGCGCCTTGCCTGATGCGGGCGGTCGCGGTTTCCTGATGCGGCCTTGCCGTCTGGTCGTTTACTTATAAAGTAAAACTTTATAAACTAAACTCTAAACTTAAGAGTACGTTAGATTATAATACTACTCTAGATATATAAATGGAAAATATAAAGAAAACGCAGTAGGCTATAAAGAGAGGAAATTTATATTAAATAAATAAATAAAAAAGTAAAGAGTAAAAGTAACAATAAATCCCGATACCCAATCTCAGTAGAAGAGTCCGATCCGAGGTACGAGGAACAAATCTCCATCGAGGCTCTAGTATGCTACTAGATTGCCTAATACCTAATTCACCGAACCCATCAAACCCCCTACTCTCAAGTAAAAACGCTCTCTATTCCGGCTTCGCCTTAACCGGAACCTCCTCAATCTCACTTTTCTTGGGTGAATCAACCCTCTGCGGCGAGTCAACCTTCTGCGGCGAATCAACCCTCTGCGGCGAATCAACCTTCTGCGGCGAATCAAATTTCTTAGGTATTTGCACCCTCAACGGCGGCGGCGACGGCGGATTCGACGTACTCCCCTTCACAGAGGGTCCCCATCCCGGTGCAACGACTGGCTCCCTCTCCGGCATCCCCAATTTCGATTTGATTGTCGCCTTGAAAGACGAGAGTTTCTTGCCGACAGTCGTAGTGTGCACGCCGGGGACCAACTGTCTGTGTGGTGGTACCCATTTGGCGGGCAGGACTTTGGTGCCGAGGGCGTGGAGGGCGTCGAAGATGGCTTGTCTGTTTGCGCCTCCGGCGCGCTTTTGGAGGGCGGTGATGGAGGGGGATGTTGGAGGGATTGAGCGGTCGAGTAGTGGGAAGGTGAGGATTGAGGTGGTTTGTTGCTGGGCTGGGAGAGGGATAGCGGTTACTGCTGTTGCGAGGAGCGCTATCGCGGTAAAGAGGTTGAGAGGTAGCATGGTGGCGATGGAATTGTAACGAATGAAAGAAGAAAATAAAACGAGCGGAAATTTTCGATATTGAAACTGGAAGAGTCGTCGAAGAGGAATGAAATCCCAATTGCGGTGTTTTGAAGACTTGCTCTAACCCAGGCAGGAGCAGATAGAACTTCTTATACAAGTACCTGGTACCTTCTACATTTTCCTTCAAGTGTAGACGCATAGAAGCTCTACAGTCATAAACGTAAACCAAATTTTTCACCACCTTTATTCTCCGACTCGTTCTAAATCAAGGACCCTGGCATTACCGAAGAACAATTAGGCGAACTTCTGGGTTTATTTAGGCGAATATTGAACTCATTCGGACGTTCCTTAGCCCTACGGCATACCCGGTTTTTCGGGTAGCTCCACATATGTAAGTTCTCCAACAAAAGGATCTTAAAATACCGGTAGTGAAAAGTTATCTGTTTGAGTTCTCAGCCCAACGCTGGTTTTAGGTGGTGTTCAATTGACTCGTATTACGCATTCAGGATGGAGTTTACACTACCTAGTCGATTAAATACGCCCATACTCGTAAAACTACACTTGTTTCGTTTAATTTATCGGATATCTACTCATACATCTATTCATTTCGAATATCGTTTAGGGCATGTTTGGCTATGTAAATTAAGAGATTTGCACCATATAAAAAGATATGCACGCTTATTTGGATAGCCGTAAAGGGGGTGGACAGCTAAGAGTCACATCATGCTAGCTCAATAAGATCGACGCCCTACTATAGATCCACTCTTATGCGACATATCTTAGCTATAAAAAAACAGGGGGTTTAGCGAATAGAACGCGGAATTGAACTGCTTATTAAGAAAACCCCGTCCAAGAAACAGTATAAGAGCTATTAAAAAGGCTCCTCATATAGTGGGTTTTAATAAATTTATGATCTACGTGACATGGTGTACCTCTTAGCTGTCCACCCCCTTTATAAGTTTTTACCAAATTAGCCACAAATCCATTGTAAATCTAATTGTGAATCTTTTTAGATTTGTACTACCAAAAAAAAACTTTAGAAAAGAGTTGAAGCCTTAACTCTTTAACTCTTTTTCTTTTCTACAAATCTCCGTGTAAATCTTTCTATCCTACGTACTAATTCTATACTAAAACTTGGTCAGATCCACCCAGCTCGCTTGGAACCACCTCGATCGACAACCCGAAATATCACCCCAATATGCCGTACCACGAGTCTAATCAACGAATTAATGTCTCTTAGCTTTATTAAAGAGACGTTAATTGCGCGGGAAAAAGAAGAGAATCGGCTGTTTTGTCGCTGTACTAGAGTCTGGGCCTCGGCTAATTATTTCCTTAAAATTACGTCAAAACTCCACAACACACTTCGAAGCTCAGGGGGGACGAATGGATGGTGGATTTAATCGAGGGACACCTGAAACGTATAAGAGATACCGCGATAAATTGTCTCTATGGCATTTAGGTAAGACGACAGTGGATGGTACAAAGGGTTGCCCGGAGACTCTGAGTGGCCTGAAAGGTGATCTTACCAACTTCTACTACTCTTGAGCGCTATCCACTATCGTCCCATCCAAATGCTATAGAGACGATTTATCACGGTAGTCTCTATATTACCTAGGAAGTCGAGAACTAAATAAATCATAGCGTACTACTAAAAATAAGTAATATAAACGAATCCTTTAAAAATCGTCGAATATATAACGAAGCAAAAAGCTCTTTCACACTAGTTAAACAGTAATACATTATTTATTATAATAGTCTAATTTATATATAAATCAGGAAACTTTTAGATAAGTCCTTAGGTCCTCTAGCCCGTGTATATCGTAGACTTTTACACTTAATTTGTATAGAGAGATTTGCGTAGTTGATTATACTCTTAACTCGAGTAATATAATCGCTGCCCGTCTCCCTACCTAGTTAGAGTTACTACTACTATTGTTTAGATAATAATAATCATATTACTTACTAACTTTCAATTAGTAGGTAATTAAAACTATTCTATGGTAGCTACTTAGTTACTTCTACCTATAGATAAAAATAAAGGTAGTATTAATACTAGGTCCCTAAATTAAGCGAGCCACGAGTTTCCAAATACATACCCTAACAGAGCGCACATATAAACTCCATATCTTACCCTTACAACCCGCCAAATTACTACCTACACTCTACCTACACTCGTCGTAAATCTTACCTACCTACTTACTTCCTTCCCACTCAATATACGAGCCAAACATTCCTTATACCCGTTGCTCGTTACCCGTTGCGAGTCTTATTTATCATAGTATTTTCCACCCTAGATATATAATCCCAACAAACCAACTTCATGAATCATCATCATCACTCCAGCTTCAGCAGGCCAAAGCTCAACAGCATACCCCAGTTCTTCTCTAAGTCTCATTCCCTTCAATTCCAGCTCCAGAAAGGCATCAAAAATCTTCCCATTCCCAAAACGATTGAAATCTGATATTCCATTCTTTCCTTCCTTCTCTTCTCCGATGCTATCCCCATCGACCAAGATAATTTTCCGTGATGTATTAGCGAGAGTGGAAACAGACCTTGTGTTAGTAACTACGAGTCCCCTTATTAAGTGTACTGTACTTTGTGAAATCAGCTAGGAATGAATGCAATGCCTGGCATTTTCTTGGGCATTTTAAAGAGTCGTGATTTCGAAATCGAGTTGAATAAATTCAATTTCGTTATTGTATCTACCTACCTACTTATTAATCTACTTCGAGTATACCTAGGTATGTTTTTTGTGTATCTCTTTGGTTTAAAAGGGATAGTACGAACGCCACAAGTCACAAGTCACAAGTCACTTCCAACGCATAGTCGAATCAGGTATTACATCCATATTCGCCCGCTATATATAAAATAGCAAGACCATCTACCTCAACCTCAACCTCAACCACACCCTCAAACCTTCAAACCCCCCATCTCAAACCCCTCAACCCCAAGTTCACCCCCCCTCCACTCCCAATACCCCTTTCGAATCCGATCATACTTCCCCGCAAGCAACCCCAATCCCCACCCAACCCTCTCCAACTCCCCCTTCTCCCCCCAAACATCCNCCCCTTTCGAATCCGATCATACTTCCCCGCAAGCAACCCCAATCCCCACCCAACCCTCTCCAACTCCCCCTTCTCCCCCCAAACATCCACCAAAAACTCCAAAGCATGACTACTCCTGACCTCTTCCTCCCCTCCCTTTTCCATAACAAACTCCCCCGCAAACCCCTCCAGCGTCCTCAACTCCCTCCCACCCTTCCTCAGAACCCCCCTAATATAATTCCACGGACTCTGATTCTGGGGCGCCTCAAAAGTAGCCGCCTTTGCAAACTGCAATTCCCTCTCAATAACACTATCCGGAATTTTCGGATCATGCTGCGTAGCAGGACACCCCTCCGTAGCATATGTCGGATTCGAGAAAACAAGGAAAAACCGATGACTCCAAGCCGAGTTGTTCCTCACATCCCTCCGTAACGGTGCTTCCACACTCTCCATCTCCTCAGACACATCCCACAACCCCATTTTTCTCACGAGGTACTGGCGATAACTCCAGACATGATAATTCTTCGCGTCCGCATCGAACATCTCCGTCATGAAGTCGCGTTCCTTAGTCGCCAACTCGTGAATCTGGGCTGGTTCGAGGGAGGAGAAGAGGTGGTCGATGAGGAGTTGTCGGTGGTGCCAGATCTGGTAGTTCTTCTGGTTCTCCAGTGCGATCTCGTTGACCCACTCTAGCTCCTCGTGCACATCCGCGTCGATGGCGAAGAGGGTTCGCGCGCGGTAGAGCCAGACGGTGTAATGCGCCGGGTTGAGAGTGATGATATGGGAAGTGAGGCCCAAGACGCGGGGGGAGAGTTCATTGGAAGCCATGATGGCTCGTAGATAGCCCATAGCTGTCCCTCATCAGCATCATTCCTCACTCCCACTCCCAAAAAACTCCTCAACCAAGCAAAAAGGAAGAATAAAGAAACATACCCTCAGCATACTCCCCCGTATACGCAATCTGCGCCAACGCCCCCTCCCCATCATCCTGCTCAATGGGCACCACATCATCCCACACCGGATCCCCCTCATAGCCCCCAAACTTCCGGCCTCCAAGGACACCCATCAATTTCCTCCGTCTTCTCTCCTCTTCCAACTCTGTTTCCGTGATATCTTTCCCTGCCTCTCTCCTCTCTCGAAATCTCTCGCTCTCCCGTTCAATCTCCCGAAGTTCGTTTCGCTGCCGCGCTTGCGCGTCCATGTCGGCGAGATATATGAGCTGAGATATGCCACTCGAGGAAAATTGGAGGATCGAGTGATATGCTTGCAAGCTTGGGAAGTCTTGTTGCAAGGTCCCTCTTTCTAGCTCCTGTCTTCGTTTCTGACTCCAAAGACCCCTGCGTCCCTCAATACTTTGTAGGCGGCAGAATCTCCGTGAAAAGGTATTTTACCGTTTCGTGAGTCAAGTCAAAAAGTGTTCCAGTCGTTCGTGAATAGCTCGCGCAGTGAGTGAGTGGCTACGTAGTGGGGTCTCGACGCGGGGGTGAGTATCAACTTCGTCGACGAAGATACTCTAATAAAAATGAAAGACAAGAAGAAGCTGGTGCAGAAACTATAGCAATCAAGAAATCTGCCGAGAAATATTCTTCTTCTTGTACTCGATTACGTTGTAGTGTTTGCAGTGCCTCGAGTCCTTCTCTCCCCAGCCTTCGAGGTGGGGGTTTCTTTAAAAGGACCCTGGAATGTCAGCCTTAACCACAAGGCTGAGAAAAACAATGAACAATACGAGTATCAACCAAACAATACGAAGCGGAAAGACGAAAGCGGAAAAGTAAATTTTTCTAATTAGCAATTATAAGTCTCGTTTCGTACTAACATACCACGAATCTCAAATTCGCGCGCTTCCAAAGAATCCAAGAAAACATCCGATCCATCAACCGTAAGGTAGAGATAGATGTGCTAAAAATCTCCTCCCAAATTGGCCTCCTCTGATTTAACGTGATCCTATTCTGGTCGCGAAGAAAGGCTCCTTCCACCACCGTGCCAGCCATCCTATTATTTCTCCCTGAAGACAAAAACAGTGTCTCATCTAATCCTCTACCCTCCAAAATTTCCAAGCCTCTCTGTCCCCATCCTCACCATGAACTCCAACCAGTTCTTCCACGCCTTCAATGCCATCAGCGTTCAAAAACTTTTCCTGATCGATCTCCTCGCCTCCATTCTCATCATCACACCCATTCATTAATACAGCTGGCCAGAGAACACCTACGCCATCACAGCCAAGGGTAGTCTCAAACTTCTCAAACCCTTCTTCATCCAATTTGTCTTCTAATTTCTTTAATGTTTCATGATGAACTCCGGGTTTGAGAAGAGTAATGGCGCAGCCTCCTCCACCAGCCCCGGTAAGTTTGGTCCAACCGATACCTTCGTGATCGACCAATTCCCGTATCCGATCCAAACGTGGATGGGAAACACCCAATGCGACCAAAAGTCCGTGATTGACGGTCATTAATTTGCCTAGAGATGCTAGACTTGCCTCGTCCTCGTTGTCGAAATCATCGTGTCCAATAAGTTCAGCGGCGCCGATTGCGACCTTGTCAATGGCATTTAATATCGATTCCGTAATTTCTGGGTGCTCCTTTTTCAGTAATCCCACCTTCGCCACTTCCGCTGCTGTGGATTTATTTTGTTTGGTATCGACTAATAGAAGCGGTAATTCAGGGAAATTCCATAGTGGTTTGACGCTCGGTGGTTTTGAATAATCGTGTCTTTGGAAAACAACAGCCTTGCCTTGAGTCGCAACCGTATTATCCACACCAGATGGATTCCCATGTATACACATCTCCGCAACAAAAGCCCACCTATTTATACGTTCCACCTGTACTCGCGCTTCATCGGCGGGCTGATCGGGATGAGGTCCAGAAAGTGTGCGAATCTGTAGTAATAGAGCACCCGCCAGACATACGGCAATGGATGCACTACTGCCCAGACCAGCACCAATTGGAATCGTTGAACGAAGAGTATATAAACATCCTGGGAAGCTTTGATTTCCCAGCGATAGCAACAAATAAAGAAAAGCCGACGCCGAGTTACGATGGACCCTGCGTACATCTTCAGGAGCATCCTCCGAGACATTCTCGATATGGGGTGTCATGGCAGCAACTAGATCATCGTCGAGTTCGGTGACTAGATCATAATAATGCTTCTTTTTGGATGGATGGGAAAATGTACTCCATGGTAAATCGTCGATATTCCATGTATGCTCGAGTTTAATGTCAGGAAATCGGAGGGATATGGTTCGTTTCGATTTCGAGAGCGCAGTTACGAGGAGATATGATCGAAGAGAAATCGCGGCTGCAATCGCTGCCTGTGATAAGAAGTATTAGTATGGTCCCCTGAATTGCTGAGCGGGCGCAACAGACCTTGCCGTGCACTACTGCATGTTCCCCAAAGACAATGACTTTGCCAGGGGCCGAAACCATAAAAGTAGGCATCATTGGAGTTGACTGCTTCCTCCTGTAATTCGTTTTCTTGTTGCTGGCGCCATTGAGGTGTGTAGATTCCATATCGGTGGCGATGCCATTGACTGCGGGTTTGCCGTTGGGTGGCATATCCGTCGAGGGACAGCTCGAGGTTTCGGAAGGGGTATCGATAGTTGAGGTGGTGCTAGAAGCTCGCGAGGTCGGTTTGGCCTGGGTGCTCTGGGTGTGGTTGTGGGTGTTCTTTCCACCAATAGTACTTCTACCGCGATTGTTCATTTGCGAGTGACAGAGGATTTCTCAGAGGAGTGACGGTAGCTGGAAGGAAGGTTATGCGGGCTATGCGGGTAGCAAGGTGGGTGTAGGTAGTATGTACAACTCAAACAAGGAACAATGGACAATGGAAGTGTGAATGGCAGGAGCAAGAGCGATGGCCTATGAGTATGGGGAACTACCACAAATAGGTACCATAGGTAATTGCCAACGAGACCCTAATCACCGCAATCTCACTGTGTGGGGGTAACGCCAGGCACCGTTCGCACCGCTCTAAAGCGGGATCCCTGAACCTTACAGGGATCCCTGCGGGCCCTGGAGCCGGGTGATGGATCGTCGACGCAATTGCTCCAAGCCCAAGGCCCCAAGGATCCGTATTTCGCTTGGGGCAAATCAGGAGGACAACACCAAGAACTCAAATCTCAACTGATTCACTTGTAAATGGGGTTGAAAGTTGAGAGAACTACGAAGTACTTTGTCGTGGTTTCTCAAGCCGCAACAGTTTGCCAATGGGTAGTACCTCAATATCTTAGCTATACGACGAAGCTACGAAGTAACGAAGTACGAGTATTGAGTGTGTGTGGGTCATTGACTGATACCTATAGCTGGTGATAGCGAAATCAAGATGCAAGTCCACCAAGCCGTTTTAACCGAGCCTGCTCGTTCAAGGTTCTTCCCCATCAAGTCTGTGTCACCAAATATACCCCGGCTATCATTGGCCAAAAACGAAACCTGGGGTCGCACATCTCTCAGGGTAGATGGAAGATACCTAGGCACTTCGTATTTGACCAGTAATAATGAAATGTATTGTACACTTCGAAAGAAATTCTAATATAACAAATCCACCTAGCAATGAGGAACCCATCATCCACGTTATGCTCGTAGCAGCACCTCTTCACCCGTAGTGATACCTAAGACCCAATCAATCCCTTTTCAACTCCAGTACCAGTCCCTAGTGATACAACATGATGATCAGAAAACCCCTCCCCTCCCGCAATATCAACTCCAACCTCTCCTCCATCAAGCATTAAACTAAAGTCTTTCAGGAAATTCTCGACACATCAGCCTCAGATTCCATACCACTATCATCTTGGTCCCCATCGACATCGTCCATAACGTGATCGTGATCCGACTCCGTCTCATCCCCACCCGCTCCTCCTCCATCGATTCCTAACAGTGCTTTGTCAAGGTCGTCAAGCATGTCGTTGTCTTCTTCATCGCCACCAGCTTCGCTGCCAAGAGCCAGAATTTCCTTGTCCAAGTCATCAAGATTTTCGTCCATGCTTTGCTTGTGATCGTTGCGTCTATCCTTGGTTGATTCACGAGGCGCTTCATCTTCTGTCTCGTCATTGTCGCGAACATCTTCAAGCCCACTGGAAGTTCGGTTATGCAAGACTCTGTTGGTGCCCATGACTCCCAGGTTCAACTCTTTCTGGCTTTCCCATCGGTCCAAGCGGCGTGCAGCTCGTCGAAATGCTGCGGCATAAGCTGACATTTCCTCACCGAAATCGTCTTCCTCGCTTCTCAGTTGGACGAGACCACCAAATCCACGTTCTCTGAACATGAGCGGATCCTTGGCGAGAGACTCCTCCCCTTCACTATCCTCGTAAGGATCTGTGATTTCTTTGCTCCGTCTCAAGGCTCGGAAGAATGCGCCTTCTTGCTTTCGAATCTTTCGAGAATGATGGTGCTTTTTCCTTAATCCTCTGCTTAGGATGTAATCAACTCGCTGGTTTCGATTCCGTTCCACGGCTAACTGGTGTGCTGTAAGAGGACGAGAGCGTCTGATATGAACTGGTCCATCGCCATGAGGAACAGGCGAAGACCCTTCAACAAACTGATGAGCCATACCTCCTCTAGCCCTACCCCTACCGGAAGTGAGACCACCGAGTCTACCACCAAGAGCTCGAGGTGGTGGCGTAGAACGAGTGCTGTCAAGATCAGATTCATACTTGGGACGAATTCGGCTAATTGGACTGCCAGTATGGTCAGCTCCCAAACCTGCTCGTCTTCCCAATAATGTTGCAGCGGGACTTGGTCCTCCATCGTCAGGGGGGAGATGAAGTTTCGGTTTTGGGCCTCGCTTCGGCGGGCCTTGCTCGGCTTGAAATGCAGCTTGATCTGCTTCAATAATTCGTTTTCTCTCTCGCATCTTGTTCTGTCCGTATTCGACTTCTTCCGGGGTATCAACATTCTCCATCTTTTCTTGCTCCTCCGTCAAGATGACAAATTGCGGTACACCTTGATTTCTGACATCCACACCATAATCCACACCTGCACCAAAAGGGTTTTCTTCAGCGCCTTCCTCCGTGAAATCAGATTCGAGGTAGAACCACATCAACCAGAGAAAAGCATCTGCTCTCGATTTACTCGACAGACTTGTTCGCATTATCAAATCGTAGAAGTCGCGAGGGGGCGGGAAATGAAGCTCCGTTACTTTCGGCGCGAACTGTGCCAGTACAAATATGAGGTTGACGGGATTCGTCCTGGGCACATCCTTACTCTTGATCTTGTCTAACGAGTTGGGTTCTGGTCGGTCTTCGGAGGCGCCTTTGAGAATTGATTTTAATCGAGGCGCATCTTGAAGCTGTTTATAGGAGTTCGGATCCTGGTGCGCTTGTAGAGAGGGAATGGCGTGGTATGTACGTAGCTGGGCTCGCATTTCAGGGAAGACTATCTGATCAGCATCCGCTTAATTGAATATCTCGTAGGGGACCGTCTTACAATTTAAAGTAGTATTCATTCTGCCCAGATTGACAAGCAAGCAGACCATTGCCATGTTCTTCGCAGGCTCATGTTCCGTCAGAAGCTTACCCCTCAGAATCTGACTCGTCTTGCTACTCCTCGCCATCGCATCAATATAGAGATTGGCGAAAGTCTGCTTGCCAATCGTGGTGGGCTCATAAGTATTGGTGAAAACGGCTCGATCGTCATCGAAAATCGCCTTCAGGAAATCGTATTGTATATCCTTTCGCCATAATGGTTCCCCATCATCCTTCTTCAGATGGCGCACCTTATTCCCACTGTAAATTGAGGTATTCATTGGGGTACCCCCAGCAGCAGCGTCCTTCTTCTTCCTCCCTCCCGTGGCTGTAGTGGCCGATGGAGTCTCCTGCTTGACGTTTCGTGGTGTACCAGCCTCGTCGTCTTCAGTCAAATCGGCGGTCCGTTTCGATGCGTTGGGAGTATTCTGGCGTGATTCTGAATTGTCTAGTACATGATGTAGAGAGGTTCGTGGGTCGGCTCTTATGGGGGATGAAGGCTGCGTGGCATTTCGGTCATCTATGGAGAGGCCATCATCTACCGACAAAGGCGATGGTGAAGGCGCACTGCGTTCTGTCATCGTGTTTGCCATCGCTCCTGCCTCAGCAGTATCATGTGATGGATATCTGCTTGTGTAGTCGGTTGCGGCTGCCTGCTTGTATGGGGATAATGGGGATGAACGTGGGTATCCGCTGGAACAAACAGAAGTAGTGTGTTTGTATTCTAGGGGAGGTAGGTACGATTGGGGTGTGTTGGCGCACAGGTGCAGGGAGGTCGGTGGAAGGAAGGAAGGTATAAGGATACGCAGGTGAGGTAAAGGGATGAGAGTGGTGTGATGGAAGGAGTGGATGGTTAGTGAATGCCCTCAGCCTGCAATTGAGGTTGAGGTTAGCTCTGGGCTGGAACTTACCTTTAGCATGCGACATGTACCTGGCCGGCTAATCCTGGGGAACTAATGGACCCCCACAAAGCTTAAAATGGCGTCGTCCAGGTAATGGATTTACAGGGGGCCTGAGGGTCGGTTCAGGGTCCTCAAGCTACCCCTCTATTTCTTTTCTTATCCCCCCCTTTTTACCACAATTTGGTGGCCTGATGCAATTGGGTCCAGCCCATGGTTGCACCCGAGCTGCCAATGGGAGATGTGTAAATACCAGTGTCACACAAAAAGAATCCTTATTTTAGATAGGGCTGTTTACCTACTCGGGCAAACTCCAGCTTTACGCCAAGAGTCGAATGACATCTCCCTCTGAGCCTCTGAGAGAAAATTCCCTCTTCTGTCCATTAAGAATAACGGAGCCCCGAGGGAAGGGTCTGTCGTCAAGAGGTTCCAAGATGGAGGCTTGATTATTAAAACCGCTGCCTTTCAGAAGAAGTTGGGAAATCTTTGCATAGGGTTAAATTCAGGTTCTCCTGATGCTATTTATATTCCTCTTTTTAGACGAGGGAACATAGCGCTGGTAGCGAATCAAATCAACAAAGATATATTAAAATATTAGGAACCAACAACGACAAATGCCCAGGGAAGAAGAGAGCGCTTTCTCATTCGACTGTTCTACAAGCCACTAGAACAGGAAAAAAGACGTTGATACGCGAGTATTGACGAGAGACAGGACGAAGGGTTTGCGTCCTGAATCCTGCGGTAGATACATTACAGCCTCTTCGCTTGACGAGTCACACTGGCCTCTAAATTAACAACGGAACCACGTCCATGTCATAGCTGTTCCCCAGCTCGCGCCCAGGTCTAGTTGGAGCAGGATGTCCGTATTTACCAGTTAGAATCCCTGCTTCCCGTGTTTTACGACTGGGAGAGTAACGGGCATCACCCACTGACTACCAGGTTTTTGATGGGTGGGTGTTCAGCCGCTCTCTTGGCTATCAAACACCAAAACGCTGCTAAACGGCATGCGCGCCATACAATCACACTCTGTGGACATTATTTAGCATCAAAATAGGAGGAAATAAGCAAGGCTTCTGCGTGGGACTTAGGTGGATATTTCCATTGATGGATTTAAAATCTATCTAAACTACATGCAGAGCAAGTAAAACGAACAAGCTCCGCGGAAAAGAATTCCAAGGTAAAAAAGCACACACGCTACCCTCAAAAACCAAACCCACTAAGCGATACAAGTATTATCCCCCACCAAAAAAGAATAAGAGAGGCATAGGTAGACAAACTCCGTAAGTGAAAGTTTCGACCAGAAACTGAAAGGGGGTCATCCGAACCAAAACAACAAGCAACTCCAGCCTGAACATATCCTCCTCAAGAAACTTGAAAATCCCTTGCGCTTGCGCTCGCTAAAACAAGCAAATAGCATGAAATCTATCCCCGAACCAAGCCTGAAGACCGCGCTGAAAATCTATCAAGAGAGGAATTGAACAAGGCCGTAAAATCATCAAGAACAAGCGAATATCACATCTCTCTACACACTTAGTCGTCGTCTGGATCATATTCCCAGCCTATCTGGAGTATCCACTCCCACTACCACTCCCATAATCGTAGTAAGTAGGGTTCTGGCCATAATACGCATCTCTCTCATCATAAACCGGTTGTTGTGAATCATACCCTCCACTCCCACTCCCCCCACTGACTTCCTTATCTCTGCTCGATCCTCCACGGTACGAATCCGAGCCTCTAGCTCGTCCCTTCGCAACGACGTGCTTTAGCGAGAGCGATCCCCATGGTAGTCCAGAGGGATCGTCATTCCCTCCCATCTCGTGGGGATCAGGAGTATGGTATGAATGTCCTGCATGTGCTCGATTCTCGGCATCTCTTTCCTCGCGCTCTTTTGCATCTTTGGCTTTGTCTCCTGATTTTGATGGTTAGATGGATTTGAGATGTTTGCTTGAGGGGAAATGCTTACGGAACTTTCTCTGTGCGATTCGATTCTGAACGCGTCTTCTCTCTTCAGGGTCCGTGATCTCGGACCAGTCGTCCCTGTCTTGGGACTTGGATTTGGATGACGAGGAAGAGGAGTGGTGTTTTCCTTTTGACGAGGAGGAGCTTGAATGGTGGGATGATCGGTGGGAGGAAGACATCTCGGTTTCGGTGTCGGATGATTCTTCTTTGATGGTTGGATTCGGATCTGGATTGTTGATGGTGATATGGGGTGTTTCGAGGGTTGGTGTTGTTTGATCTTCTGATGTTGGCTCTGGGTTTTCGTTATCATAAGACAGAGAGTCCCTGGGAGTTATTAGTCTTGGATTCAATGGCAAGAGAGTTGTGAAACTAACATCTACCATCGGAGATGGGATCATGGAAGTATTGTGAAAGGATAGATTGCTGGGGTGGACTAACAGTTGTTCAAGGCAACGTTGAGGTATCGAAAATAGCAAGAGCTTAGCAGCGAGCAAAAGTCAAGTCAATGCTGATGATTTAGGAGAATCCTATCTATGAAGCTTGAAATGAATCTAAATTTCATGAAAACTCAATAGAAGATCAATGCAGAGGGGACGCTTTTAAAATAGTGAGAATAGAAAATAGGAAGATATATATAAGCTCAACTACTACCTAAAGTGGGACACAAAGTGAGCCATACTCAAATAGCTAGAACTGCAGGCACCGCCTCCATCCTATTCAGAATGAGAGTAGCCACGAAGAACGTGACGCTGGTGGTGCTCGAATGGAGCAAGCCATTACTCCTTACCGCTGCCCATCAAGGCAGCCTCGCCCTAGATCCCAAACCACTCGGGTTATGATTGGACCAGAGGAGAAAATGTATGACTTATTCTTCCAAAGCCATCTTGAAAATACGGGATTGGATCCGAATATCCTGGTACCCTGAAAGGCTGCCATGAGGCACCAGGACGTTGTAGGAGTCCGGGATTCAGAAGAGGGTCCCATTTTTAGGTTGGGACGACGCTAGGACGAACTGCCGGGATGTCTCACACCACATTCTGATGCTGCGGTCGCGATCTGGTGGACTCCAATGAACCGTTTTACGACGAAGAAAGTGGTTCCGGAATGCCAATTGCTACGCAGGCAGATGCTCCTGCATACCGAGGGTCGTTGGTTGAGTACTGTAGCGAGCAGAGACAGGGGCTTGGTGTAGCGAACGCCAGCTGATCAGGCATCCAATTCATCCGTAGTAGAATGCCCAGCAGCCTGGTTATGGGTAGTCAGCGACGACGGGCCATATCCTGATGGACGATGATTTTGTTGCAACCAATTCCTTCAGATGAGTCTTCTGGGGAGCAGAAGATAGTCAGCAGCTAGAATGACGCATCCGACAAGGTCATCGACCACCGGAGAGTCGGAGAGAGTGGTGTATTGCCCCAAGGCCGCAGGAACAAGGAACTCGGTTAGTCACAGACGAAGTACGAGTATCAATGATAGCGATGTCATCATTTAAGCTGAGGATTCTATGTGGGTGCGGGCTATCGCAACATAACAACCGGATTATCAACTACTGGGTTTTGTCCGTCGCTACAGTACTGTTTTGAGATCACCAAGACGGGAGAGCCCCATGAGTATTTTACAACTACTTGTACCACCGGAACACAACTTCTTGAGGGAATCGGGACGGGCTTCATTAAGGCTCTTCGCTTGACCCAAGGAAGGATTAAAGAGGTTGTGCGAATAAGGAAGACTTACAAGAAAATTTCCTGCCTGGGAATGCCTGCGGGTAACGGATCGCTCACAAAGATATCGGTACTCCGTATTATGACAATAATAACAACAATACTCGCACGTATGACAGCTTCCACAGCCGATTTCCCACATCATACAGGTATTTTCATCCTTCTATCCTCATCTTTCTTCAATTCCTGTAGCAAGCTATTGATCCTGATCTGATTGCAGGTTGGGGTGTCGTGTCTCGTTGACGAGTCCTGATAACGTCTTCATGGTCGTGCCTAATGCCTGGGGTGTGAGCTGAGGCCGCCGCAAAAGTGCGCGTGTCTAGTAACACTGGAGTATTATCACCCCGACTCTTAAAGATATAGCCAATTTCTGCCAAAATACCACCCCAATTCTGCGAAATACGTTTGTTGGTTGGTTGTATATACAGGTCCTTCCTATTTAAGTAAACATCATGCTTCATTCAGTGACCTTGTGTCTTTATTTAGTGGTCCACTCAAGTCACGAACCCTCGGTGAGGGCGAAGTAAGTGCTGCAACTTCTCTCAACTGATTTGGGGCAGGACAAATAGAGAGTCGGATATGCATTGGATTAGGCAGGGTTTTATTCCTAATGACGTTCACTTGGAAATAGACTTCCCCAACGATAAGAACTTTAAAGATATGGTTGGTCGTTCCGAGGTAGTTCGGTCAACCCGGAATCTTGAACGACTCTTCCAATTAGGCTTGATGGTTCGTTTGATTTCTGTCCCTCGAATTCTCTTTTAAAAGAACAGCTTGCCTCCTAGGAAGTCAGAATTGTATCCGCAGCTGGATGTTACCGAGTGTAGCTCTCCATGGTCTTCCCCGCGGAAAACTATTTCAGCTAATCCTCAAGCATACTTGTGGTACAATTCTCTGCAGCCCTACGTTGAGCAGAACTTGGGCTTACCGACAACCCATCCCTGGAAGTCAATAGCCTGCTCAAAGTTCCGCAGCTAAAAGCCGCAAGAGTCAACTATGCACGCGACACATGGTTGCATATAATCTTACACTGACGTCCATCTCGGAACCAACCTCTCTTCCGAGTTTCCTAATTGATAGCTGTGCTTCGCAAAGTTTCTTTTAGCCGACATAATTTCTGCTTTGGAGTTTGCGAGTGTTCGCCTCCAATTTGAAACAAGCACAGCCTTCTAAACCTTTACCTTTCTGTCATATATGATTCTCAAAATCTATAGATTTTCAATCCATTCGTTACTGTTATTATGATATTGAGCTTCATTCAGTGGGTAAGCTTTGAAGTAATAATTTCTTCAACAAGAAAATGGGTGAACATACTTGTTGGCTTCGGGGTATATATAGTTAAGTCTTTATAGTGAGGTGTGATCACTAAGAGTTTTTTTCCGACCAATCAGAGAATTAAGGAGTTTTAGATGTATTTATTTTTTTAGATTTTTTGGCCACCCGCTAGAGGGTGGGTGAAAAAGTCGAAAAAAAGAAAATTAATCCAAAAATGCTAAATCTTCTGATTGGTCGACTAAATGCCTAATAACCACACCTCACTATAATATATACTCCGAGCCAACAAGTAGTAACCATCTACGCAAAATCCATCAAAAAAAAAGATTCTCCAAGAGGGCTCAAATGAAAACATTCACTGAAACACGACCGGATAAATCGTTCGTTCCCAGCTTTGTTTATCAACTACCACTCCATTTCAATCCCTCTCTTTTGAATTTCTTGTGCCCTCAAACATTCTACTTTTTCCCTTTCAATTTCTTCTTCCTCATATCCCTCCTACGCTTCAACTGAGCCTCCCTCGTATCCCTCAACGTCCGCGGTTTCCCCTTCCCATCAAGCAACTCCACATCAACCGGTCTATCAAGACCCAGCTCATCAGCAAGCTCCCCAATCTCCTCCTCAATACTCTCAAAAAACTTCGGAAATCTAGCACGCTCTACATCATGACGTTCTCGGATGGCAGTTAGATCAATCATCTGCTCTCCAGAACTAGGAGCAAATTCCTCACTCCCCGCCGAATTCAAAGAGATCCCCCCTTTCCTCTCTTTCCTCTCTTTCTTCTGCGACGCCTCCCCTTCTTCTCGTTTTCTCTCTAGCCCCTCTTGTTCCCGCCTCCTCCTCGACGTCTGCACCCTCGGTGCCGTCGGTGAGATCTCCAGACTCGAATCCACCAACCCCCGTTGCGGATTCCGCGTACCGAGCTGATAACTTCTCAACTGCGTCTCGGTGGATTGTCTTCTTACGCCGGCGCCGGGGAGGAGAGGCGGTTTCTTCTTTGGTCCCGGGGAGCGGGGGAGTGGGCCTGGGAGTATTTCTGGGGGACTGGAGAGGGGTGAGGGGAGTGATTTTGAAGAGCTCTTGTCGGTATATAATTATGGTGATTAGCACCTCGTACGAGAGCTTGGTGGTTCTACATGCTTGGTGTCATGTGAGTGGCTTGCCACACACATACTTAAGCTCGTAGAGCACCACATCTCTCTACCTTTACTCTTCACGAACAAATGAATACACCGATTTAGTTACCTCCAAAGAGAAGGTGACCTGAATCCCGTATTCGCCGTCGTCACGACCACCAGGTCGTACCAACAGCTCTTCTTCTTTGTCTTCCCTTTCGAGGGCCCGGGGCTTTTTGTGGGATGACTTGTATTCTTGGTTTTGATAGGGGGAGGTCGAAGTTTGGATTTGGGAGCGGGTGCTAGTGTTGGAGCTTTGGGCTTGCTTTTGGTGTATTTTATTATTTGTTTCTTTATTGAGGATTTTCGGGGGCTTTTGTTGGTCTGGTTTTTGATTGGAAGCTTGGTCCTTGATTCTGATGCTAAGGACTCTAAGGATGTTGATTCTGAGGATTCTGATTCTGAAGACTTTGATATTGAGGATTCTTTTGATCTTGTCGATGATGTCGACTTCGTCGATTTTGTCGATTGTGAAGAAACTGATTTATTCGGCGGGTCTGGCGAATCCGAATCCGATTCTGATTCCGATTCTTCAGAGACTGACTGAATAGAACTAAGTCGTTTCGTAATTCGTTTCGTTGGCTTATTCGCAGCTGCGTCCTTCGCGATTTTCTTTGGTAAAGACACACTTTCTGGTTTTGATTCCGATTCTGATTTACGCTTCTTCGAAATTGGCCGAGTCTGTACAGCAGGTTTGGCTGGTTCTTGACTGGCCGCTGAATCTTTCTTGAAGAGATTGGTGAGTTTCTCGCTCGCGGCAGTTTTCGCGGCTCGGGGGATGCGTTTTCTCAAGGGCGAAACTGGGGTCCTTGCGCGCTTCTGAATTTTTTTAAGGGCCATGTTGATGATGGATTGATGCTTTGGGCCATTTCTGGTATTTCAGAGTCGAGCATTTGGTCCGAATTTCTTTTCCAAAGCCGGCTTTGGCTAACAAAGAAATCGAATATTGAGCTTGACGCATTTCTACAAAGAACACACGGCATTGTCTTAACCCGATCGAGAACAAACTCTGAAATTGTCTACTCCCACTTGCTCGTATGAGAATAGGTCTTCACAATAGTCGATGTTCTCCTAAAAATGTATCGATTGTTCGTTATGTCTCTTGAATTAGAAGGTGGTAGAAGTTTTTGGTACATCGGCTGATAAGAGAAAGACAAGCGTCTACCCAACCTCTTTTGACTGGAGTTAGATATTCTCTTGAATTATCTGTGAATAGATATAATCCAGTTACTCTAGCCTTAGCTTCTGCCCCTGTAGCCTCTGTGATGTTGTGTCTTAATAGAATAGAAAGCGTAAAACCCTCGAATAACCAAATCTATTGATTATAACACCCGCAGTTATTTTTCGCTAGCTTAACGTCTGTATAAGAACAACGATAGAGGCCTCTTAATGATTTGTCAAAATCGAATCAATAAAATTATAGAAACCCTTCGCCTCTCTACTGGCGAGATGGAAGTGCACAAGTAGGCGATATCGCCCGCCCTAGAACCGAAGGAGGAAAAGGGGGCAATCAAGCGAGAGGCGAGCTGGCGAGCGGACTTTGAGAAGCTCGGGACCTCGGAATCTGTAAACATGTCTTCTCAAACATATGTAAATAAAACAAATCCACCAACCAATTTAGAACTTTGGAAGTCCAACAGTTGATATTAGTAATCAATGATGACGTAGCGAGCTTGAATAGGTAGCTAGCGCCGCGGGATAACACAGTTTAGCCGGCTCTCCCGGGATTCCACGACAGGTTCGCTCACCCACACCACAAGACAACCTCCTGACCTTCCAAGTTATCCATCCAGCTTACCTATCACAGAGTCGCCTTGGAGACTTTTTTTGGTCTCCTCCAACCGGGCAGCTGGGCACATGCAGTGATAAGTACATGTAAGTGGGTACACCGTAGAAAACGACATTTTCTCCCCTACTTCCCTTCCCTTATCTTTCTCATATTCCTCTTCACATGTATCCATGCCATTTTTCTCCTCTAAAGCAAGTGCACTGTGTATTCCATCATGACGACCTTGCGAGATAGACTAGCCGTCATCGAATCTGCCCTCCAAGATCTACAAACCCTCGAGATCACAGAGCGTGTACGTCAAAGCCTCGATCACCGCTTCGATAAAACCCCGCCAGATATTGACGCAGCACCCTTTCCCACGCCCGCACAAGAAAAACCCAACCCATTCGACCAAGTCAGCGGCTCAAAAGAAAAAGAGAAATTCTACGATACAATCGCAGCAAAATTCGGGCTCGGTTTTCTCGCCACAGAAGACTTCTCGGAATACGTGGTGTACAATGCTTTCGTGACGAATCTGCGAGTTTGTCCGGTGGATTTGACGGATTCGGGGAATTACTATTATCTGGAGCATCGGTTTTGGTTACCGAATACGCCTGGTGTTGTGTTACGGAAGGGTAGCGATAAGGAAGGGGAATGTCTTGGGGTCGCGAATATACCGCTCACGGGACGGAATTGCTTCGGCGTGGGGGATTTTGCGGGAAATCCGGGGGATGTTTTGTGGGAGACTTTAAGGGTTACGGGGTTCTGGACGCATATGAGGTATGAGTTTGAGATTGGACCGCCGAGTGATAGAAGGGTGTTTCACTGGATTAGAACGAGGAATAATATTATGGATGATCAGGGGGATTTGGTGTTGATTGAGAAGGAGAAGGAGGATAGGATCTTGGCGGAGTATGTTGGGAAGGGTTTATTGAAGTGGAAGAAGAGAGGACGGCTAAGGATTAAGAATACTGGGGAGTATGGGGGTTCGTGGGAGAAAGTGGTTTTGTTGACTTGGGCTGCGATTATTGAGGTATGTTTCGCTTGAGACAACATGCTATTTGAGAAAGTGCCTTGCTAATGTCCTGAATTGTAGTTGTCTCGTCGAAGAGCTAGATACAGGCGATACTCCCCTTCACACATCATTCACGGATAATTTATTAGTGGATTTTGGGCGTACATATGGAGTAAAGGTGTTTAAGGAAGCGAGGAGTTTGGGTAGATCGAGAAAGTAGATGTTATAGAAATCAGATACCCAAATTTGCCCAAGAAACAACAACACTTGGTTCCGATCTTTTTTTTCTTTACAGAGTACTTCATATAATTATTCATGAAAGCTATCGTGATTGGGAATATCATTTCATCTGTCTAGAGCAAGAAGTCCAGTTATTCTCAGCATTGTAAAAAATTACTCAACAACTCGAGTACTATTCTAAGTCACTCTAAGTCAAGTTAAGTATAAATGGTAGATCTAGTTCATTTAAGTTAAGTAGTAGATTTCACTACTCGAGTAGTACTGGAGTAGTTTCTACAATTAGTAAGCCCTAGCTTTTTAAGCTTATTGCACTAACGGTTCTCTTCTAATGGCCTGTTCCTGTTCCGTATAATAATATTAACCCTATAGCTAAATGACCATTCCCTAGAAGTACTTGTCGCCAGATATCTGACTCTTAGGTCTTACGCCGCTTGGTAGTGCTTGCTACATCCGAGCTCGGCCCCACCACCCGACGCCCAGCCCAGTCGACTCCGTACTACTCAAATAGTACTCAACTTAACTCAATTACATGGTGACTTAAGTTGAGTAGGTGCTACTACTCAACCCAACTCAATTCATTTCCAACACTAGAATAATCACACATACATATATCACCTACAGCTATATAGATAAAGTAATTTCAATCTTTAGCCACAATCATGGAAATTTCAGTGGATTGCCGATACATTATTACTAAACGAGCTGATAACTAGATATTCAACAGTCATCTAATACCAGTATCGTATCAACGCCATGTATACGCAGCCGCAACATCAGCAGCGAGCGAGACGGAATACTCGCTCACATTTGGCTGAGTGCCTACCCTGAGTTGGCGGAGAAGGTACCTGATATTTACTGGCTTCTCTTCCGGTTATTGTGAGTCCGCCGTCGTTCCGCAAATTGCAAAAGACAATTTGTCGAATTTTCTGTCCCAACGAGCACCTTGGATCTTTTGGACTGAATCTGTGAGATAATGATCGTAGGTGATAAGGATGAATGGAAATATGCGGTTGCAGTAACTCATAAAACTTTTCCTTCAACTCCTTCCGCTGCTGGCCCAACGAAGGTTGGATCAAATGAGTCATCAATCGAGACCTGGTGTTCTCATCACAAATATTGGCTAACATTTTGTTGAACGTTGTTGCTGCAGCTTCATGTACCTTCTCAGCCAGGTTTTGGGTGATTTCACCCAAGGTTTGCATTGGCTGAACGAATCTCCAACTACCATGGGATTGAATGTACCTGGCAGTTCACGCCCTCTGCATTCGATCATACTGGTCTCGACTTTTTTTAGATAAGGGGTCCTCAGAATAAAATTTGTTTTTCGCGTTGGCTCTTCATCGTCTTCTACAATTTCTAGAGCGTGACCATAAGTAGACATATCTTTTGCGTAGGCAGTCAGGATGAGTTGGACTTTGGCGCGAAGGCGTCGATCGAATGCGTCTTCCTGTCCAGGAAATGGTGCAAAGAAAGGATCTGCGTAAACGCCATCAATTGCCGCCTGGATCATTTTAGACAGCTTGCCGCTGATCTGATGTAGATATGTATGCTTCTCTTTTCGAATGCTGCGTGACTTTCCAAGCTGCTTTAGTTTGCTTGTGCAGTCCTTGATGCCTGCTTGAACATCATATTTGACACTTGGGAGTCCCTCGTTGATGTGCTTCCACAGTGCATCACGTAGTCTGTCTTTCAACGCAGTTGCGCCGAGCTGTGATGAATCAAGGGCATCTTTCCAACCAGAGTTTGAGAAAAAGGTCTCTTCTCTTTCTCCCTGCTGCTCGACCGTAAGCTTTGCTGTAGATTGAGTTTTGTTGAGAAGGACATGCCATCCCAGATACAGTTTGACATTCCCATTGCAGGCCATGTCCACTAGAGTAAATGTCAGCATATCAAATTGTGGTTGATCGTCGATAGCAGTTCATAGCGATGTAATTTGTTGAGTAAGTTGAAAAGTAATGATACACTGTATTGTATTAGATACATACCATAGTATCTCTCGCTCTCCGAGCCTCTCAATCTTGTCTGGTTTCGTAATCAATCCAAGTGTTCTTCCAAGAGGATCGATTTTTCGCGCAAATTTTGTGACTGGTTGGTTTGCGAAATTGTTATCTGCGGAAATAACGGCCAGTATGATACTACGACTTTGCTTCATGTATCCCACTACTAGGTCTTCAACCAAAGCCGCATCGTCGTCAGATCTGAGATACCAGGTTGTGAGTCACCTGTGGGGAAATTTGCTCAACGCAGGAATTGTCTATCCTTACTGGTCTTTGTCAGAAGCACCAAACAGGCCTGGCAAATCAACTAGTGTCAAGTTGGGAGCACTTGGGGAGATGCTTTCAATTCGCAAAACATCAGTACAGTAGTTTTTAGCATCAGGCCCGGTCCCAGAGAGCCCCAGTTCGGATTTAGCAGCTTCAATAATCTTGGGGAAACTTTTTTGATCACTTTGCTTTTCGCAAAACTTCAGCAGCCTGATTCGTTCTTCTTCACTTCTTTTTGCAGAAGGTTGAATCTGAACTTTGAGCTCGGATTTTTCACCTCTTCGAAGGATAAGCTCAGTGGCGAAGCGGGTACAGAGACCCTCAGCCGTAGGAAAGGCGATACCTGAGAGCGACTCTAGCGTAGAGCTTTTCCCTGAGGATTGACTCCCACATACGATGATTTGGGGAAGGTCGACGCTGTATCGAACAAACATTAGTGCGGCGAGGGAAATCTATATCTAAAAATGCAGATGCTTACTAGTGACTGACACCATTGGAACGGAGAGAATCAACAATATCCTACAGATCGCGGTGCTTGTCTGATTGGATAAATCCAGATGTGGTTCGCCAGATTTGGTCGGCAAGGTGGAAGGCAGATTTTTCTCCCCTCGATATTGAACCCATGCTGCCGTGTGTGCTTCGCTGTTAGTTCAATTAGTCAAGTGGGAAGAGAAAATTGTCAAGTAGACAAAGTTGATGGAAAACAAAGAGGCGGCGTTTGAAGTAGACAATTTAATCTGGCTTATCGCACAGCCCTTTGGCAAGGATGTTTCCCCACCCCCGAAACTGTGGAAATAAGCAATTCACCTACGAAATATAGTACCTTGTAAAATACTCTGCAACACACGCAAGACACCCCAAAATTTCACCACTTTTTCGAAGCGACTGTATATAAGGAATGTTTATATAGCCCAGGTCTGAGTCTCAGATTCGCTGGTTTCGCTAAAAATTAGTACATAGACGTAATATATTTAAGCCAGGGTAAACCCGAGCTGTCGGGCCCTCTATTTAAATGTTATTTTTGACAGCTTCATGCACTGAAATTTGTATGGCGAAACTATCGTGCACTCCCAAGATAACACAGTTTATAAATAACCTCGAATTAGGGCCGTGGGGAGAGAGAAGGGGGAGTATTTCCCTCTATTATACTAAATTCCCTAAAACTTCTAACATTAGTAATATCTCGGAGTGAATTTAACTAAAAGTACTACTTTATATATAACTTAAAATCTAGAGATATTTTACCCTTATATAGCTAAAATAAAATAAAAGAAGCTTCTTTTATTCTTAGTAACTAAAAAGGATTCTATAAATATATATATTAAATTATATTTATTACTTACCTTTTATTAAATTATATTTATTACTTACCTTTTATTAAATTATATTTATTACTTACCTTTTATTAAATTATATTTATTACTTACCTTTTAGCTTATAATATAAAAAACTAAAGAAATTATTATTATATATTTATATATTTAATTATATAATAATCTAGGGCTATATATATATCTAGATTTTATAAAAATAAGTAAAAATATAATTATTAGTACTATTATTCTTATCCCTTCTAGACCACAGAGACACAAAGAAAACGTGCGCTCATAGGTGGGGTAAAGTATCTACATTTATAACATTTTCTCCGCAAAATGAAGTCGTGTAGCTAACCACATCGTGTTTCCAAGTATTTGAGCCTTAAATTGACCTAGTTATCGCATCCATTTTATCTACTCTTGAGTGCACGTTTATTTTGTGTCTTTGTGGTCTGGAAGGGATACCTTTATTATTTCCTTTCCTTCGATATTCCTAATATCTCTATGTAACGAATACTCAAACTGGCTAACTAAACTTGGCTGGGTGTTCGCTGGTTGGTATGCTATGATAAGAAGAAGACTATCGGGTTGTTCACTTGGAAGTGAACTCGTTACTTGTATCAAAGATGTCAAACTAATATGATAAGATTGATAACTAAGTTGAGCACGAAGCTCCTATCTAATGGCAGACGTGCCAGTCTTATATAGAACCTTCGTTCTCTCAATGTTCGCTCGTTCGACAATCGAACTGGCTAACTTCGCCTGTTCGCCCGGCTAACTGGCGAACTCCTAATATCACGTGATAACAATACAGAGAAATCCCTGGATCGCTTAGCTACTCCAAACGATCCCTATTTGCTATAAGAAACCTGGATGTGCCTGTCGAGGGTTGCGCATCTTATTATGACAGTTATCACGTGAACACGTGATTCGTGACACCGGACTACCCTAGTGTAACGAATACTCAAACTGGCTAACTAAACTTGGCTGGGTGTTCGCTGGTTGGTATGCTATGATAAGAAGAAGACTATCGGGTTGTTCACTTGGAAGTGAACTCGTTACTTGTATCAAAGATGTCAAACTAATATGATAAGATTGATAACTAAGTTGAGCACGAAGCTCCTATCTAAATGGCAGACGTGCCAGTCTTATATAGAACCTTCGTTCTCTGTCTAATCGCTTTAGTCGCTCGCCTCAGTCGCTTCAGTCGACAGGCGACTCAGGCGACTGAAGCGATCATGGTCACGTGGTACTTTAATCCGACGAAATCCATGGATCGCTTAGCTAGCCTAAGGATTCCCTTCTGCTATAAGAGTTATGATAATGCTCGACCTGTCAGGGCGCCGCCTGGTCTTCACTATCTCCCGTGGTAACACGTGATTCGTGACACCTAGACTCTACCCCGAGTACTACCCGAGGGCTAGCACTCTACCCCGAGTCTCGGACCGACCGGACTCCAGATTAATTTAAATTAATCTGATTTAATCTAATTACTTAGCGATTTAATTTAATTAATCGATATATTTATCTAATTTAATTTGATTAAGTACTATTAATTAAATTAAATTAAATTATTTTCTACGCTAGATATTATTAAAGGTATTAATAGTAAATTTAGTAGGTATAATCTATAGTACTCTATACTTACTTAACTATATAATTACTTAATAAACTTTAGCTCTTATAAATAAAGATAGTAGAGAATAGATTTTATATTATTTAAGTATAAAAACTTAAATAAAATACCTTGCTTTTTAGGAAAACTTAACTTATATAGGTAGGAGCGGCCGGCTCTTTCTATATAGAATTAAGGCTTTTAATACTCTAGGAGAAGTACTAATTATCTAAGTAGAGGAGGATATAATACTCGGTAGCCTAGATATTTAGGTTATAGGAATTAGGCACCTACCTTATATAATCACCCCTTATACTGTAAGGGCGTGAATGTGGCTCGGTATAGTGTTTTGGTGCTTCGCTTAGTGAATGCAATAGTGGGTTGGAGTTGCCTAATCGGAGATAGTATGGAGCTGCCTAATGGGGAATAGCGTGGCCTCTTGTTGTGTATAAGTAATAGCTAGCTCTAGGACTTCTTAGCTGACTCGCGATCAATCTCAACCATATTCTGGAACAGTCTTTTGTACGCTCCTAGTGATACCCTGACATATACGAGGTATATAGCTAGACCTTCCCCTATATAAATTTAAGTATACTATTTAGTCTAAGCTAAAATACTATAGTACCCTCTAGAAGTCTAGAGGTTCTATAGAATTCTAGAGCTATTAAAATACGTAATTTAGAGGGGGATATAGACCTCGGGAGCTAGAGAAATAGGTACGAGTACTAGTATCGAATATATTTCTTTATAATTAAACTTAGCTTACTCTAGAGGAGTACTATACTATACCTAGCGAGTATAGCTAGAGAGGGGACATTTGTATAACCTTTTATATAACTAGATACCCTAAAAGACTTTCTATTAGTTTACGAAGTAGGAGTATATTTATCTAAGTTATATAACAAATTCTAGCTAGAATTCTATAAAACTCTATAGAATACCCCCTTTAGAATAAACTCCTTCTATTAATATACTAAATAGAATAGAGTCCTTCTAGAGGGGGGGGTCTAGAATAGAATGGAGTTCTAGATACCGAACGTCGCTAGTATTATAATATATTTACGTATAACGTATTTAATTACGTAATAATCCAGGACTAGTAATATACCTTCGATATCCTTAATATCTCTTTACGAGTACTAATAAAAATATATAATACTATACTTATAAGATATAGCTTAGAATTAGAGGTATAACTAAGCTTTTGTTATATAAGATTAGGTTAATAATATTTTAATTCTATTCCGGGGTATTTCTCGTATACTTGATTATATTCGGAAAGTTACCTATAGAAATCCAGATCGTTAATTCGAACTAGGAAAATCTTACAAGTTAGATTTATAACGACCCAACTCTCTACCTAAAAACAAGGAAGATCATTTGATTTCCTAGTATAATGAATATTTACAAAAGTCGAAATACAACTAGAATACCTAGCAAAAATCAAGCTTAGCACATCCACATACATCTATATCTTACTCTTCTTAATTCTAACCGGCTGTCCCCCAATCCTCGCCTTCCACTCCTCCGACAACGTCTGTTTCTCAGCGAGGCTCTTCTTAGTCCACTCCCGATACGCAGCTCTCTCCTTCTCAACCCTCTTCATCTCCCGACCCAACCACCCCGCAGCAGCCTCAGCACACTGTCCCGCAGCCTCCATAGCAACCAAATGACCAACCCCCTTCAAAACCACCTCTTCGACTTTCCCTTCCTTCGCTCCCCCACTGCCGCCCAGTCCGCTTCCCGTCAGGTCCATTTTCTGCTTCCGGACGACGGGTAAAGACATATTACTCAGCTCTCCGAAGATATAAAACGCACTGGGTCGTAATTCCGGTAATCGTCCCATGATGGTTGGTGGTTCGGGGCGGTAAAGGGGATACCTGACAGGCTGTTGGAGATTCAAATCTGGGACTAAGGAGCGGTTTGTTATCGTGTTTCCATCCGGGCTCAGGCCTTCCCAACTGGGTCGCATGAAGGTAAAGCATTCTTGGTGTTTGGTCGTGGTCAATGTCATGCTCCCCTTCTCCGCAGCGGGATATATTGACGAAGGAGCGGGACGAATCCCAAATTCACACCATTTGTCGAAAACGCGGCGGTCCCACGTGGAGTAGAACTTTGATTTGGAGAAGGCTGCGATGGCTTCTTCTCGTGAGGGCCAGAGATCGCGACGGAAGGCGGAGGCTTGGGCGGGAGAGGGACCGGTGGGTGCGGAGGCGTGGTTTTGGATCACGGGATCCATTAGGATGATGGTACTTAGGAGTCGGGGGTGGATTAGCGAGAGGTTGACGAGTTGGGCGCCGCCGAGGGAATGGCCCATTCCTACTAGAGGGGTGGGCATGCGGAAATGGTTTATCATGTGGAGAAGGTCACGGGATCCGTCCATCCAGGATGCTGACGGGGATGTTAGTTTCTAACGGTACTTGTGAATTGGATGTTGTTTTCATTGGGAATACGTACGGTCGTCTCCTAGAAGGTTTTCGTTTAGAACCCCGCTTGTGCCTTGGTGTGCTACATCTGAGATCCAGATACTTCGGATTCGAACCCCATTTTTCTTGGACTGAGCATGAAGGTCTTCCCATAATGGTTCATATAGTTCCTGTCATTATGTGAGATAGAGTTACGAAATGACAGTTTAATTGACGTTGAATTTAAGATCATACCTTGGGGAAACCATTCGCATGAGCACCTATGATCGTGACATCTCCATCTTGGGGCTCAAGATTATCTAGAGGGGTATATTGTTTGACTGCTAGATGTAACACGTCGTCCTGTGAATTGGCTAAAGCTCTGGGGTATTCTCTTATGTGTTGACATTCTATGATGTGTTCTGTGATTTGAAAACTTGAGGTCATGGTGGAATTGGTGAAGCTTGGATTCGGGGTGAAGACAACAAGTCATGCAAAAGATTGTAATACAAGAATGGAAAATCACTTAGGATACGGTCGACAAAGTCTCCAATAAATCAAAATGTCAGTGAGGTTATTCTTTGGTTGTTGTCGACGTCGGCAATTACGATTGGGGTATAAGCCGAGGCTTGAAAAGTCCGGGGATCAACCGGGATAAGACATATTCCGCTGGCACGAGACCTATTCTTGACGAAGCCGCTCAAAGTAATTGTACAGTAGGAAAAATGCAGCAGAAATTACTTGGTGTATGTACGTATTTTCTTTTCGCTTCAATTTGTAAGAAATCTTTTGCCAAAGAAGGGATACAGTCATGTGACGTATCATGTGACCATACGTTCTGGCTTGAACAATACTCCCATCTAATGTAAGGTTTAATCGTCACTTTTTCTTGGAGGAATGCATCCAAGAGGAGACGGTGAGTATCATATAAGGCAACGAGAATACGTACCTGGCTTATACCTTTTCCCAAGAAAACAATTCCCAAATCGCTGGGACCCCGCTATATCTCCTAGGATCAAGGTCAAAAGTAAGGGGCCACTTTTCTTCTCCATCTCGAACTTGGAAAAAGGATACACGTTGCACGTCAACTTCACACCAAGACGTAACTCCTCGGAGAAGGAAAAAGTCAAGAGCACCGATGATGGTTGATGCCAGTAGTGAGTGCTGTTCATCTCATGGACATTTCCGTTTTCCCCGAATCTGATATTAACCTGTGGGCGGATGTACAAAGTATCGTTCACCAACCCGCTAGGAGCCAATCAAAACTGCGGTTTACTTATTAAGCAACCAACAAAAAGGGGCTTTACCGAGCGAGCGGAAAATATGGAAGTCTAAAGAAGAAGTGCGGAAAGACTCAAGTCGACCAGCGAAGAGTTTTCCATTTCCAATCCAAGGTTAACCTTAATATATTTGCAGTTGCAGGGGACTCTACTTGATATCTGAGTGTATCACGTTACGGAAATGTACTGCAGCAGAGGGTTTGCCGTGACACGAAAGTTTTCGTAAGGATTTTCCACAATCTCTGCCTCTTACATAAATTTTTACTCGGACCCCTACTCTCTCATGCGCAGGCACATGCCATTCTGCACATCCCTCTATTTTGGTACCCAGCACAGTCCACTCGTAGTACTCTTGACCGGCCAATCAGCGCGCGCGAGGAGGATTCTTTTAGCAATCTGGAAGCATGGTTCGGAGGCACAGCGTCATTCAACATGGCAGCTTGTGGGGTTTGTTTATGGCGCACCCAAATGCCATGCAGCGCAGCGCAGCATGCCACGGCCATATCTGACCGCTTCCGCTTGTAGTGGGAGAGCCTCGAGGGAAGTAACAAGAAACAAGAGTTATTTGCTAGTGTATTGCAGGGTAATTGGCAAGGTAATTTGTATTCGAATAACTCTTTTCTAGAGTTTCAGGGTCGCGGAAGATCTTATGAGAAGGGCTGTACTCGGAGTACTTGCCTGCTATAGCTAGCGATAGTTACCTCGCCAGAGCTACCTAGCGAGCCTATCGCCTACTGTAGGGATGTCGGGGTTCTGCACATCATGTCGGATCGTGAGGCAAGGGCGAGGCGAGCTAGCAGCAACAGCACCGACCTCGTAGCGCCCATGCTCTAAGTACGGGTAGGACATGGGCGCGATAAGGAAATAGGGCACGCTCAGTGGAGTGGTGTGGTCTGCCATGGCAGCGCAGCTATAGCAGTGCAATGGCACCTATAGCAGCTATAGCCGCCTGTCAATCCGACACCCAGGCCAGCACCACCAGCCAGTCACACCCTGCGCCAGCGTGAGTTGAAGGACTATTACGTACCAAGTTACGGATTCAGAGTTTGATGCTGTCATCAACCGTCGTCTTCGGTGGAGGGAATGCCTTCTTTCAACGTCTCGCCCACCCGTTTGCCAGTCGGCACACGCGGGGCAGAAGGTTCAGGATTTGGTTTCCTGCGGTACGACCGGTAGATGCGAGGTACGGATTAGTCGGTTGATTGATTGATTGATATGAAGCACCTCGGTGCAACCCCAGATATCTGATAGAAGAAGTATCTGGGGGGTCCACGTCCGAAGTGCAGTGTCAGTGTAGCGTATCCACATCCACATCGACATCCACTTAAATTTATAGTACTTGTCCACTTGGGCTAGAAATTGGCAGATATATCGTCTCATCTGCAAGCTTATCTCTTTCTCTTCTCACGGAGTCTCTCCCCTCCATACAGTCAACGAGACCCTTTCAGACCCTTTCAGACCCTTCCCTTCCCCACGCGGTAGCGGTAGCGGTAGCTGTAGGATGCAACCCAGCTCCTTGCTCTAACCTTACCTCCTCACCTACTGCAGCCGTCCGCGGGGAGAAAACCAGCTACCCGCGACTTGGGAGAAAGAGACAAAAGATACCCATCGTCTTCCAGTCCCTCTCGCTGTTTCGGTTCGACCGTCGACCGTCGACCGTCGATCTGCTCCCTCCTTCTCACAGATTACTCGTACGCTTGCTCTTTTCTCTCGGCCCTGGGCAGCTTCAATGACGCCCGAAAGCATACACTATCTCATTCTCCTTCAGTCACTTGCTGGATCATGCAGCAGTGATAGCCATTGAAAGGACGCCTGAAACTCATAGAGTAAACTGCACTAAGTGCATACTGCGCTTATCTCCCAATCCTTATCGAAGCGGACCAGCCTCCACCTCAATCCCTCTGAAGATCCTCGGAGAGTGCAAATTTGCACCCTTTCACTGGCCCCCCCCC